TCCAGATATCAGGGCACTTGGCACATACACAGCCATTATATCTATTATTGCTAATTATACATGAGGGAACAATGCTACTCAGTCCCTTGCAGTGAATGACCTTAGGTCCAGATTCCAGATATCTGGGCACTTGGCACATACACAGCCATTATATCTATTATTGCTAATTATACATGAGGGAACAATGCTACTCAGGCCCTTGCAGTGCATGACATCAGGTCCAGATATCTGGGCACTTGGCACATACACAGCCATTATATCTATTATTGCTAATTATACATGAGGGAACAATGCTACTCAGGCCCTTGCAGTGCATGACATCAGGTCCAGATATCTGGGCACTTGGCTCACAAGAGACATGTCAATCATATTTGCTGATAAACAACGTCTCCATTACAGTTATTTGACAAATTAATTTATTCATTGAGGCTTGGAGGATTCACCTACATTTATAGTCAGTACAGTAACAAGGCTCCCACATTAAACCAAATAATTTGGCTACGCTGACGAAGCATAGGAATTTAGATGGATCTCATATATCCATTATCGAGTAGATTTCCTAGGCTAAGGCTTAGATGCATCAAATAACACCTGCGCGGCGCATACGGTCCACACGAAACTCCATTTTTCTTATATTTAAAGCAATGACTGCATTAGACCTTTCTCATACTTTTGAATCAGAAGGGTCAAAGGCCTTTTTTTGATACGATTTTTCAAACTAACCAGAAACAACAAACAATACTGCCCAGACTCTTCCAGCGAAAGAGTTCTAATTCTTAATTATAATTTATCACATAAAATATGTCACAACTTCCATCACTTTATGGAAATATATTATAACCCTCCTAAAAGAGTTTATTTAATGTCATTGTTATTTATTATTATAAAATGGAAATAAACTAGCCTTTCTTAGCGACCCCGCCAAAGCGGGGTCTTGCTTGGGTGGACCGCCGGCCCGCGACACACCGAGCCAGTGGACCGCCGCCCCGCGGCACGCCGAGCCAGTGGACCGCCCCCCGCGACACACCGACCCAGTGACCCGCAAGCACTCCCCAACCCGAGCTGCAAATTAGCAAAGAACGAACTAACGCCATCCCCAACACACAAAACCCCCCTCGCACAAAACCCCAACACACACGACCTGCCCCCCGCTGAGGCGTGCCCCCAACAAAGGCGTGGCTGCCGCCCAAAAGAGGCTCCCACCAAAAAGAGGCTGTGGCGTGCTCCCCCGCAGAGGCTGAGAGAACCACGCCCTCTGCCATCACAAAATTTTCCCTCAAAAAAATGTGCAAAAAACACTCGCGCTCCTACGCGATTTTTACTCGCACGACTGTCACTGGCGCTAGAGGGCGGGGAGCAGAAAACGGGGAGTTTTCTGCTCCCCGCCCTCTAGCGCCAGTGACAGTCGTGCGAGTAAAAATCGCGTAGGAGCGCGAGTGTTTTTTGCACATTTTTTTGAGGGAAAATTTTGTGATGGCAGAGGGCGTGGTTCTCTCAGCCTCTGCGGGGGAGCACGCCACAGCCTCCTTTTGGTGGGAGCCTCTTTTGGGCGGCAGCCACGCCTCTGTTGGGGGCACGCCTCAGCGGGGGGCAGGTCGTGTGTGTTGGGGTTTTGTGCGAGGGGGGTTTTGTGTGTTTGGGATGGCGTTAGTTCGTTCTTTGCTAATTTGCAGCTCGGGTTGGGGAGGGCTTGCGGGTCACTGGCTCGGTGTGTTGCGGGGGGCGGTCCACTGGCTCGGCGTGCCGCGGGGCGGCGGTCCACTGGCTCGGTGTGTCGCGGGCCGGCGGTCCACCCAATCTATATATCTGGAATGAAAAGAGAGGCCTAGCAATTTGCCAAGTATCAGTATCTTAATATTACCCCCTGGAGAATTACTCCACGTGAATGCAAGACCCTCGACCTATCCTATGGTTATGTTACTTGCACGGGGGCTATGTATGATGCTAAATTTCGATTTCACGTGCTGCTGTGAACAAACTTTCTGTTTGGTTTTGTTCCTGGAGACAAACACACTGATGCTAGCAAGATGCCGACATTTACTGTGGAGACCAACGTCAGCCAGAAGGATTTCCCTCAAAACTGGCATAAAGAGGCAACTGATCTTATTGCGAACATCCTTTCAAAACCGGTGCAGGTTGGTACTTCGTAGATTTTGTAAAATTGCCATTAAAAAGTTGATAGTTTTTAGATATTGTAGGGCCTAAGGTATCAAAAGAATACAATATTATAACAAAGTATTATTTGGTAGACGTATTACGTCAATTCATCAAATAAGTCCCGCCTCCAAATAAGCCGCCACCCTAACAGCCACGTAGCTGCAGGGGGGCAACGGGGGCTGTGTCCCTTCAAATGAAATTTTAGACCACAACTTCTCCCCTCTGACGACAGTTACTCCAAATGATTTTTTGGCCTAATTATTATTTTGTAAGGTAATTGCTTTTGCAAGGGACCCTACGTCTTTTTAAAAGCAAGAAACTCTATTATCAGCTCCTTAGATTTATACACTTGATTTCCTGCAAAATTCATTGCCTATGATCAAGCAGGGCTGTAAAAGAGGGGGAGGGGCAGCATCACTTTGGAATGTTCTCTTTTGCAGAAGTCAGCCATTAATCAGACCAGTACTGCAGGCTGTATATCATCATTAGCTCCTCCTTGTATGCCAACTACAATGAGCCATTAATTGTACCCTGCAATGGATTTAGTTAGCTCTATTGAAAAGGTTATGCTTTTCTATAGCAGAACTTGAGACCACTGTTTTCTGATATTAAAGAAAGGCTTTTTTTTAGTATGTATTGGTACAATCGTTTCCTGATGTTAACATGACGTTTGCTGGAACTACAGAGCCTTGTGCCTCAGTCAAGTTAACTAGCATTGGGGGCATTAATGAAAAAGCAAACAGAGGTCATGTCACTACAATCACAGAATTTATTGAAAGAACACTTAAGGTTCCAAGGGACAGGTTTGTTTGATTTTGTTAGTAGTTTTCTATAGTAACAAGTACTTCCAAGGAAGTGCAGGTTGCAAGATGTGTGTTAGATGTTTACCCTGATCTTCTAAGATATCTTGTGGCAGGACCCACCCATTTGCACTGAGTCTTTGTGTTGTGAAGATAAAAAGTTTTATGTTTGGAGTTTCTGTTTTCTGGACCAAAAAAGTTGGTGGAATGTGCAAACACCAGAGGAATATTGATAACTTACTACATACTTGTTTGAATCCTGGAAACATAATTTTGGATATTTATTTGTTTTCAGGATGTACATCAATTTCTTTGATGGAAGAAGAGACATGATTGGGTGGAACAACAAGCTGTTTGCATAAAATTTTGCCCAATCCTCAATCTGTTTAGCAAGGATCAGGTTAATGACTGATTACCTGTTAAATCAGAGTGCTTTTGTGTTTCTCTGTTGTAGGACAATCGTGGCACTATATCCTTGAATGCATCAATGTTGCTTGCTGCTTTGCTTTTAAACATGCTTGCTGCTCTGTCATTAAGCTTGCTTGATGCTTAATTGATGAACATGAACAGGTTGATACACTTAAGCTTATCTACACCACATCCCTTTTGTGAATTGATATAAAGTTTCTTAGGGAGGATATTTAAGTTGCCTTTTAAATAAAAACTCTGATCATATATTGTTATAATAATCATCATCATCATTGCAATTTTCATCACCATCATTGCTACCATTGTCATTCCATATTTCATTGTTCATTTTAATCGCCTGCAGTCTTGGTCATATTATGCAAGTTTGGGTATTATTTTGTCTACATAGAGTTCTTCGACAAGGACCAATGATAACCTGATTCCATTTGCCTTTCTGGGGTCTGTCCCATCTACTGTTTCCAACAATATCCAGTTTCTGAGGCTGGGAAACTTTCTAGCTCTTACATTGCTACATTTTATACATACAGAATAAATCATCTATGATGTGAAATTTCAGGATTTCTTGAAAATCCTGAAGCATAAAATCATAAAAAGTTACTTTTCACATAGTCATTGGCAGGTATGTTTACATATAAAACAACAGTTTCCTTTTGAACCAGATAATTTTTTAAAGGTTTTTGGATGCTTGCAAGAAGCAATGTTGTTGTATGAGATAATCAGTAAGATACAAAAGGAAAAAGCCAGTAAGTTATAATATAGAATGGTAGATTAAATAACATTTGAGTAAGATATATTTTGTTCAAAATGGTTCAATGAGCAACAAACCTGATGATAATAAATGATGCATTTGGGACACAACTTATTTTAACAACAAACACCTTGATTTTGGTAGAAAACAACTGCATTTAAAATTTTCTAACCAACCTTGTATCCTTTTCAAACAGAGGGCTAATCATTTAACTCATCAAATTTATGAAGAGTTAAAGTCCATAAAATCCATCTTTTTCAAAAATTCCTGATCTATTATGTAATCTTCTGAATTCCATTTTGCCTTCCAAAAGTCTTTTGGTAAAAACTGAGCTGATGGGACAAACTCTTCATCTTTCATTGTCACAATGAATTTGAGAGACATAATGTCTACATTTTGATTCTTTCCCTGTTTTTCAAATACAGGGTTTAAATATGGCAGGGCTGCACTTTGATTGCCATCAATGATTCCTTGAATATTTGTTGGCTGTGAGACTGTTTGTGACTGGCTGCAAAATTATGAGAGAAAGGTATATATAAATTTTGCATGTTTCATGTTTCCAGCATCAGAGCCAAAATAAGTTAGCTTCAAACTGGTCTCTTGCAGAACCTCTCATCCAGTAGTAGCACTAGGGGTATGGGGGGGGGGGTAGATTGTATTTTCATCAAAGGAAAATTCATCCGGTACAAAGCACTGAAACAATGGAAAAGTAGTCATGCTCATTACCCTCTGACTCTGCAGAAGTTGGCTGTGCCACTGCACTCACCCCCCCCCCCCCCCACTTTTTCCCACTGGCATTGACATGAATTCTGATACATGAAAATATAGTGGCAGTCAATAACAAAATAGTGTACACATTTTTTCGTACACGCGACTTTGACGGTATACTGCACTTGGAAAACAGTCTTCTAAGAGCTAATGTACTCATAATAATTCCTTACATCATAAAGATATAGAATCATATTTCTTCACTTACTTTTTATCGACTTTACTGTTTTCCTGAACCATCTGTTTGCTGTTTATTGCCTTTTGCACTGAAAAAACATTGATCGAGATTGAGAAAAGAAATTTTTGCCCTCTGCTTCAAGCGTTATTTTTCAATTGAAACTGGACTTACATACCTCGGAAAATACCCTCTTCGATAAAATTGCAACAAAATGAAGCCTTTTTAGTGAAAAATAAGTGTTGTACCTGGCCGTTTTCTTTTAGCCACATGTTTTCTTTTGTTGTCAGGGCTCACTGTGTTGGGTTGCTAATTAAAGATGGGGGAAAAAGGAATAAAAATTTTAGTTATTGCTACAAGTGGCGGTGATATGAAAATGCTCGAGTTTTAGTTACTGTTACAAGTGGCGGTGATATGAAAATGCTCGAGCAGAACAACAGGCAGAAATTGTTGTTAAACAAACCAGCATGCAATTTTTCATCTTCTCTTGAGTTTTATGAAGCTTTCTTTGGTGTACCAGTAACAAAGTGCAAAAGATATGAAATTCTTAATAGTGCAGAAACATAAGTACCTTCAAATGGCTCAACAAAGGCTGCAGCATATTCGATTCACGTTGTTTCTCGGTGCTTGTTGATTCTTTCTCATTTCCTTGTCCCTTTTGCACAAATGGCGTATTTATCTTGAGTAAAATGAATTTTGAAGTAGGATCTGAACAAGCAGGCAATTTGCTGTGCTGAACTTTTGTGCCAGTGTGTTGCTTTCGTTGTGTTCCTTCTTTTGAATTGACCACAGCGTTGATATTTTGCGTTTTAATTGAAGCGGGAATCGTCTGTACCGATGCTCTATTGCTAGCTGCTGCAGTGCTTGCTTCATGAGTTTTTCTGTCAATTACAACAAACGACTGAGATGATATACTAGGGCAAGGGTTATTATCTGCAATTATTGCTTGCTGAGAATTGCTAGAAGTTAGTTGGGTGTCGTCATTTTCTTGTACCTTGATGATCTTTTTGTCATTCCTCTGAATGTTTGCTTCTTTACCCGCATTTTCTTGTGTATTTTCTCTCAGTTTTCTGTAGTTGAAATTTGAGGGGAAAAAATGACTATATTTCATTATTTTCGCTATTTTTCATTTGTTTTCGAATTTCTAACATACAGATCAAAATGAAACTTTACGTTTACTTAATTTATTGATTCCTTTAAACCTAACTTACATAACAAGTTCCATTTGAAATTCGAGTCCTGCCGAGAAAAGAGGTAGGTATAGACAAACAAAAAAGGTGGGAACATACTTAATGTAAAAAAATGGGATAAATATATTTCATATTGATCCCATATTGAAAATCCTGTCGAATGATATTTCTACTTGTTCTACTACTGAAAACATTTCACTTTTGCTAATGTACAACAAAAGTCTTAAAATATTTGAGGCATCTAGTAAATGATACTTTTTTAAAGAAAGTCTCATTTCCTGAAAGAAAATTGATCTTTTTAGAATATCAGAATGTCATAAAACCTGTTTGTTGCGCCAATCGGTCCAGAAATTTGCTTCAGATTGGTCACAATAGACTTTTGTACCTTGAATGCGTTTAGCAGCCTCTTCTGATATAACACAAGTTTTTTTGCCCTGTCTCTCATTTCCTTTTCTGTGACATTATTCTCTATTTGAGATAACGACTGCGACTGGGTGAGCTTGAAGTTAGATAAATATTGTTTCTCCTTCGCCAAATCCCTGTTTACTTTCAGCAAAATGCCTTTGATTTTTGTGAGTTTCGATTCAGATGTTTGTGCTTCTGCAAAACAAATTGCATTTATACTTGAAAATATTACAGTGCTTTCCTTTTGTAGTTCGATGTTTAGTATTTGAATCCTGATGCTGAAATTATTTGGGAAATTCAGCATTAACAAAATAAATGTCCAAATTAACAAAAATAAAGTGGGTATTATTTAGTACATTATAGGGCAACGAACGTACAATGGACGTACCTGTTCAAAACTAGGCATAGTTACCCCCCCCCCCACCGAGGTTCAAATATGGAGCCTGTTCCCTTAGCAAGTTTTAGTTGTATTTTGATTTTAAACTGGTGGAAGTTACAAATAGTGCATCCCACAATACTTGCAAAATTCATTTTGGCCTAGATGCTGGTATCTACCTTTTTTGTCGATGCTGTGTTGCATTTCATTTTGCAGTGATTGAACTTCGTCAAAGAGCTCGGACAAATCTTCTAAGCCATGCTCAGGCTCTCCGTGTTGTTGTGACAAAATTGATTCAGACAATGAATCTTCGAAGCTCATTCTTTTCTTTCTGTATTATGGTAAAATTAGATTTCAACTTTGCTAAGATGGCTTCAAATCAACTTTAGATATCTTCCATTCTGGCGCAATTAATTTAAATTTTGGCGCGAAAGTATTTGAACACGTGACAACATTGGGAGGCAACTATTTTACATTTAAAATCATTTATAAAAACCTAAAAACTGGTCCTTACAAAGTTTGGTTTTACAAGTTGGAAAGAGTTGTGATTATTTTTGTTTTATTGCTTATTTGATTATATTTATGCCGATTTGAGCACTCAGGATAGAGTTGAAACCAACAGGATGAAGGCCTCTTAATGAAACCGAGTGATTTCATGACGAATGTTTAGGCAAGAGAGAACATGTAGTGTACAATAACCAAAATGGCTATGTTCAACGCACTGCTGCGCTTCACAACTTGCATCATTGGGGTTATTCTTTCTTTATATGCATTGCATGTTGAAATTGCAAAGGAAAAAGACGCAGATTTCAAAGCAATGTGTGATATAAGCGAGAAAATGAGCTGTTCAAAGGTGTTCAACTCAAAGTAAGTGATAATTTTGGTAACTTCATTTCTTTTATTATCAACAACATAAATAGTTAACTATTGTCTGCAATTGAAATTTGAAATATGCACCCCTAGACAATAAAAATAACCAAAGTTTCAGAGGTTTGCTAACCTTAAGCATCAAACACAGGCAACAATTGTGGTGGATCTGTCTTTAATCTATTAATCTTAAAAATTAATCTTAAATACACTTGAATCGAATTTATATTATATTATATTATATTATATTATCTGATGTTATCTACTGTTTCGTAGCGGTATAATCGCCGACTCCGCGAATTACTCCACGAAAAACAGAGATGGTCTCTTCTGAATTTTTTTTCAAGAATTCCATCCAGTGAATCTAAAACGGCATGTTGTGTCCTTAAGATATATGTTTACTCTCATCTCTAGTCACCTAAACTCTAGAACAAACAAACTTTGACAATATAAATGCAAAATAATGTGACCCACCTTATCTTATTTTTATAGTGACTATATTTGTCTGCTCTATAGTTTTGTTCTATTTACGCCTGTTTCAATAAAGGAATCAGTTCAAGTGGTCTTGCAAAAGTTTTACAAGATCTCTGCTGCTGGCTGAATCATTCTGATTTGCATAGCAATAGATAATATTTTTTAAAATGGAGAAAGGGAAAAACACACTGACACCGATCCACAACAAACAAACACACATATCACTTGCTGGAAGTTTTTCTCTTGTGCTCTAGACAAAAGGAGAGACCAATTCTGGCAAAGCTGGCCAATCTTCAGTCTGCAACATTAACTACATGAGCCTTTCAAGATATTTGAAAATTGTGAAGACCTTGAAAAACTTCACCAAAATGAACAGAATTTTCAGCCATTTATAATAATTACATTAACATAGCTCTTTTTCCTGAGAAAGTAATTGTTGCTCTCAATTGAACAAGATTTATCATAATTGACCCCAGTTGAGCAATTAAACTGAATGATGATACTGCTATTAAAATTTTATTCCTTCCTTGATGCTGAATAAAGAATGTTTGACTAATTTGGCTGCAAAGGAGCCAGTACCCAAATTTTCTCTGACATGTCAGCAAACCTTTATTCTGATGTTACTGGCAACCTTTATCGTCACTTTCTAGACTAAAAATTGTTTACAAAATGTCTTATTATATCATTTTTCAATTCACATTTTATTGTGATTTGTTGCTTTAGCCTGTTTTTGCCCTGCTCTTTGGGTACTCTTTTGTTGTATAGGTTTCTGGTCTTTTAGAAAATAATAAATTTTTAAACAATTCTTTTAATCTGGCATCAACAGTACCAATTTAAATCAAATTTTACCACTATCAGTAGGGCAGTGAGGAGGATGCAAATAAGGGTGGATGCCCCCATGCAAAAACTCCCTTATCATGTTCCAAGTAGTGTGGACCCCCATTTTTCCCTTACATTGATTGCCTTTGCCCCCAAATTTTCCCAACCTGGCTATGCTACTTATCACCTTATAATAACCTGATAAATTATTTTGCTTTTAAACCATGAAAAAATAATAACAAAAATTATTTGCACCAAGAATAGAATGTTATCAGGGACAGATTTACCAGAAGTGTGGGGGTGTAACAGCCCCTCGATTGTTTTGTGTTCTTCAGTAAATTTTGCTTTGATTGATTATTTTTTAGAATTGCAAATAAAATAATAAGGTGATATAGAAGAGCATATACAATTCTAACCTGTTTGGCTTTCATGTTAGTAGTGTATGCCAACCAAAATTAACAGAGCTGTTTAGAAAGTATATAATAAAAATTGTCATGCCAGCTTATAAACTGATGAAGATATGTGGATAAGGAGATTTATTGTTTGAAATGAGCAAGTGCATGTGCTATTTGGAATTTATTTTGTTTTTTTCTTTATGAGCAATTCATTTATGTTTGTCCTAACAATAAAGCAAAGTTTAATCATTTCAGGTATGGAACTGGCTTTGGAATTATTGGCCCAGTACTAGGGGAAAGTTCAATGTTCAATGTGCCAAACAGTATTTATGGGATTGCATTCTACCTACTCACAATGACACTGGGTATAACTTCCTTTATAGGGATTTTTTTTCCTTTTCTTTTCTTTTATTATTTGAACAATAATAAACTTCAATGTCATTCATTCTAGTGCAGTCATGCTAATTTCTTTGCAATAGTCAGAAGTCTTTTTTCTTTTGTTAATATTTGAGTTGTTAGCAATTCATGTTTTTTCAAATTTCAGCCCTTTTCATGAAAAATTCCTTCTATGTTATTTATATTGTTATTTTGATGTTTGGTGCTTGAGCTTGACCAACCAACTCCATGCACACCTTGAAAGTTCTAAGAGCTTGATTGGTTGACCACCTAGCATTATGATCTCTAAAAATTAAATGTAAAAATTTGTTTTGGATGATATTGGATGATGCCCAATCGAGTGCCTAGAAAGTTGAAGGTGCTCAGTTTGTGATGCACCTCACAAGGCCTGTTCTTAATCAATTAATATTAGGCATCAAGACAACATTTTACAGTTGAAAAACAACAATCCTGAAACAAATTTTGATTATCATGTTTTTACATCTTTTTATAGGTTTTGCAAGATCAAATCAAACTGCAGCAAAGCTTTTGGTCTTCACATCCTTGATTGCTTGTGTTGGTTGTGTCTATTTGGCTTATATTCTTTACTTCATTCTGAATGATTTTTGTGTTGTGTGTTTTATAACCTACATTTTAAACTTCTTTTTGCTATTCCTAAACCACCAGAACTATAGACAGCAGAGAAAAAATAAACAAGATTAAACTTGCTAAAAATTTGCTGTTAACAAGAGATGTACTGATATGACATCACTTATCAATAGATTGAAAGGGTAAATGACTATGAGATTGAATTGTTTTTTGACTCACCTAGCAACTAACAGAGGGGAACAGAGAAAATATGCAAGTGATTGGATGGTACAAATTGATGCCTTCTGTATAAAAATATCATATTTGCTTTATGAGCCAGATTAGAGAATTGGACATCATTAGTTTACTAAATAAACTAAGAAATCATCATCAATGTAGCAAGTACTAAAAATACATAAACTTGTAGAGCTTAAGTATATTTATCTCCCCATTATCAAAGAAAACTTGAAACATGTTTCAGTTAAGTTTAACAAGATAAAATTGTTGGTTTGTTTAGATTTTGTAAATTTTGTATTTTTGCATTCAAAAAAATTGTTTAATTTACAATTTTAAGTAACGTAAGAAATAATTATGAGTAAATACTAAAACATCTTGATTTCAAGCATTTGAATAGCATGTTTTTGAGATATTTCGTGGCCTCCCAGATTTTCTTGATCACCACCAAAGGAACTCAAATTGATGTGTGTACATTTAAGTTTCCATTTCTTGAGTATATTCTCGATAGTCCAGTTTGAGCTTAAAGAAAAAAGAAAATGGTTAGATTACAATGAAATTTGCAAAGTTTTCATTCAAGTGATAACTGTGAAATTATTATCACTGAAATATGATATTGGTCACACTTAGTCCCATGTGCCAGTTCTTGATGCCTCAAATGCCAGAGATCCATTGCTTTTCCTATTGCTTTGTCCAATGTTCTTTCACCCATAAATTCTTAAGACTCCATTTTAAAATAAAAGAGAGTTGGCAACTATGCTGAGTAGAACATAGCAAAAAGATCGCCTTCATCATAACAAGAAGTCAGTTGCAGGCAAAACAGTATTCAGAACAGAGAACTTTTATATTCTTTAGTGAACATATGTTCGACAAATGAGGGCAATTTAGTAATAATGAGTTCCACACATTATTCTACCTTCTAACTTGATATGTACACCAGAAGACACAATTTGGGTTCTTTTCCATTAGAAATGCAATGGTGACAATAATGTCTTCAAAGTCTAGAGTTAAATGCAAACAAATTATGGTAGAACTAAATTTACTGTGAGCAATAGAGTAACAAATATATCATAATATAACAATAGTTGTAAATTTGTGGAAATAGAAGTTCCTTATTTGAACATTTTGTCAATTAACTTAGTTAATTATTGCAATCTGTTAAGATAATTGATAGTAATAAAAATTTTATGATAAATGAAAGATATCATTAAAAAATTGAACAACTTTAGAATTTCAGCAAATATTTGCTACGTTTCTTGTAATATTGTTGAGAGGACAAAAGATGGGTATTGGTACTAAGATATGAGCTTGTTTGTTGGTTTTTAAGAACCTTATTTAAAAGTCTTACATCTTAGTTTTATTTACCATTAGGATTGTAGAAACAGTCTGATCCAAGAATAACATCCAATTTTGGTAGGTCCAACAACTCAGGTGTGAATTCGCCCCATGTTAGCGGTACTTGGATGATTCTACTTTCCACATTATTTGAGATGCAACTCTTTAAAGCATTTTCTTGGCATTTTGGAAATTTGCTTGAATCACTAAGAATGACATTTGCACCACATTTTGCAGCTACTATGCCGGGTAGAGCTGTTCCAGCTCCCAGCTACAAAACATGAGTCATAATAAAATAATAAAATCATATTTATTTGAATATGCTTATTCTTAACAATCTTGGTAATTTAATTACTGCTTTTATGTGAATTTACAAACCAATTCATCTACAACAAATGTCATTCGAAATAAAGGGCATTCAGCTATAAATAAATTAAAAATGTCACATAGAATTAAGTCAGCAATACTTAAGTAGACATAAGTAGCAAATAAAAAAAACCCCAAAATGCAAAGAGAATGAACAACAACAAATACATGTAAATCAGTGAAGGTTAATACTTTGCCCTGGCATACAGGGCTTCATCAGAGCAAAAAATGTGCATCAGAGCAAGAGCATAATTTTCATTACCTCAAGAACATTCTTTCCATGACACTCATGTTCGTGCTTCAAGATGAACTGTCCAAGTACTGGTGCACTTGGCCATGTAAACATGCCATATTCTGGGTCAACCAACTAAAACATTGAATTTCAAATCAGTTTGGCTTGTATCAAAATTTAGAATGAGACCTCTATATTTGAGTTGTTTCTGAAAACATTAGAATTTGATTAAAAAGCTCACATATAAGTTACTCTTTATATAAGAACCAGAAAATTAAAGGTCAGGCTGGCTGTTCTTAATTTTTTCAAAACATTGAAGCTGGACTGTTTTTAATTTCTTCTTAAATTATTAGAGTGTGCAAATTCAATTGCTACCTATTTCACACAAGAGGATTTTTTAGACCCTGTTTGCCATCAAAGTGAGTGTGTCATCCTTTATTTGCCAACATCTTGAAAATTCACTGACAGATCATCCTGAGATGAGAAAACCCCCTTGTTTTTGAGATTAGTGGCATACCCAAGGGGGGAATAGGGGTCCAGACCCCCCCCCCACTTTTCCAAAATATGGTCCTTGAGATTTGTCCAAAAACAATGTAAAACTCATGGGGGGTAGCATACTGTATGCTTGTGTCAACAACAATTGTAAAGTTCTTTGCTATTTACCAATAGCTAACATGAATCAAATGATGGGGGGAAATTTTGCAAAAAGGGCATATTACCGCATTTGTGAGTGTTTGAAGGGCGTGGCCCCAGACTGCCCCACTGCTGCAGCCCTGGGTCATCACTGTTTGATATGGCAATTTCAGAGAAGGATTCACTACCTTATTCAATACTACATTTCACAGATCCTCAGCCTCAGCTTGTTCTTAATTTGTTTATAACTTTGGACCAATTTTGAGGCCTGAGTTCTTATAAAATTGGTTTTATAATAAAGAGTGTATCTTCAAAATCCCAAATCAAGAAACACCTTGAGAAATGTTTCAATCCATTAGCCTATTATATCTGCTTCTGCACTGCTCAGAGGAATATACTTATTTCTGAAGCCTCTTATACTGCCACCTTCGCAGCTACAGCAGCCCTGCTACCTCTGTTGCTCTGACTTTGTGGAAGTTTCTGACATTCCAGCAGAGAAGTTTTTCAGGCTAAGATCAAACAATGTATGTCGTTTGCACTTTATTAACTTCCAGCAAGAGCAAAACCAACCAATTAAAAGCACAATGTGTGCAATAAGCCGTAAACTTGGTGTACTTTATAGCTCAACTTCTGGAAAGGCTCTTCTCTTCTAAACTTCCTCTGTTCTAAATGACCATTTAGAATGTAATGGGAGAGGCTTTTGCTGCCATTATAAACTCTTGTCTTACAATGCTCCTACCTCGTTTATATATACTTTTAACTCTTCTCCAAAAGATTCGTTTTGAAAAATGAATGTTTTTACAGACTCCATCAACCAGTTTTTGTTGACAGTGACAGGGAACCACAACAATAATTTTCATTCTGAAACGAGGCTATTCAACAAAATGTCGGACGACAAAAGCGTGGTAACCGTGAAAGCCGATTGTAACAGGAAAAGATTTTCAGGTATACCATTTTTCTTGATAATCTATTCACTGCAAAGCAGAATCATTCACAGATTTGACCTGTTTGTTGTTTAGAGCCAGTAAAGATCGAGCTCAATCAGGCTGACCTATCACTTTTGCCAGGTGTCATCATCATGCAATGTAATGCTTTTTGCGTGAGTTTCACGCTTTCTGGAAGAAGAACAATAAAGAGTACAGTAGAAAAAAGATAATTGACTAGGCTGAACAATATGCTCGCGCATTAAGGAACAAAAGCTTGGCAAGATTGCTGAACTTAATGTTTTCAAAACTTTAAAAGGCAGTTGAGTTAAATCTTCATAATGTTTTAAACTGCCAAGGATGTCAATTTATAGAATGGCATCTTGTTATGACACAGCAAACAACCTTGGGTGTGACCTGCTAATTCTAGGGTTTTACAAGTTTCTTCAGTCCATTACCATATATGGGTCACTGTTGTAAACAGCTGTTATGCCATGAAAGTCAGGCGTCTTGCTGACAGCATCAGAAAAAAATCAGTGTTATGTCGAAATCTGAAACAGCTGTGGAAAAGCTGTTTTTAGTTTTAGGTTCATCATTAAATTATGCACTAGAAAATCAAAACAGAATTGCTATACATGTTTTTGCTTTTTCTTAAAAATAATTTTAGTTTCCAGGATCAGCTTCTTGCGAGGTTTTTAAAAGAATTTGTCTATCAGCCATTAGCCAAAGAAACATTAAAAATAACAGGAAATATTTTTATATTAAACATTCTCAAAAGGTAGGGAAAAATAAAATACAAGAACTTGGGGGTTTTCTGTCATAATTATAAATGAAAGTTTATGCCTTCGTCACACCTGATGGAGAGGCTATTAAGAGAAATTCATTTTGAGGGGCTCCACAGCATTTAGAATCAGTATGAAAGCATCAAGTTTTTAACTGATCTGGAAGTGGAAGCTTGACTTACACTTTGCAATGTGGCTTCTTGTAGTTGGTTTTGTTTAGCTAAAAATGATTTACAATCACTTTATAAATATTTTTTAGAACTGACAAAATCTGGCAGTTCAATTGCTTTTGACTGCTTCATCAATAGGACCTCATTTTTTTACCAGCCTGAGTTGGTTTTTCCAAATGATTTCTTACTTAACCCATTCACTCCCGTTGACGCCAAATGGCGTCAAAGAGTGTTTGGCACATTTCCCCAAAAACGTCAAATGACGTCGCAAGCTTTTTTGCATTTTTCCCCACGGACGTCGTTTGACGTCGTGAATTCTTGTTGCCTATTGGCTAGCTTACACTTAAGCTATTGTTCCTTAACAAAAACGAAACCATACAGAAATAATTAAACGTTGTTTATATGCAAAAATATGCATATGGTCCCATACTAAAATATTTTGAAAAGACCATTACAACGCGTCGGCCTTGAAATCCTGCGGCCGTTTGCCAACAATGGTAGGCCTACTTCCCGTTGTGTTTGGAGTAGCCATAAAGAGGAGCATTTTTACCCAATTTACCAACGAAGTACTTGAATTACAATCTGATGCTGATATTTCTGATGTTTTGGAGAGTAGCTCTCCAGAATCAGAAGGTGATGAAGGCGCAGCGGAGTCAAATTTGAATTGCGACCTTCGTGTCGAGCGATCAAGCTTTTGAGGGAAGGAACGCATAGGCCCGACAGTTCTTTGGCACAGTGAAAGACAAAGTTTGACTTTTCAAAACTCTCTTCTGGTAGTTATTTTTGAAAAACTTGCTAAAGAAGCAAATCTGTGTGCAGAACAGAAAACAGAGACACACTGGATCCAACTTGGAATGAAACTAATCCGTTTGAAATCAGAACGCTGGTAAAAGATGGCGTCCAATCAGATTCCCGGAGTGTGAATACTTGCATCTGCTTAGCGAAAAAAGAAAGACCGCTTGCCACTATTTGTGGTCTCAAAAAATATTGACTATTTGCAGGACCTAACCTTCACAATTACGCATTAAAGGATGACTTCACGAATGAAGTTCTTGTGGTTACGAATTGTAAACCAAAGCAAGTGAGGACTGCGATCAACTTGTAACACAACACCTTGTTATACTTTACCCAACAGCTTCTTATTACTAAACGGTTGTGGATGTACCTAATGTTTTTTTAGTTCGACCTGTTCAATTATTATACTTGCTTCAAGGCGTCAGCGAACCAGAAGAAACTAAACAGCAGTGGAAAGTTGTAAAAGCTTTCATTCAAAAACACCATATTGAAACCTCACAAGGAAAGCCAGACTCTTGCAAGCGTAGAGCATTTAAAGCAAGATAGAGTGACCGTGGACACTGGAAAAAGAACCTAACTATATCAGAAATGCAGAAATTGCTCATTGAATAAGAAGTTTCAAGTTATTAACGAAGGATGTAGCTTGGAGTTACAATCAGCTTTTTCATTGACTGCTTTTAGGCCTTACCATGAAGAAAAACAATTAATATTGGTATTATATGTCAAGAAATTAGCTAAAATTTGGTATAATTATAATCCTTAATCCTGTATCTCTTTCTTTTCTCTAGAATGTTTGTTAAAAGAAGTTATGGTTTTTGAGATAAATGAGCTTTTCTATGGTCAGCCCTTATTTTCTAAACTTCATAAAATTGTCTCGGGGATCAGAGCAAAAAACACGAAATAGAGGCTGGGGCTAAATGCAAAATAGCTTGATAACGGCTGGGAGTGAATGGGTTAAGAATTTTACTCAATATCATTTTTATTATTCTAAGCAAAATGTATTGGATGCATTTTTTTATATGGTGCTAAATGTAAGTGTCAAAATGGAAATCTTTCCAAGATGGGGTTCTACAGGCATTGGAGGGAAATATGGGGAAAGACTATAAGGATCAAGGGGACATGTGGTGGTGGAGTAGGGATGTGAAAGCCATGCTGAGAGGAAAGAAGACTGCATATCAAGAGGTATGCAGGAATAGATCTGAGGACAAAACAGTTATATATAAGAAGTTGAAGAAGTAAGCAAAGAAAGCGGTTGTAAGGGCTATTAAAACGGAGACACACTGAAATGCTAGAGGACTTAAACGAGAAAACTAACAGCTTATTCAAGCTGGCAAAGTCTATGAAAAAGGCTGCAAAGGATGTTGAAGGAGGAAGATGTATGAGAGGAAGAGATGGAAGACTAACTTTTAGCGCCAAGGATAGGGGAAGAATATGGAAAGAACACATGGAGAAGATCACCGACAAGGAAAATGAAGGGGATCCGGTAACAGATGCTGACATTGTGAAAGGACTGATCAAGAGTGTCACTAGAGAGAAAGTTTTAAGTGCAATGAGAAAGATGAAACCAAGAAAGGCAGCCAGACCCTTAAATGTACGCACTGTAATGATAACTGTGAGTGGAGAGCTAGGAATTGAAGTTATGATAAAACTCTGTAAGTGTGTGCTGGATGGCGAGGGGATGCCAGAAGAATGGAAGATAACCATGGTAGTACCTATCTCCAATGGAAAAGGGGATGTAATGAGCTGTGGAAAGTGAAGTTGCTGGATCATGCTATGAAAATTGTGGAGAGAGTGCTTGATTTCATGGAATTTGGTTTTATGCCAGGAAAAGGGACGACAGATGCACTATTCATACTAAGAACAGTATAAGAAGAATATCAAGATAGGGTGAAAAAGCTGTACATGTGGATTTAGAAACGCATTTGACCCAAGGAATGGGTAATGAGGAAAAGAGGTGTGCCAGAGGCAATGGTGAAAGCAGAAATGAGTCTTTATACAGGAGCAAAGACTAGAGTTAGAGTTGGGTCAGACCTCTCAGAAGAATTTTGTGTGAATGTAGGAGTACACCAAGGGTCAGTCTTATCACTATTTTGTTTGCAATTGTTGTTGGTGTTGTTACAGAATATGCCAGAGAAGGGTTGCTATCTGAAATTCTATACGTTGATGATTTGGTTGTGATGAGTGAAACCATGGAGAACCTAAAAGAGAAACTTTGGAAGTGAAAAAAAGCGTTTGAGGGCAAAGGAAATTAACCTCTGGAAGAAAGAGTTAAATATGATTGGAAGAGATGGAAGGTGACAAGGAGTAAGATAAATCTATGTGGCGTGTGTGGGAGGAGAGTAATGACTAACTCGGTTTTGTGTAAAAATTGTGATGATTGGACTCATGGTTGATGTGCAAAGATGAAAAGTGTAACCCCAACACTGGTAAGGAATTTTGTAGGTGCTTGGTGTGTGAAAATCAGTAAAGGGGAAATAGAGCCTATTGAAGAATTATGGGACGATGTGGAAGTAGTGGGAAGCTTTTGTTAACGGGGCGACAGGTTGAGTGCCAGCGGAGGATGTGAAGTTGCAGTAACTGAAGAACAAGACGTGGATAGGAAAAAAATTCAGGGATTTAATTACTACTTGAATGAATTACTACTTGGAAGAAGGTTTTCTCTGAAGATGAAAGGAAGGATCTATATCTGTGTAAGATCACCTATGTTATATGGCAGTGAAATAGTGCTTAAGGAAAACGGGATGTCAATTTTAAGAAGGACGGAGAGAGCCATGCATGGCCATAGTGAGGACAATATGTGGGGTGAGACTGATGGATAAGAAAAACACAGACGAACTGATGGACATGTCGGGCTTGAAAGAGTTGGTGGATAAGCTAGCGATAGCAAATTGAGTGCGATGGTGTGGACCTGTCCTGAGGAGACAAAAAGATAATGTTCTAAGAAAGGTGCTAACTTTTGAAGTTGATAGTCTGAGAAAGATCTGGGAGGACTTGGAAAAAGCAAGTGGAAGAAGAAATGCAGAAATATGATTTACAGAATTAAGATGCTCAACATCGAGAGAGATGGCGCGAAGGAGTGAAACAAATTGCTTTAGGGCATAATTGAATCGGTCCACCTGCTTTAAAGTGGAAAAACCCGGATCAAAACTGAACTGATGAAAATACTATAAAGAAATAAATTATTGACATTTTTGATATCATTTTTTTACATTTTAGGCAAGCCAAAGAAAATCCTAAATCAAATTCCAACTGAGATTTCCGAAGACCCAAAAATTATTGAAGCTATAAAACTGGTATGTAAAACTAATAGGCCAAATATTTTTTTAGCTGGCCAGACAAAACAAGGGGATAATCAAGCGCTAGCTAGCTCCTTGCTAATTCATAAATTAGTTGCTTTGGCATCTCAATTCAGATTGGTCTGAGTTAAGTAAACAAGGATCAGCTCGTTGGAAATCTTTAGCTGGTTTACATAATACTTATTTGTTGGTCATAAAAGTCTCATGGTTCTCTCCTGTAAATAAAAACTATTACTACCCTAGTTAAACCAATAAATTGTAGCGCTTTTGAGAAATTCTATCATTTATTTAATGTTTACTACAATCCCTGATCAACTTGTACAGCCATGAGCTTTCAATAGACTATTCATTTTAATATGTATCATATGTTAAAACTTACAGCTCCCTGAAAACTACAATTTTGAAATAAAGAAGACAATTTGGAAAGTTAGAGATGCAAAAGCTAAGAGGGGTAAGTATCCAATATGAATGCAATGAACCTTTCAGTTTCATTGTTAATCTTAACAAGGTTAATTGCTAATGCTGATAATTGATGTATGTTTTCTTATCACATTAGCTAGTTTTACCCAAACATATGTGTTGAAAGTCAATGAACTTTCAGCTCTAGAAGAAATGCTTGTTTTCATTTTAATTTTTTGTATTTTCAACCATAATTAAAATGTCGACTTTTTCTTATCAGTTGCACTACAGTTTCCTGAAGGACTTCTCTTGTTTGCCTGCACTATTTCGGATATTATTGAACGGTGGGTGATTCTCTTTATATTTTACTTATATCGAAGAATACTTGGCTTTCCCATTAAATTAGATTTTTAAAAAGGACTGTGACCAAATTTTATTGTTTTTCCCCAAAATCAAGCAATGAACGCTGCTTCACATTTTGCTCTACAGGTACAAAACTGCTACAAACAGTTAAAACCCATCATTATGATTTCCCACCTTTTCTACTATGATTTTTTTCCGAAAAGACCTTCTATTTCTCACCTTTTGCAGCAAGTATTTCAGTTACTGTGTTTTTCTATATCCGCTATGATTTTTTTGGGGTCATTATCTTTCATTTTAAGGATTTAATTAAAAGCATTAGTTGTCTCAATATGGTCAAGAAACATTGTCATGAAGATATTTTTATTCAATGGAAAAGTGACTTGAAAGTTTTACTCTTTCTTGATAAGAAATTTGGTATTATTGTCAGATTTACTGAAGCAGAAACCCTCATAATGAGTGACGTCACATATGGTGCCTGCTGTGTAGATGATTTCTCTGCGAGGGCACTTGGTTGTGACTTCATGGTCCACTATGGTCATAGCTGCCTTGGTAAGTTAAACATAATAAAAAAGTATATGTTTTTCCATTCGCCATGAGATTATTTTAGAAAAATAAGTGTTCTGCTTTTCTTCAGTTATATGAATTCTGGTTATAACTTAAATTTTTGTTCCTTAAAGAATATTTTAGCCATAATATACATCTCCTTCTTGACATTTTACAACTTCTTAAAAGAATTAGATAAGTTGACTATATTGTAAAAGTTTCAAAGTTTTGGAATTTCGTGCTTCTCATCAACATGAATTTATTCTCAAGATGAAAGATGTCACTGGGGTTTTGAATTGCTTCTCTCTAACTCTGTCTAATTGCAACCACTTTTATGAAGAATAAACTTTTAAGCTTTGTTCCAAACCCTTGTGTAAAGCCGTTTTTTATTATGGATGTTTATTATGTTTATCGTTGTAAATAAATCATACATGAATTTTTGTAGAGCCGTCATTAAGGTTGATGATTTCAGCTTGAATGTCTGTTTTTGGTAAAATTTAGACAGAACGTGATCGGAGGGTATATGTCCCTTAAGTATTCATGAATCTCTTATGCTGGGAAAATTCATCCTCGACCCCGTGCTGTGTATTAAACAAAAATATATTTGTATTACACTAGCCAAAAATGCTTGCAGCACATACCCTTGAAAGTAATTCATGGTAATCAAAAATTATTACAGTTATGTAATTGTCTTTTTTATCAGATTTCGAAGACTTTAGAAAATTTGATCGCTTTACTCGATTTCAGTGCCTATAAACGCGACGGAAGGTATCAAGATGCTGTATGTCTTTGTGGACATCAAAGTTGATCTCAGCCACTTCATAAACACTGTTAAGCATAACTTTAATGCAGGGGCTAAAATCGCAATGGTTAGCACAGTACAATTTCTATCGACCTTACAGGTATATTTTTTGGATTTTTTCAGAACCTTTACCTGTCTTTTTAAAATTAGTTTAACGAATGCAGTATTGTCATTTGGTTATACTGGGAGAGATGTATTTTTTCTCGAGCATCTATTTAAATTTTTACGTCAGTTGAAGATAAATATCGCTGGCTTATTCGTTTTTTAGTGGATAGTGCCCCTCTTAAATTATGGGCGGTATTTATGATGGAAGTATTCCTCTTGATTCCCCTTCTTGGAGAAAAATAAGTCTTTTATTTTAGGTAATAATAATAGCATTTCTAACAGGAATTTCCGAAGTCGGGGTCCTGGATTTTCTTATCATTTTTCTTTAGACACCATAAATCAAATTCTCGATTAAGGGAAATGAATGAATGCATTTAGAGCTGAGTATCCTGTAGCGGATCAAGACGGGTGCGAAGACGGCAATTGTTGCACCTGACAGATTTTTTTAGAGGTCGGTTTTGCCACAAGTTAGTCAGCACCCAAGCGATTCGCCACTGGTATCGATGGAATTTCACTTCAGCTCAACCATGTGATTTCTTCTATGAATAATGTCATTTAATTTGACGGTTATTACCGAATCAACTTTTTAAATTTTTTTTACCCTGAAGCCAGTGATAAGTTATTGGGGGGTATTAATGTCCTCTTCTATCTTTTAGATCGGCCTTAACCCTGAACTCATCCCTCATAATCTTTAATTAATATTTTGCTTATTGAATGTGAAATTCCTAGGCAGCTCAAAAGGAATTAGGAGCAGATTTCGTTGTGGACATTCCTCAAGTTAAGCCCCTGTCACCGGGAGAAATCCTCGGCTGTACATCACCAAAACTAAAAGATTCTGAATACATCGTGTAAGTCTTCGTTTCCTTCTTTACATGACAAACGTTAATTGCTAAAAGTCGTTAATTGCGGTAGTTAAAGATGTAAAGATGTATAGTCCGACTTTTTCACAATAAGATACTTGACCGTGAAGACCATGAATCTGATTGACCAGAATGAGCATTGGAACCACTCGAATAACTCGTTGCTATTTGGACCAATCAAACTTTCTAGCAAATTTCTTTGTGTTTGTCATATGTCTTAACACAAGTTCTACGGTGATTTCCTGACCATATCATTTTGTAAGGCATGCCAAAAGGTGGTTAAGTTTTGATTAAGCAGATTTATCAAAATTACTGAATTGAACATTTCTTTAAATACACTTTTATATTAACGAAGTGGTTTATCACAATATAGTCAAGCTTTTTAACCTTTTATGTTATGTTTCGATTCAAAATGGGTAAAATGATTGAAATTATTCAACCAGTCAAACCAATTTTTGAAATTTTAGTGCAACGGCCTTTGGAATTTTGTCACTTTTTCCTTCGAGTGTTGTTATTTTCCCTCTAGAATTGGCACTAAATAAATACTGCACAAAAGTTTCCAAAATGCTATTAGCATGTTTCTATGGCTAATTTTCATTGTTTGATTATATCCTTTTTATCTTTAGTTACCTCGGCGATGGACGGTTTCATCTCGAATCAGTTATGATACAGAACCCAACAATACAGGCATACAAGTACGTTTTCAAATTCAGATACTTTCTTAGCCTTTCAAATGCCTACAAAAATGAGAACTGTTTTAATATTAATTCTAGTATTACAGTGTTATGTATTTAGAAGCTATTTATTCATAATAGAGCAGTGCAAAAATAGTAAGCATATTGAAGTATCCATTTCGTGTGTACATGAAGGTTCCTAGGAGTTGAGCAGTACCGTTGAGAAGTAGGATGTGACTGGAAATTAGACTTTAAAGTAGAAATCAGGGTAAGAAAAATGATCAGTAAAAGTATAGATGAATCTTTAATCCCGGTTAAGGTAAACAGTGAAGTCAAGTTTGTATTTCCAAAGACCAGAAAATATATAAATTTTAAGTCTTATGTTAAGTCCCATTATCATAGATCTTGTTTTATTTTTTATCGTTTTTTGTTTTATTGTAAATTTGATTTTTACCATTCTGTTAATACTAGTACCCCTTCGGTTTATCCCCCATTCTTTTTTCTTTTTTGCTAGAATTTTCACAGCCGATAACTCTATTCTCCAAACCTTTTTTCCCTTAAATGCCTTTCCCTTAAATTCCTTGATAATTTTGCAAATATTTCTTTGTATCTATTGTTTTAACACTGTTTCATTTAATTCTTATGCTTTTCATTTATTCTGAAATCGTTGATCTGCAATATTTTGTTTGTCTTAGGTATGATCCTTACAGCAAAGTCTTTACCAAGGAGTTTTATGATCACGAAATGATGCTTTCAATAAGAAGAAAAGCGGTCCAATTAGCTACATCTGCCTCAAAGTTCGGTATTATCCTTGGCAGCTTGGGCAGGCAAGGCAGCCCCAAAATTCTAGAAGTATGAACAATCATTTCATGTTGTAACTTTTCCTTTGTGTGTGCAGAGAACTGCTCTCAAATAAGCCATTAGAGTTCTGTTTAAGATACATGCTAACGATGTGTTTTATTTTTACTGAGATTTTACGATTGCTGAAACTGGTATTTTTTAACTGATTTTTATCGTTAAGACCAGAGCTGATGCTAGCAGTTATTTATCATGCAGCTAATACCATGAATATTCAAACAACAAAGGCTCCGAATTGCATCTTTCTATGCACCCACTGTTATCCCATTAGAGTATTTGCATCAGCTAGGCACAAATTGTCCAGCATTTTAGCTGCTGTTGGAGACGCTCCACCCTGAGCATTGTAATTGCCTTAGTCCCTTTTAATTTTACTTAGTGATTTAATTTTTCTCCCTGAATTCCATTGACATCGTTTTGCCCCCTTTCATTCAAGACATCTTTCCTTGACCCGTATAGCCCCTAAACCAACCTTAGATCTCCATATATGCTGCCTAAAATAAAGATGGTTTCTGGTTTTTTTTAGTCGTTGGAAGAAAAGCTCAAGCTGCTTAATAAAGACTACATCATTGTGTTGCTATCAGAGATATTTCCACAAAAGTTAAAGTTAATGACAGACATAGAGGCGTACGTATACGGTTGTACAATAGAAATTATTTCTGAAATTTCTTATCATTCATTTTAAATCGAAGTTTACATGTTCTTTTGTAAAGTGTAACGGAAATCTAAATATTTCCTGACTGTTAATGTAGGATAGAAACATGGTCAACTTTGTGCCAGCTAGATTGGAAATGACCCTTGGAATTCCTTTGTTTCCCTTTGATCAGAAAGTTTGCTTTCGCATTAGTTTTAAGTCAAATGTTTACATTCATTTGAATGCAACATAATTTCTTGCCTGTATGACAAGTTTAGCTTTGCTTTTCTGAATTAATCGTTTTTCGTTTGAAAAAATATGGCAGGCTAGACGATATTTTTCTGAAAGTGAAGAAAAATTATTTTTACGCTATCATTAACTGTCAGGAAGTTATCTTAAAGGAAAAGAAACTCGCGTGTGTTATCCATCAAATACTTATTTCAATTTTCCTGAAACCTATATTTTGTTCATTTTAGATGGGTGCAAATTGCATGTCCACGACTTTCGATAGACTGGGGAACTGCATTTGAGAAACCATTGCTAACGCCATATGAGGTAGTTTTACGGGTAGACCTTTATTTAGACTATGTAATGATGTCTTGAAATTAATTTTTAGGAATGTTTTCAATTCGAGTGATATATTCTGATTAATTCTAAAATGCTCATGCACGTGGAAAAGAATTGATTCTAATGGAGGCAGATTCCGAAAATAAGGAAAAAATCTCCTTGCTTGCCTGAAATGATTTTAAATCATCGTCACTGTATATTTTGCTTCAGTCCAGTTTAGAAGTAAGTATTGTCCTAAAATTCTGACCGTTATTCTGCCTATTAAAAATGCATTTTTATTCTCCGTTGGAAAAAGCGTCGTTGTCTCTAAGCATCTTTTGCATATGAACCTTCTATTGCAGGTAATGGTGGCGCTGTCACAAACTGAATGGCAAGAAGTTTATCCAATGGACTTTTATGCGAACGAAAGTTTAGGGGATTGGACAGTGAACAATGAAAGACATAGACCGAAAAGGCCAATTAGAAAGCCAAATGAGGGTGCAAAATTAGGAAAAAATAAAGAAACGGTGACAACGTAGCAATACTTGAAATCTAATTCGCCCTGCATTGGTATTTTGTAAAATCTTACGTTAATTATAATTGAACATTTATGTAACAACTTCTAGCGTCCACGCGCAATCAAGCTAACCTGCGTCTAGCAACCTAGGATTATTGTACAAAATAGAGGATCCATACCCCCTGAATGAAACTTCTTTCCACATGCTATATATGCTACAAGCCTTTCCAAAACAGTGCAGAAAGTTTTTGAGAAGGAATTTTGGCAATCACCAAAGAGTTAATAGCTGTCATATTTTCATTGGTGTCTAACTTCTTGTTTTTTTCTGTCAATGATTGTATTTAATGAATGAAAAATGGTCCACATGTATCCGGATATATGCGCCTTTAAATGAGTTCCCCCTTTAAGCGAGGAAAAAGTAGGAAAGCGGAAATTGTGGAATCAACCAAACAGCTCGCGCGCCCATGTTTAGACGGCGCTTTTCAGACAGAAGTGACTTTATTTACATTTGCTTTGTTTATTACAGATAGGCTAACTGGATTAAGTTTTGCATTTGATTCTTTGTTAAGTCATATTTTAGAAGAACTGTATAAGTTCGATTTGAATTAGCAGCTCCCCGATTTAAAAGATAGATGCTCCCCTTCCTTTTCAAACACGATGGAGACAAAAGCAAAATGCAATAGAATCGTTTCAATTTATTGACTTCCACCGTAGCTTGCTCTTCCATGGGTGTACAGTTTTGTTTTTATAACGGGGAGGGAGAAAAAGTTATAATTCATATATTTTTGCTTGAAAGTGTAATGAGTAAATGTAATATACAATATAATTATGTATAATGTGCAAGTGAATATATTTGTCCAGAGAAATGTAAAGAAACAGCTAAAATGCACTTCTCTAAATTCCCAGTTATGTCTTATAATAAATTGCAAGATTCTGTACAAGCAGTTTAGATCTTAAATTCTTAGCCGATTCTTAAAGATCTTCGCAGTGGGATCAAAGAGATTGACAAATGGAAGGTATGTTTTAGCCGTTAAAAAGAAAGACATCTATCGAGTTTTTGAAAAAAAAAATACAAGCGTGACATTCATGCAATAAGTTTTATGTACATTTATATTATGCAAGCATGTTTCAATTCCTAAAGTGTTTTTATGATGAAGAAAGACAGTAGCAAAACTGAAACTTTCTTGCTCGATTCTTATCAAATTTACACGTTGTGTCGCTTAAGAATAATTTAAGAACATTCTTAGGCTCTGAATCACAATTCTTAGTACAGAACTTGAAAATGGCTTTGAAAAAAGCAAACATTTTACAACATATTAGCTAAAAGCTTTTTAGTTAATATGTTGTAAAATATTTGCTTTTTTCAAAGCCATTTTCAATTTCTTAGTAATTTTAAGGCTCAGCAGAATTTAGGTATTCCTATGTCAAATAAATGCGTATGATTTTATTTCCTTTTTCTTTACTTTCAAGATTAACCAATTCTCCTGCACCCCCTCTCCCATACCTCATGTTCCTCCCAATGTACAATCCCGTTCCCGTAAGAAATCAACGTGGAGCTGGCAATTGAACATGACCACATATTTCCGATCTATCTATAAAGATTTTGAATTTGGTACGCAGGGTTGTACTTTGGTATACTAGAGGTATGCAGGATATCGTAAACAATAGAAAGGGGCAAGAATAGGTTTTGTTGTGAACCTTTTGTTTCACGCGTTAGATTTTGTGACAGAAAATTTTCCAGCTTTTGGTTTTATTATTTATAAGATACAAACTGATTAATATTACATTGCTATACTGCACTCAAAATCTACGCCCTCTGCTCCTTCCTCCTCCTACCAACAACTCTCTACGACACGTGTTCCTTTTCCTAGGGACCTGGGGCGAGGTCTCTAACAGGTTTACTCTGGTATTACACAAGAGGATTGACCCCCCCCCCTCCCCCCAAGCTCCTCTTAGCACTGCTCCAGTTTTGGAAAGGTGCGCAGCAATGGATTCCATTGTTAGAATTGCCAGAATACTTTTCGTTTTTGCTAGAGACAAGTTTCAATAGGCCTGATTTATTGAAAATACTTGGGTTATCAAGATGAACTAAAAATACCCATTGATAACCTTTACCTTTCAAATTGTGACCATGCTGCTACGTAAAATTTGCTTATCAGTTCCATACGTACAATGAAACAACTATTTTGGTTTTTAGGTTTCTGGAAAGTGTCATACTTTTGGAATGGTTTTGTATCAACTCAATGTAACCCTACGTAGTTCGTGACGTAAGTCCAGATCTTGGTCATATAAACCCTAGACAAGTATTCATCTCGGATATGTAAAATGTTATCATTTCCGCTTTAAAGAATGAGATTTACTTTTCAGGCTACAGTTGGAGACGAAATCAATCTGCTTTGTGGGAATTCGTAATTACTCAATATAGCCTGTTCATCGTTGGAGGCACTCGTTTCTCTTTTTAAAACATACAGGGGTACGTACATAAAAGCAGTCTAACAGTGACTTTTTATTCGGAAGTAAGGATGGTGCCATAATTACTTTGAAAGCAGTGTGCGTATGCTATTATCTGTATTATGTAGGCAATATTTAGATTTGATTGTTTGTATTGAACGTCGAATAAAAATGTGATAAGTTGTCTGTTTTCTGACACTGTCAGGTACGTCTTTTTCTTTTCGTGAAAGAATTTTGTGCTTACTAAAAGATCAACCTCGAAAATCATCTGATAGCAATTTTTCACTTGTTATTATTGTTTCTTCCTTAAACATTGTATAGTCACATTTGCATTTACACAATCTTTGGAATTTCATAAAATTCCTATAGAAAAAGATTCAATCAAACAAAAGCCTTTTGCAATGAAAAACATGTACTGGGAATGATGAAATTCCGAACATGCTTTCCCGAAAGGCGTTACACTTATCCAGTGTGTTTGTTGAGCAAAAGGCAGAGTAAATACTAAATGCCTTTCCCTAAAAGGAAGTCTGCTGTAAATTGAATCCTGGAAAAATGTATGTTTTTACAAATCAATATTTGGTCATAAGCACAGGACTCAAACTAATAACCTTCCACCATGAATCCTTTCAGAATGTGTTCTTTCTTCGGCTACTGAACTCCTGTTTTTACTCCCCAAACTCAATCAAACCAAAACAAAATCGCGCGAACAGTGTACTTGATTACCCAGCATGCACCGTTTTCATGAAAGCGCGTATTCAATCTTTGGGTTGTAATGGTAAAAGGACTTTGAGAAAAAGCAGGAATGAAATTTAGCAGTCCCTGTGTCATTGTTCACAAAACATTAATGAAACAATTTTAAGAACCTCACCCGAGCTTGGATGTAAAAACTTTTCGCCTTGCAACGCGTTTTACCTTATTTTCGTATCGCGTATATCATTTATTTCTTTGGTGTTTAACCCGTAACTCCCTCACATTGCATTGATTGTCATTATTGATTATATGGAGACATTTTATGTCTTCTCTCTTGATGTGGTCTTAACTCCTTTGGTCCATGTAAAGCCCTCGTGTCGCCCCCTTATTAGTATATCGACAGGAATTTTGAATAATATTTGAATATCATCTTTTTAGACCAACAGTTAAGTATAGTCACTTTGTCATGGATAGTATCGAATATTCTGCATCAACTGCCAAAGTCTTTTTTAATTCGTCTGGAATTTCTCAAGCAAACTACGGACATGAGAATCAAAGAAATTTCCCTTTCAGTCACATTCTAGACATTTTTGCCACAACGTTCTTTTAGCATGAGTTGGTTTCAGTGAAGTTACATTCCATTGATAACTATTGTATCTCTCTGTATTGTCTGAAAATATCCAGATAGTTGTAAGATTCTTGAGATTAATCCCGGATAATCCTAGCAGAAACGCGAGAATAGTCTTCAAAACCCGTGCTTTCCATGTTTGCCGTTGTCTCAATTTTCCTTGTTTCAACATAGACAGTAATTCAATCAAGCTGTACACGAAACTGTTACAGGGCAATAAAACTTTATACTCAAAATGTTCATGGAATGATCAAGGTAAGAACGTTTGTTAATTAAAACACTTGTAGTTAGATTCTTATCTGGAATCCAAGTAGGATAGTTATATATCCTCAATGAATTCAGAGCGGCATATATGTATCGAGTACGTTGATGTGAGTTACAGTTGTCAAGCGTTTTTCTTGGCTCGTTTTCTTATATCGTTCTTGCCGAACAAAACTACCACCCAAGTGACAGATGTCTTGCTTTCATACTATATATTTTCGGCTGGGCCTTTATCAGCGCTTTAACTCTATATTTGATGTTCTTTTATCATTAGATGTTGTGTTACAAGATTTTCCTTGATTATTTGTTAATATCTTATATGCTTACAAATAACTTGTTTAATGAGACTCCTCCGAACAATTTCCACCGTTTTTTTTACTCTGAGAAGTCACCAATTGAGATTTATCACCGAGTCAAGCAAAAATTGGCGGTTATACGGCCAACGACTTTAAAAAGGTCATTGATAACATCGCGCCCGAATTGCGTACCGCACCCAGACCACGCCCTATTTCCATTATTTTTGAGGATTTTTTCCAAGCTTGAATTATTGGCTAGAGGAAGAATAAGCACTTTTCTAGGCTCTATTTCTTTTTTCTGAGTTCTTGTTAGCTGTTTTTATGGTATGTTACGTCATTGAGTTTCATCGATTTGCATCAACCCTAACAAAAAGCAATCTTGATAACTATTTCATCTATAAGACTGTCTCATTAAGGGAGTATTTTTTGTGATCTGTCACATGACAAAGAATGTACGATACCCTTTACTATGGTCAACCAACTTGGTATACTGTAAGGTCAGGTTTAAAATTTCTCAGCCTTGACTTACATTGTTGGGGTTAAAATTGAAGAGCTGTGAGTGATGACCATAATAGGGTTATAGATCTCTAGGTTTCACCAAAGCTTTTTATCTAATAAAGACAATTTTTAGCCACGTTAAACTGTATAACGGGAACAAGTTACTCCTCTTATTGTACATTTAAATCAGGGCCAATTATTTGTATTGAAGTTCGATATATCAACAAATAAGGACCAACAACACAATAATTTGCTTTCCCCTCCGCTTTTCTGGCCTTTTCATTATTTACATATACTAAGTTATACAAATAAAATTTCCCTTCCAAAAACTCGATGCTAAAAACTCTGATTTCATCTCTCTGTTATTTCCCTTTACACTATTCATATTTATTGTTTTCCATACCACATATAACGCATATTTAATGCCTCTAGAATCTAACTTTTCCTTACTTAATGCTCCTTTACATTTTCATCAAAAATTCTTCTTTAGTTGACTGTTTCCTCCATTTTCGTATATCAGTCAGAAACCTTTTTCTAAAACTGACTGAAATATTGGAGATGTGAGAGGACTGGAAACCAATTATGCGCTCTTAGAGACTGGTGAGGAACACTGAAGAAAGGAGTGGTAGTAGTTGTAAACATGAGTTGCAGAAGTTAGAGTTTAGAAAGGCAGTATTAGAGACATGCTGTAATTTAGTGGGGGGGGGGGGGTTACTTGGTTTTGACAATATTAGTGAAAAGCAATCGATGAGGGAGGAACTGCATTTTGCATTAGTTTTTTAGTTGTATTTTGAAACATTGCTGCATTCATGTCACTTCATCTTAAAACAATTATAGTTACTATCCAAATCATTATAATTGACAAGACAATAATCATAATCATGATCAAAACTGCTACGGTCGTTATCATCATCACCTTCAATGTCAAAGTAGCAATCATAATTAAAATTTTCATAATTGTCAACATCATATCTTTTGTCTCAACCTTTACAATCGCCACGATCATTGTTTTGGTAGCAATAATCACCATAATCAATAATCACCATAATCAAGGGAAGTCACATGACCATCATTGTAATCATCATACATACGTCATCATCGCCATCATCATAAACATTTTCAAGATCACGTAAAAAAGCTACAGTTAAAGAAGTAATAATAATAATCATCATCATCAATGTGTACTTATGACTTGGTAAAGAAGGACTGGCAAAGTTCTATAAAAACAGGTTGTCGAAACTTCAGCATAACATTTTTCATTCGCAAACTTTCCCATCGTGTTAAGTGTGCATAGCCACTGTGAGACAGATTTACGGATTTACGTCACCACACAATATCAACCAAATCCTGAAGGAGATAAATCAACTGCTTCTTTTTGCTTTCCTAATTTATAATGCGATTTTTCTTTGTATACTCATTATATTGAGAGACGTGATCTTTGTTTTTAAGACACTAACATGATTTGTTTAATGGATTTGAAGGTCTTGGAGTTGGTGTTTTCTTTTGAGTCTCGTCTATTGTCCTTTTATTCTTCTCGATAGTGGGTAAGCGAAGAATTCGAGGCATCTGCCTTTTGCATTGCATCTGTTTTTTATTGCAGGAAAACTATCATCTGACAAGGGGCAAGACTATCTTCTTTGAAGCTATCATTTGCACACCCAGTTGCTTGTATGTGTTTGTTTTCGCTATTAAATCTCAAACTGATTATTTTTGAATCCTATCCCTTAGTTTATAAAACTTAAAAACAAAGGGGATGAAATTGATCCTTCCATCTCTTTGTTCTCCCCTGTTATGCAAATTTGAACCAAGGTCTGCTTTTGACCTTTTAGAACATCTTTGATTTCTTTATAGACCGGTTTATGCAATTCAGTGGAAGCACATTATTACTCGAGCTTTTGGATACGCTGTCGTTAGTCAAAGCTTAGGGCCAAAGATGTCTTCTATTGTACGATCAAGGTAAGAGGGTGAATACTTTTCTCTTGTGAGATGATGTTTTTAGCTGCATAAAGGCTACTTATCTTTATAGAAGAACGTTAATTCCATAAAACCAGGCTGTTTTTTAATATATGTTTCAGAAGAGTGGATTCCCTTACATGATCGCCCGTGGTTGGAAATTCATTTGGCATCAATTTGAACAATCTTGTTAGCTTTTACCGCTTTTTGTGTCGGTATTTCAATTGAATCAAATAACGTTCTTATACAATTCGCTGGACAAAGATGTGCTAACCTGGCTTGATGCACTGAATACCAAACAATCCCTTTTTCTACCCAGTATTGGATTGAGGGCTTTTTCCAGTCACTAACCTTGTATAAATGTTACCAACATAAAGATATGTTAAATCTTATCTAAATCTTATGTTAAATCTTATGTAAGCTCTCCGTGAAAACTCTGCAGGCTGTTTTAGCGAATTTCAGATAGACTGCAATATCAGTCAATGGGAAATATTGTTAAACCTGTTAGGTCTTGTCTTACATGATTCTCAGATTATTGAGTGAAAAGCACCAACCTTTAAATTAGATGATATGGTAACTGTTTTAAAGAGCCGTTAAAATTTTTCTAAGACTGGAATTAACCACAAGATACATTATGCTGTGCGATAAAGACGTACTTTTGTGTCCAAATCAATCAGCTATCAAGGTGCCGTTCTTCACATTTTCTTCAGGGCCTTGAGGCTGGTACTGTAAAGTCTTTAAAGTCAACACATCGTTCTCATTAATTTGATTTTTCAAAAGTTCCTTTATGGTTTGTTGCACAGTATTCCAAAATAAGAAGAATACATGTGCGAAATAGCAAGGTTATATGCTTTCAACAGGAATGATATTAACCAAACCCTCCATCCTTTGAAAGTCCTTTTCAACCAGCACCCTATCTGTAGTAAGCTACAAGCCTTTTGCAAACCTGGAAACTTTTTTTGTTGCTCAATGCAGGGACCTGAGAATTCTTTGAAAGGAAATGTAATTAACAAAACATAGGTTCATATCCATGCTCAGCTTATATCACACGCAGTCTCAATAAAATGAGCTTTATCTCAAGCAAAAAATAGTTTTAGATTTTGAAAACTGTAAAAGAAAGATTGCGAAACTGGAACCTTTCCATTCGAAATCATATTAAGACTTATAGGTGAATGTAGCTTTGTGCTTTATTGGTGAATATAGCTTTGTACTATTAGATTGTCAATCACGACGTGAAATGTCAATCGAATCTTTGATCTTGGATATAATGGCTGGAAAGCTCTCTTTTTTTCTTTCTTTCAAGGCTTAATCTCCTTTAGCTCTCTGCTGACACTTGACAGATTTTCTTGACGAGCTGAGGATGATTTTTCTAGGGTTCATTTGCAGTTGCAATTATCGAAAAACAAATATTGGAAGGGGAAGGTCGTTTAATTCTCTTGGTGTATGCTAAGCACGAGGAAAGTTTTAATACTGACAAACTCATTCAATTTGAATAAATAATTCAGCAGTAACACGTTGGGACAAATAACCTGCATCATTTCATCATAGTCTACGATTCTATATTGCTTGTAAACCAAAGATTTGCCTAAGGACAGTTTTTGCCTTGGCGTAAAGGCCTTAACCTTGGTGTTAATTCGTTTCCTTTATAAACTTTTAATTCACTGAAAGGAAAACCTAGATAGCAATAAAAAGCAAGACGAGGACAAGGTTGAAAAAATAATTCACCGACCCTCTATTTTCCATTTTTAGGTAGCACAAATACCCAACAAATACCCAACACAAATTTACTCTAAGACATGTAAATGAACGTTCGTGGTGATATGGTTATCATCAAAAACTCGAAATTTTCTTATCGTCTCATCAGACGTTGATTATCTCTTTTCTATGGTCTATTTAACTTAAACGTAGTTAATGATAGTGTTGCCAATGGAGACCATTCATTAAAAAAGCGACTTTGATAACAGTACGCTTTGACATTGTTTTCACAAATCCACATACAAATCGTTCTTATTATTTCCCAGACCTGACTTTGATAAAGGTGACATAGCATTGTATTGAATGAAACTAAGGATTTATCGCCTAACAGAAATGTCCTCTGCCAGAGAAGCCAGAGCCAGAGCCTCTTTTTGTATTTGGAGATACCCAACACTTCTGACCAGAAGGCTGCAAAGAAAACAACTCTTTGAACTGCTCAAAATGTCGATGTACTTATCCAAAGTTTTGTTTCATAGAAAAATGATAAGAAGGGGCAAATAATTACATTAAACTTGTCTTAATAAGCTATCATTAACCAAAGCTTATCTCTAGAATATTCTATAGTATTTAAATGGTTGAGGCTTTTTTAAGGCAAAGGTGAATCGTGTTGGTAAAAATACAGACCGCACTTTTAATAACCCTTTTAACCGAAAGGCATATTGCAAATATATAAACAGGCTGATGAAAAAGGTCCTTTGCCTGCTGGGTGACAAATTCAAATGAATACTGAAAAACCTGTGGGTGCCTATTTGAAATAGAATTTGCGAAGAGACAACTCAGTTCTGGGGTACAGTCTGGTGTGAAGCTTCGAGGTCACAGAAAGGAGACTTTGTTATGCAAAGTTTGATTGAGATGAACGCAAGCTTGCTGTTAAATTTTCCCAATTGCTAACAGTGTTGATTTTATTCTTACGTTTTGCCCAAGATTCCTGTACCCTTGCTATAACTTTTTTGTCGTTTTAGTTATTCGTCGAGGCAGACTAAAACCGTTGGTGGTGTGACTCGTACAGAGGAAAATAAAGTTTTAGAAACAAGGTCAGGGAAGGAGGGTACGAGAAAAGAAGAGCAAACTGTAACTGTGAAGAAAGATGGCTCGAAAATATCAGAATCTAAAACAACAAAAGAGCAGAAGATCCCAGGAACTGGCAGCAGATTTGGACAAAAAGCATTAAAAGATGCTAATGATAATACGATTGGAGTAAAACTTCAAAAAGATACTTCAAAAAAACCGGATGCAAAGGAGAGGTCAAAGGGGGCAGAGGCTGCTGTCGACTTGAAAGCAGAAGTTGCAAAGAGAAGGCAAAGTAAGCTTTTACATTGATTGTTGTTTGTGGCAAGGGGGCGGGTATCTGTTGTTTTGCGGGGTTTTTATAAGGAGAAATAAATCCTGTTTAGAAAGTGCCGTGAAAATGCACTTTGTCTGTAAGTCTTTCCACCTTACAATGCATCTTACTTTCTCTCACGCTGGCCACCAAATACAACAATATTCTTGCATGTGTGGTGAGTTTAGTGTGACATTTTGTTTTTCATTTCTTTGTATAGAAACGGCTATGAGCATTGAGCAGAGAATGATGGAACAAAGGCAGCGAAAGGCAACTGATCAGAAGAAGCGAATCCAGGGACGCCAGGCGTTCAAGGCTCAGCTGGAGGCAAATGCCCCAGTGAGAAGGTAAATTTAGCTGTTTAGTTGAAAGTAAAGCCCGTATATAAATTGAACCACACTTTTTTGGGAAAAGAACACGGTTAAGTATACAACACTGAAATGTTGCATAATCAAAAGATGTGGTCTAAAGGACTTTTCTTGTGCTACCCCCATTACCCTGCCCCAAACCCCCTACATCACAACAGTAAGCCAACCCACTGTTCAACGTAAATTTAGTGGAAGTGGATTGGAATATAACTTTGTTTGAGAGCTTGCAGACAGTTTTTATAGAGTGGAGTAGTTTAGGGATTCAGACTTGTGCAAAGGATGGCTTGAAGAAAGATGACTGAAGTTTCCTTTTTTCTACAAAATAGCCCAACGCGAAAGTGCTGTATTTGCTATGCTATATTGCAATGCTTATAATGTTATTATAATTTTTTATGGATGCATTCTGTACAATTGCCTGCAAGCCTTATCTGAGTGTGCAACAGTCCTAACAAAATACCCTTAGAATGTTCTAATTCTCAAGTGTTGTTTTGGAATTGCTTTATTTCCGATAGAAAAGGACAAGACCCTTCTCCCGAAAACAATGTTGGTTGCAGAGTTGTCATAGCTATGGGACAGGATTCAATTGGGCATTACCAAACTTTTTGATTTTACATAAAAAAGCATTGTTGGGATGAGAGTGGGGATGCAATAAAATGTGCAAAAATTTAGAGTAGTATACAATAACTTTTGTCAAGGATTGTGTTTTAGGAAATTTGGTACAAAGTTGTGGGGTGAGGCTTAGTTCTTTAATTCTTCTGACGGGAGCTACAATATCAGCATCGTTTTTTAGTTAACGGGGCTTCCAGCTTATTCATTGCCGTATAAACTCTGTCAATTTTTCAATGTCAAATCAAGTAGTTGTTTGCTCATCTTTCAGTTCTATCCTTTTGTATCTTCAGTGGGCCAAAAAAGGCATCTTTTCGTGGTAATGGAGATTCGAATATAGACAGGTTGTTACGATGGACCCAGAATCGGACTAACTCTTATCCAGTAAGTTTCATTTATCATAATTGACAGTTTCGATCTATCAGGTTTCACTAAGATTAACTTTGGTCTAAAATGATCCAGTTTATAAATCCAGTGTGACACCTGTATTATATATTCCAATAAAATTTATCTGCGAAATTGTAAGTAGCTTCTCTCGCACCTTTGTGCTGTGAAAAAAATCTGGAAAATGGCATTGAAAAAAGAAAACATTTCACAACATACTACTAAAAGCTTTTTCGTCTGACACTCCTCAGAGTATAAAACGTCAGAGTAATGGGCCTTTAATGACAATTCGTTAATGACATCGCAAGATACCATCCAAAATTCGGCTTAAACACTTCTTGGTTCTTATCCTCGAGGTTGATACCCTTCCTTCTAACTATTTTTTTGTAAAAATTTTACTAGTAAAACATTTGTAAATATAGATGAGTCATTCCACTTTCTAATGTCTAGGGCGTGGAGGTAACCGATTTTAGCTCGAGTTGGGCTGATGGCTTGGCCCTGTGTGCGTTACTGAATTCTCTTTGCCCTGGCGAATTCCCTTTGGATCAAATGTCCGAAGATGACCGGAAAACCAACTTGGATGTTGCGTTTAAATTTGCAGAGTGAGTATGGTATCTGAAAGTTGTTTTGTAACAACATCGTAGGATCATTGAAAAGTATGCCTGAGACTTTTAATTTCACTTGCAGAACTATATAAGTTTGGGATTGTCTAATGCATTGGGATACTCTCGATGAGCATTAAATGCTGGCTGTTTGAGGTCTCTAATTATTGCTAGATCTTATAGCTGACAAGTTTGCTTTGATTGTAGAGAGCAGGGCGTGCCACCTTTGCTGGAGACCGAAGATATTTTGAGATCAAAAAACCCGGAACCAAAATCGATGATTACCTATCTACATACCATATACAAAGTGCTAGTGGCTGATAAAGCAGAACAAGATAAAAAAGAGAAAGAGGAAAAGGAACAGAATGAAAAGGATGAAGATGACTCAAAATAATTTTCATACTCATGCATTAATTTTCGAACGTATATTATTTTTCGAAATTCCCATTCCAGAATGAACGATTATTGCGGTTTTCGACATTGTAAATATTGTAGACTTTAAATTGGCTTTAAACCCAATTTTAAAGTTTTGTCAGATGGAGGAATTAATACTCTACCCTCTAAGGATTTAAATATTTATACTTAATTAAAATGAGTGCTAGGACGTTATAAGCGCATAGTCACCTGATTATGAAATTCAACATTTCATTTTCATCATATCGTACAGAAAAAATTACTGCATAGACATGGCAACAACAATTATAATACATTTGTGAAACCCAATGGCCTATCTCCCTGAAGCGTTTCCAAAGATATTTCATTGAATGGACTCATGACAGGTTTTCAAAAGTTATGTACAGCAGTTATATTCACGTGCATAATATGCAGTAGCTTTCTTGGAGTATGTATTCATAGTCATAAATGGCACTTGATTATCTTAACGTAAGCTGCACTGCATTGCCTGGGTGTTGATTGTTGAATCAATACATTTGCTTATAATTTCGGAAACTTAAACATGTAATATGATTTTATCATGATATCAAGCTACATCTGTTCACCTTATTGAGCGTCAAACTTGTCAGTATTTACCAACAGCTCGACTGCTCGAAATGGGGGTAGTTGCAAATTTTGACATACATGGCTTAACCGAAAACTTCCTCACTTTTCAAAAATATATGCTAAAATGAAATTTTTGGAGGAACTTTGTAGCCTTCAATAGGCCAGAAGTTGTGAGGTGTATCTAATATCTAAAAAATTGCAGTGCTTCTCTTTATATTAATGTGCGTTTTACTGTCTCTATAAATAATATGATTAATTGCCTCACTAAATGCCTTGCGGTATTACTATTTTTCATTATTATTGTTGATGCAGACCTACAGAAGATAAACCTTCTTACTTCATTTCAAGTACCATTAGCAATGCACATCTTGATACTTGAAAAAGGTGAAAATAGTAAAGAACTTATCGATTTGCCCTGACCACTTCACCCCTAAACGCACATCAGGAGTGGAAAAAATCACTTTCATGTGGATCCTGTTTCTGAATTTAAGCTTGTTTTTTATAATTAATGGATCTTTGAATAAAGTGAAGTTTTTCTGGGCACCAAAAATATTGATCAGGCATCCCTTGTAACAATGGTTGCCAAATATTAGTCAGAAAAACAGAGGTTGCCCTTGTAATAAATGAATATTTTTATTTTTATTTTCCAAATTCAAGTGGACTGATCCCACTCCCCCGTAAAAAATTGCAAATGAAGATGAACATTTCGCTAAACATCTGAGATACTGTTCCGCTCCCACCTTAATTTGTCGTTATTTTCTTGTCGGAATCCAACATTGCATATGGAGGGAAAAGATGATGAGGGTGCTCTGACATATTGGTAAGCAATGTAGTCCGCATACTTGCCATAATGCCAAGAACACATACTTCACAACTTTTTATCCATAATGGCATCATTCAAGAAAAGGAGGCAGTTACATAATGACACAGTTTTTCAGTCTTATTTTCGTAAGGAAAACACCATATTGATAAAGATATGTAATTCCTTCTGTTTATCAGCATTCGTTAGAGGAAATACGGTACTTTATGAGGCCCCCTAGAGTTCGGGTTTCTTGGCATGATTTGTCCCCGTGCTCAAGCCCCTTTCCTTTGAACTACAACCCTCTGTTAAAAAAATCTATTTTTTCCTCTATTACATAATTACTGCTGTTTCTGAGAAGCAGAATGGTTCTTTCTCAAATGTTCGAGAAGTGTATAAAGCCTGCAGTGTCATCATGTGGCAGCATAGCAACACCCAATAGGAAAGAGGTTGATGGTATCACGTGACTAATTTATAAACCTCGTTTTCAAAATGAAAGTAATCTGAATTTAGTTCGAAATTTTAAGGAGTTCCACATAAGTTTTCTGTGGCAAATTAATAACAGTTTGCAGTGTGCTGTGAAGAATTTGGTCTTTAATCTACAGAGAAGCACACCAGACAGTTAGTTTACAAAGTGATTAGGAAAAACTGAGGTGAGTAAAGCGGGTTTTCTTTCTCAACACAATCTGAAACAGTCGTTTTTAGGCCATCATACCAAGTATTTTTAACCTGTGTGGGGATTTCACGGAAAATTCCAAACTGAGTTTTTAGTAACCTATCCAATATCAAATTGTCACATAAATCAGAACTTTTTGGCTTTCAAAGAACCTCACCGTGGCAAATGAACGTTTATTTTATTTTCCGTCAATAGGTAGTTTGACTCCAGTCTCCTTCAACAAACACGTATGAGCGTGACGTAGTTCCTTCGACTGACTGTCAGCTTTCTCGTTAGATCAAAATTATTGCATCGTAGTTTCCTAACAAAAAAATATCAATCCCAGAATAGTTCTTAATTATTCTGATAGACCAATTAGTCATTCTGAAGAACTTTGGTGTGCATCGAAACATCGATGTTTAATTATCTATCCATAATCAGAGAGTCTTATTTAATATGTGGAAAATACATGGTCGGAGATGAGACGATTTTCCTGCTACATGTATTATTCTAACAAAACTAACTTTCAAGTTAATCTACTTATATGGAAAATATAATTTCCTGAAAAAGGATGAGTTAGATCCTATGATAATACAATGTGATGAAATGGAGAAGAAAAGGGGAAGCTGTGTTAGCATGACTCAGATGAATGAAGCTGTAAACAATGATAGAGGAATGGTTAATGGTATGTGATGCTGTGAGTGACAAAGGGGATGTTGCGGTGATGATGTGCTTAATGAATGAGTAGATAGTGAATGGAAAATGGCCTAAGCATAGTTTTAGTGTGCATCGGAACATCGATCAATGCAGTCACTAAATAAATCCATCCTTGACTATCGTGTCATTTCCAAACCCAGCGAGTCTTATTTTACGTGCAGAGAACACGGAGCCAGAGAGAGAGACAGTGTGTTGCTTGATTGTAACTGAACTCTGAACTGAACTGACTTACATAAAAATTAACATGCTTATATACAGAAATGAATATCTAAAATTAACACGAATGATGTAAGGAAAACAAAGGATAGGAAGGGCGAGTGAAGGTGATGAGTAAATTGAATAGCGTGGCAAAGATTATGTAAACAATAGGGATTAGCGAATGCGTGAAATGAGAGTGACGTAGAGAATGCCTGTGTTGCGATGTGAGAATGTGGGAAAATGATGGAATGAATGAGAAGGAAAAATTGATGCAAACAGGCCTAAGTAGAGTCACTACATAGCTCCCCTCCTAGAAGGCAAGCGATAGCGAAGGATTCGATAAATTGTAATATGCGGCTAGGTACAAACAATTAAAGATATAGAATATTACGAATTAAAGATACTTAAATGTTCGAATATCAATTTGTTCGTTGACTTGCTTTCGTGTACCATGCGAGGGTCTGCAAGCAGCGATGAAAATTGCCTTGAATTTGCGACGTAGTCCGATGTTGAGCAAGGTTTTGTGAATAGGTTTACCAGGAACCTGCGATGAGTGAATTGCCAAGGTTTTGTGAGTCGGGTGACCAAGAACCGGTAGAGTTGTTTTGCCAAGGTTTTGTGAGTCGGATGACCAGGAACCGGGATGCGAGGGCACTGCAGTGAGTCGAGTGCGTTGATGCCAAGGTTTTATGAGTAGGGTAACCAAGAACCTGCGAAGAGCGTGAGACACTGCCGAGCACCGGAGAGTGCCGTGGAGCTGCCGAGGATGTGAGGCGAATAGAGACACTTGTGTCCGAGTGCTGTGTTGTCTAGCTGAGCTCGAGTGTGTGACAATCCAGTTGAGTGAGTGAATGTAGCTGACAAATTCTGTTGCGTTGAGTTGGGTTGAAAATAACGTCGAAGGATGTTGTTTTTAACCATGTCGGTCACGTCGTGGTCACCATTTTAGTGTGCATCGGAACATCGATCAATGCAGTCACTAAATAAATCCATCCTTGACTATCGTGTCATTTCCAAACCCAGCGAGTCTTATTTTACGTGCAGAGAACACGGAGCCAGAGAGAGAGACAGTGTGTTGCTTGATTGTAACTGAACTCTGAACTGAACTGACTTACATAAAAATTAACATGCTTATATACAGAAATGAATATCTAAAATTAACACGAATGATGTAAGGAAAACAAAGGATAGGAAGGGCGAGTGAAGGTGATGAGTAAATTGAATAGCGTGGCAAAGATTATGTAAACAATAGGGATTAGCGAATGCGTGAAATGAGAGTGACGTAGAGAATGCCTGTGTTGCGATGTGAGAATGTGGGAAAATGATGGAATGAATGAGAAGGAAAAATTGATGCAAACAGGCCTAAGTAGAGTCACTACATAGTTACCACAACCTGAAATCTGAATTTCAGTCAACACCCCCACAATACCCCACAACAAACGTTGTGCCAATTATTTATGTGGTTAGCTTTTCTAGCAAACCAACAAGCAGCTTTTCTTTACTTAGACCAGCTTTTCTTTCTTTTTTTTTAAAAAAATAAGCTTAAACCTCTTTTTTCTTGAAAGCAAATCATCATATAAATTCTCTCTTATTTTAAAAAGATAAGGTTTCTTATGATTACATAAGTAGGAGGCAAACCATAGCAACTTAGAACTGACCTGTTCTAAACACCTAAACATGCACAGCTCTGTCTGTACGGCATCTCAAGCACTATGCAAGAGACAAGTTGAAAGCAATCTTCTTTAGTTCTGTTATAAATATAAGCTCACTCTGCTGATTTTACAAAAAGATATTCAAAACTTGATAATATTATCTTGATATTATTATCTTGAATGATTTGAAAATCAAATATAGCATTCTATTGTTCAATAATAATATTTGCCATGCTACAACAGAAAAACCGTTAAACAAAAAGTTTTTGCATTTTATCAGTTATGTGCAAGATGTTTGCTTTATATTCAGTCAATTTTGCATGTTTTGGCTGTATATTCCAGTCCAATGGTGTCATTAAATATTCCTAGCCATAGCATTGTATATATCTGTCAGCATGTATTGTAATGTATCACACAGTCTTTAGTTAATTTTTGCATGTATCACTATTGTAATGGTTTATTGTTGCAAAAATGGGGGTAGCATCAAAAACAGAGTAATGACAACAGCAGTGTAAATGACATCTAAACCACTTTTGTGAAGCGATTTAGCATCATTCTTAAGTAAGAAATCGAACAAACAAATCATTAGACTGTTAGCAACAAGTTTAATTTAGGAATCAAAAATGTTACTTTTTGAAAGGTCAAAAATGCTGAAATTTTAATTGGATAGTCTGAAAGCTTTGTTCAATGGGAAGTGAATGATACCCACTTGAGTGACCACAGCATTGTTATTTGCATTTTGAAAGGCGGTGTTCCCAATACACCTTAATATGATAGTTAATATGATAGTTTTCTCCTCAATATGAATTTAGTAATGTTTCTTTTTATAAAGATGATTGTGTTCTTTTAAGGACAAAAATGGCAGCTTCAGAATCAGAGGCTGGGGCTACATGTTATTGTAAAAACTGGCAAGTATTATTTGCATGTACTTTTTATATAAGTGTTTATTTTAAGTTGCGTTGTTTTCAAATGCAAAATAAGACTCTTCCTTAACTAATAAGTTTGAATTGTAGCTTTTTATGCAAATTACTCAAAGGAGTGTGTTGTCAAGTGACAGGAAATGGATTGACAACCAGAAATGCTCTTGAACAAGCTGCCTTCATTTTTAAACCAATGGCACCCAAAATATGTATAAGATATTTTTATGCTTTTAAGGTATCAGATTGCATCGTTGCATTAAGGCAGAAGTCTTGTTGCTGACTGTGTTATTATGAATGTTATTGTTATTAATTAATTTTTTTATATTGATTAAAATGTTTCTAAAACCATATAAGATAGGTAGCACAAAACCTAGTTTAGCTAGTAAAATAACTCCGCATAACATTAACATAATTCATTTTCTGTATTTTATTTTACGTATGCTGTATTTTCATAGCTTTCAAGAAATAACCTAAATATATGCTTGTAACTCTTTTAGCAAACGAGATATACCAGAGCAGAACTTTCAAATGCATGAGATTCACTGCCAGAGAAATTTGAGATTGTGTGCAAAGTGTGATGAGGCTATTCCACGATCAGAAATGGAGGATCACATGGCAGAGTTTCATGCACTTGTTGAATGTAAATGTAAATTGAAGATTGAGAAGGCACAGTTAGAAAAACACGAGGTAAAATTACATACATTGAAATTCTGACTGGGGCATCTAGATCTTGTGGGGAATAGGGTGAGGGAAAATACAATTTGATATAATGCCTGTTGCTCAAGATATAGAAGACTTATTGGCAATATATTAGATACATGTAGGCTATTGTTGACATCTGAAAATCTGAAATGGAAAGTGACACTCAAACAATTGTTAAGATTTTCAGAGGTTTCAAATCAGTTTTCTCGTTTTTCTGTTTCAGAAAGAGGATTGTCTGATGCGTATGGTGCCATGTAAATTTTGCGAAGTATCATTGAAATTTGGAGATATGCCCGACCATGAAAATGCCTGTGGAAGTAGGACTGAAAAGTGTGAGAAATGTGGCAACTATATTATGATAAAATTTTCTATGACGCATGACTGTTCTGCTAGTAAACCAAAGCAAGGAATTCCACCATACCCTGTTTTGCCCAACATAGGATATGATTTTCAGACGAGTGCGAATGGTGCAGATTATAGTTCTTTCATTGATGACTTTTGTATGCAGTCGCATTTCCAGAAATCGTCAGCAGAAGAGCCAAGTAGTAGCATATCAGATGACTTGCCAATTCATGGACGTAGAAGAGTAAAACATGATATAAAAGGAAAGAACAAAGATCATTTCGCTAAAAAGGAACCAGCAAGAAATGCTGAGTTTGGAGACCATGTTGCGGCTGACATGCAAGGCCTAAATATCGAAGGAAGAAATATACCTACGAAAGTAGTACGTGTTGGTGACAGGCAAAAGAAAGTAGATCGTAGCAACCGTAGGGTTAGGCCAAATGTCGATCAAGTAACTGACGCTACTAGAACTAGAAAGGGTAAGGTAGCAACGGATTCGAGTTTTAACATGGACGTTAACAGTCAAAACGGTCTTCAACGGGAAGTAATCCCCAGAGGTAGGAGTACACATAGCAGAGATTTGCCACGTCACAAAGTAGTTGCTGATGGTAGACGGAGATTTGAACTCCCACGTGGGGAAGACAGTGATACTGCGAGTGTCGGTGCCAATAACAGATTAGCTTCCTTCACAGAATCATCAAATGGTGCCAGACCAAGAGGATCGGCTGAGCAAATTATTCCTATAAACGTAGAGGATGAGCCAGAAGAGTTCTCGTCCATAAGCGTGGCTAGAGATGGTAAGAACTTTTAGTTCTCTAGCATTTAGATGATGTATTTATCTGCGAAATGCTCAGGGAGAGCGCCAAAATGCTATTATTTGGACGGAAGAATTCGAAAATGAAAAATATAAAATACGAAACTTATTTTTGGATTAAATTTGTTGAACTATGGAAAGTCAAGAACAACCAGGTTCAGAGATTCTGCTGTAAGGCGGGCACTTTATCACCTGTTTCTTACAAAGGACATGATTATTGCAAAACAGAATCTACGCCCTTTAACCTTACTATGTTGGTGCTTTACTCATTTCTTGCGTTAAAGGCAATCTGTCTCGTTGTGGATTGGTTAACGAGAACAATAGCTGGATAAATAGCCTAAACACGATTCCAGTGCTCCGCCATATTTTTTACAATGCGATAAATTAGAGGGGGACTGGAAACAATAAAAATTCCTTTGTTCTTATAATCAATCAACGTCGTGACAGAAATATTTAACAAAGAACGGATTTTTATGTCACTGCACTTACCTCCTGCTTTTTGCAAATGATATAGCATGATTTCATAACTTCCCTAGACTCGACTTCTAGAAATTTTGTTGTTTTAGCGATGGTTTATTTTACTCTCTCTGTGCAGTATTGGTCAGCTCTCTCAGTCTTATCGCAGACAAGTATTCAAAACATCTTTGAGATTAAATGCGAATTTTTTAGACTAATGGGAATATTTGTTTTGAGGATTGTAAGGCTGTATATTCACCTGCAACCGGGTGCCTCGCGAATTGGTCAGCTTCTTTTTTTCTATCCACCATAGAAGTTATCTTGTAGCTCTCTCTGATGGTTTTTGCCAATGTTTCCTAACTGTTTCAGATGCTTGCATTGCAGATAACATTGGCATTGATATTACCAGTGGTTTGGACGAGAGTTTCCAGATTCCATGTGAGATTTGTGATGCCTTGGTATCAGCACACGAGCTTGAGCTTCATCAGGTAAGCAAATTGTTGTGCTATTAATCTCCTTCGAGATACCAAGCATTTATTCTACTCTGGGGAAAGCTTTTTTTCTATGCACGCTTTGCAAGTTTCAAATTGAAGCCAAGCATGCTCCAAAATGCTTTGTTCTAAGCAATGGGCTCTTCAGATGCATAGGCCTAGCTCAATTAAATCATATTTATGTTATACTTTCCTTTGATTCGTTGTTATTTTGACCATCTCGTCACTAAAAGGTAACTAGGTCATGTTACTACCGAAAATAATTCTTGATTTCAAGTAAAATAACTTTTCCTTGCTTTCTGCTCCAGGAAAACTGTCTAGTTGAACAGCAGAAAGCTCTTAGAACATTTGATACGGGAGTATCTACCAATGTGGAGAAGACAGAGAATGTAGAACCAATTGTGATTGATGAAAAAAGCGAAGCTGGTATATTGACTTTTAGTTAGCTTCATATTTTTCGTTTTTCCGAGATATTTTCTTAGCTTTAAGAAGATATTCTCTTCGTTGCTTTTTCAGTTCACACAGTGTTGCTGCCATATTTATTTTTTTCTAGTTTTTTGTTTGTTTTTTAGGTAACTTTTGCTGAATCTTCTTCATTATCCAGCTATCTTTGAGATCAGTTATGCTACTCAAGAATTCAATGTATTCGTTATCTAATTGATTTTAGATATCTGAGTGACTATAAGAAACATCTTCGTTTTCTTGTTTTCAGATGACGAGCCCTTTATACCTTGTGAATTTTGTGAAGAAGCATTTCCAGTCAGCTCAGTTATTCTACATCAGGTATGAAAATAGCCATACTAAGCTTCTTTTTAAGTTGGCATTTCTAAAGAATCTTCTCACGCAATTTCCACGAATTTTCACGCAATTTCTTACGTCTGTCATTTCGAAAGCACTTTTATCCCCTGTGTTTTTCAAAAAGATTGAACTTATGGTATTATGGCACCCGAATCCCACCTATTGAGGTTTTCAAAGCTTACTGTAAAGGATAAACGCGTTCTGGGTTATGTTTCCAAAACAATTCTGCTTATAGGTAAGACATCTTAAAGGCAGCCAATGCAGTTTAACATCATGTAGATTGTGTCAAGCTATTCCTACGAGTTTCTTTTTTGTTTGTGAACTACCATCTGATGACTCGGCTATTTTCAGAAAATGTGTCTTATATGTAAAACGGATTCTGTCTGCCAGAAGGTCAAAGCTCCTTCAAAATCTTCTCACTTGCCTTTGCAAAATTCCTTGTAATAATCTTTTCGAAACACAAAGCATTCTTTTTTTGGTACTTAATAGATATGTTTTTTCTATACACAGCCATTCTGCAACATGAACCCACAAAGACATGATATGGATGATGACATCACTATTCTAAACAATACTAGTGATCCCACTTCCTTGCCTAATGGCACACCAGATTTTTGGCAGTCTCGTTTGGATCCACTTAGACTTCCCAATGAACAGATTGGCCGCGAAGACCCTTTTCAGATAATAAATTCGCTATCTGATGATTTCTCATTAACCAGGGATACGAGGTTTCCACAGTGGGGAACTACCAGTCAGCCCTTTGGAGGTGCTGATGAAGATGATGTAATGGCGGATGACATAGTGACTAATGAAGGTTAGCTTTCCGTATCTATTTGAGTACGAAGCAGTCATTTAAAAAAGATGTAAAATCATTTTGATTCGTATGGATTTTTCTGTTTTGCTAAAAATCAGTCTGGTATCTGAAAAAAGATCATGACACAGCTGTTGTTCGGCAGAATATAAACTCAACTGTGTAGCAAGAACTGTCCTTATGTTTTAATGAGCTCGTAGTGATTAATTGACATGTTTTAATTAAATTGGCCCAAATAGTTTATGACTCAATTTCTAGGTTAAAACAGGAGGTCTTTAAATCGACATTATCATATCAGTAACGAGTATCTATCTTTGCCTCGACATGCTAGTCAAAGTTTATCATCATATACTCAGCTGGACACTGATGACATATAAACCTTGAATGCAATTTGGGCGAGCATTAGCTTTATAATATATCAAAGAGATTTCGTTTTTCATCAGCTTAAAATTGTATTCTTTTTCTACTTTTGTTTTGTACCCCCTCCTTGAAGGTTGCAATCCTCACAGTCCATGATAGTAGAACTTCGAACACCGTCGTTTTTAAGTTTTATCCTGCTCTTTGCTTTCTTCAGAGCACATCTAGCGTATGTTAGGATTTGATTGTTAGGATTATTCACAGACTTTCAGTTCTATCAGTCCTGGGATTCGAAAGTAATAATAAAGCATTGGTCGAAACCCTATATTTTTGCAGGTGAAGATGATCCTGTCACCTCCACAAGAAGAAGAGGCTGGCCCTATGACGAATTGTAGCTGAAGAAAAAAACCACATTGATAAAAACAGTAGCTTATAAAATATTTTACTACCTAATTTCATGTGAATTTAATATAAATTTTCTCTTTTACCTATCAATTTTAGTTCATTCTCTTGTGTAAATATATACATAGCTTATTCTTGTTGTGTATTAGAATAGAAAATTTCTTGTAAGCCTATGGCTGTATAGAATTCTGAGATAAATAGAAAACATTGTTTGCTAAACTTCAATTTACGTTTTTGTTGTGTTTATTCACCTGAGTCTTTCATAAAAGGTACCAGTTGTTAGTCTACCTCAAATACTTCATGTAAGTCTCTTTTAATGTTTATATTCTTAAAGGCCATGCTAATGAATGATTTGGAAGTGGTTTAACAGCGTACGCAAAAAGTATAAGAGAATCATGGTTGAAAAATGACGTAAATGTCTTTATAAGAAGGCCTTTCATACTCCACGAGTCGAAAGAGATCAAATTCCCTCCATTAATGGTTCAGAATAGGCCTCTCATTCAGGGCGTAACTTTGCGTCGTTGATTGATATAATAAATTAATGCCAATAAATGAAAATAACTTGGTTTTTTGGCAGCATTTTCAGTTGATAAGACCGTTTTGGTGGCCCTTGGAAGAAGATGCTACGTTATAACTCTTGATCATAGCCCAGTTGGCGACATTATGTTAAGACTGCGAAACATTCTGTTTAAACCTCCGAAACAATCCCACAAAGTATTTCATCCAGCGCTCTTTTAATAGAAGCCTGTTGCATTTCCAACCATCTCGAACGCCCTCAGTTTACACTGGACCGGTCAGAAAAATTCAAAGTTGAACTGCCAGCCGTGCTGGAAGAAAATAGTTAAACTTTGAACCGTTCCGAAAAATTCTAAGCGGGTGGAATCCAGGGGCGTCGTTGGTAGTGACTCTCAAAAGGGGGGCACAGGTTGCAAATTTTCCGATATCAGGTTTACATAAAACCAATGACGTCATCAAGCGCACGCGCACTTTTTAAGACCTGAGAGATGGTGCATATTTTACAGCAGCGTTTGTTATACTTGCAGTTTCCTTCATTTACTGGTTTAAATAAGTCAGTCAGAAAACAGGCAACGTTTTTTTTCGAATTTTCTTTGATAATAATCACCAGTGATCTGTATCTGTAGTTGATAGTAAAATCTAAAGAGTTTAACTGGATGATTTTAAATGTATAAGAAGTTACCTTAGCTGTGGTGCGTCAGCAAACTTGCTGATCATTTCATCATAACCAATTAACCAACATATTCCCCAAAAAATCTACATATTTGCAATTCAAGAAAAGGAAATCGGAATTATAGCAGTTCTTGGAATTTCAATACGGATCTCTAACAGAAAAAAATTGATTGACAAGTTCATATCTAAAATCGAATTAACGTCTTTGTTTAACGACAATATTTAACAAAAACATTTACTCCAGGAATAAAAATTAATATCTTTGTAATGTTAATATGTTTAACCAATAACAGGTTTTTGATGTAGCGGGTTGTTGGGAGGTTGGTCACAAAGCTAGATAATTATTTGGACTACACACTTTTTTTAAAAGGAACCACTTTATAAGGAACCTACATGTAAAAAGCCGAAATAATTAAAGAACTTATACTACTAGAAACGATTACCTAAGGAACTTTTCGATTTCAAAATGTTTATAACTTCAATTATCTAGAACTAAAAAGCTGGTTCCATTCATTTGCAGCCAATACTCGCATAGATTGTTTGCTATTCGTGTGTCAAGTGCTTCATTGAGTAGTTTCTGCATATGCTGTCTCGCCCCTCTCTCTATTAAGTGTTAAGGCTTATTGTAGTCAAAACACCGTAAGTGAGATTTTCACAATTCATAGCCTTCTTTGTGTTTTTGCTCCTGAGTTCTAGCCACAAGTAAAGGCAAAATTCAAAATGTTTATGTTTTTCAGGTTTCTGTACTATTTTTATGACACTTGATGTGCAGTGAAATTTAACGAACTATTAAGGAACTTTTGGTACTACAATTTGATGATTTGAGGTCTACGAATAAGGAACTTTTGGAACTGACCTTGAGGTAGGTTCCTTATAAAAAAGTGTTTAATTACGATTGACATAAGACTTGTTGATTTGTGCAGGGGTGGGAGAGAGCTACAATCTTAAGGACACACTTAATATGAACATCAAAGTTCTATATGCCAAAAAACAAAAACAACGTAAGAACACGACCAGCCTCCAAATTAGAAGAAAATAGCAACAGGTTTTTTGAAAGTATTAGAGCAGATTTGATCAGCTATTCAACGTTGCTACTAAAGACATCTAGTGGTCTTAGAAAAATATATAGTACTTTGTTGTAGAAAAATATTTTTTGAAATAAGAAACATTAAGACGCTCGAGCCTTTTTATGAAAAGAATATAAAATGTAGATATAAAGTGCCATACAATCAATTGGTCAAATAGCTAGTAAGGAAACTCCAGTTGCCTCTTCCTTCCAAGAAACTGTTTCCGTTTTGTACCACAAAATTGTTCAGTGATGGTTCAAATGTTTATACTATGCTTGCTCGGTTATTTTGGATGGCTTAACCCTTTTTCTAGATAGACTGCACATAACGGCTTCCAGTTTCCTATGAAATTTAATATTATACAACCTAATGGACTGATCTTGTTTTTCCTGGCCAGATTCCTTCCCGCAACTTTTCCGTTATTGTTGAAGGGGGCAGCAAAGGTCATTGCTACAAAAAAGTTAACGCAGGTGATGAGAAAGTTTCCGCACATTGACCTTAATTTTGACCGGAAATGAATTCAATAAGAGGTCCTTGAAATCAAGGGGGTCATGTTTCGTATAAGAATCTTTGTCTTTGGTGCATAGAGTGTTCATTTTAGATAAAAATGTTTCAAGCTCATCATCCAGTTTCGGTTATTATAAAAGTAAGTTAATTACTTTCACTTATCGTAAATCCTCGAATTGCCCCCCCCCCTTGAATAAGACTCCACTGTTACCGTATATTCTCGAATTGTACCCCCCAATTTGACGGTTTTGGAATTAATTAAATGCTCATAAAGAAGATCCTACTAAAATAAACAAGGTCTTTTAATAATGTCTTCTTATTGTCTACAATAATTTTATAAGCCCCCCCTCGTATAAGCCCCCCTCGAATAAGCCCCCGCTCAAAATATCAAAAACAAATAAGCCCCCAGTGGGCTAATTCGAGGAATTACGGTATGCCATTTTGAGAAAATTTATAAATGGGAAACTGGTTGAAAACTTTTCGAGTTTCCAGCTGCCTTCTCTGCTTGACGAGAAAGAGAGTGTTTATTTTCATTCATTTCCAGAAAAACGATATTATCGCTATTTATTGAAGATGCTTTTCAACAGCTCCGGATAACTTCATAACTGACTTTTTATTTCAAACGGGAAGTCAAATATGAAACCAGATCTACTTTTAAGAAAAAAGTCAATATTTGGCAAGTTGACAGTTTCTATAATATGCAATGAATGAATTGATATGAGAACAAAACAACCTTCTTGCACACTTTGAGATAGAAACGCAATCCACCCGACTCGTGGCCTATGGAATATTTCATTTTTAATATTTCTACCTGTAAAAATTGACGGTGTTGAATTAAAATCTTTACTTTCTTTTTGGTATGTTATTAAATTTACTGTCAGTCCCAAAATTTTGCATAATTTATATATGTTTTGTTTCTATCACCAAAACAAAGCAAAAATCTAGTGGTTCTCTCCTGGTCCGGTCTTCCCTCAGTTTAAGACCCTGATCCGCTTTGCCAGGAATGTTCCTTCCTGTTCACTGCAGAGATGATGCTACCCCCTGGTTTTTTTACTCTCACCGGCGACAACCAAAAGTGCGTGCATTGTTATCGGAGTACTGCTGAGAAAACATAATGATAGAATAGTTGTCCGTGATGAAGTAAAAGTCATTCAGAAGAACATACAAACTCATTTGCTTAGATACTGTTGTGAAATTGTCACTACCATGGCAGCTGAAGTTTTTCAGATTGACGACTTCCACCAAGATGATGGCGCTGTTAGCGACGAAGAATTCGAAATATTACCCGAGGTAGGGCAGCGTAGGAAATTAACTGGCCTAAGTCGTCACGAATGCGAACCTCGTGGGCACACGTCTGGATAGCAGACAGCCTGCCCGCATATTAACCATATGTTTCTTGTGGTCATATTGATAGTTTAGATACCAAGAAGATAAATTTCGTATTAATGCGGTGCTGATATTGTTTTTTTAAAATCAGTTGAATATTTCGGGCATGTTGCACTGCCTCTAGTTCAAGATACACCAGTGCCTAGGCTGCCCTTTACTTTCTGTAACTGCGGAAAATCTCAAATTTGTGTTACTCAAAGCACTGATTTTATTACATTAGATTGTTTCAAATTATGTCAAATTTTATTTATATAAACACTCCATCTGCTAGAGTTGTTAAAAGCCTGTCAATGACACCATCATTAAACTTAGTGGGCAAAACCGGAAAAGAATTATTCGAATTTTTTCTTATCCACGTTCAAATTGCCGTAATTTTTTGGGATATCTTGAATGTAACTCAATTTTCTTCAAATAGTTAGACTGTATATAAGTTACAATATGGCGGTTACAGTGAGTTGCCTGAAAAAGCATGTCTAGACCTATCGAAAGTAAAATTACCATTATGCAATCGATGGAAACGCGGTTCCTGATGATTTCTAACAGCGGAAAATCCAATTTTCAAATTTAAAGTCGTAATCTTCATAAGATCTCGACCAATCCTTGCCAAATTTTTCTTCAAAATATTATCTTAAATGACCTCATATTTCTGGAAAGTTTGAATTAAATCTTGAAGTTTCAAGTCTGCAGTTTTTAAAGGACGGACTAGTTTATTAAAAGAACATCTTGTACTATAAAAATCTGAAGTAATTTAAAAATGAAACAATAAGATCATTTTAATAGGCCATAATAGGAGCATGATAGTCATGCAAACCAGTAATGTTTATTTTCCAATGTCTTTTGTGTCTCATTGGTCACTTGTGCTCTAATTAAATAATTTTTGTATACACACTTGTGATTTATCTAAATCAAATAATTGTAAGCTAAATGTAATAATAATAACAACTAACAAAAGCTTGATTAGGGTCCATGCCACTAGGGGGCCAGAGTGGCCATGCCCCCCCCCACTTTAGCGAACCAAGTATTTTTAGAGCTGCAGGAATAGGGGAAAGAAGCTTTGCCCCCCCCCCCCACTTTCAAATTCGTTGCATGGACTCTGTTGACTAGATAATCTAACAACATTTTCAAAAATCAGCAAGTCTGAAGTTCATTAAGATAAACATTCTACTCTTCATATATATAACACTTTTCCATGCTAGCATTTTTACCATATATTGAAAAATATATTTTTCAAAGTGCCTGATAAGTCAAATATTTTATAAAATAAAAGTTTAATACTTACAAAAGAAGAGTTTTAATCGTTTTGTTTGCTTGTTTATTGACAATCTCATATATCACATTCTTAAGCCTTTTAGTCTCAGTTCACTTAAATGCTTTTTTGTTCATTAAATATCTTTAAAAAATTGATGGAGAGCTGTTTTGTAGGCAATTAATTTTTGGTAGGATTGAGCTTTTGTAGTGATGATGGGAACTGATTTTGGGCACCATTTATCATATTGTTTGGGTTATATTCCAAATAATTTAATGTTGATATTTAAACATTCCCCTTGAATGCAAAGATAATAATTAATCAACAACTTTCAATTAATTACAAACAAATATACAGTTGTGTCACAACTTTCAATTTACCCTACAGCAGTGATTTTTCATTGTGTCTATGCAATTTTGAAAAAAATTAGTGCTTTCTCTTTGTCATTGGACTAGCAAAATTTAGAACCAGGAAGATTCAAAACTTTGCTTTGTGTTGCTGTCTTAATGTAGAAGCTCATAGCATTGCCAAGTAATTGATAAGATAATATTACTAAAAATTGTTTACCTGATCAGATTTTAAATATAACAGATTTTGATATTTTTATTCGCTTATCTATTGTACTTTCTAATTCATTTAGGATGATGACATGGACAATGAGGATAGGTATGGCATATTAATTTATGTCACCTTTTCATCATATTGTTATGTCACTATGTCTAATGTCAGCTCTCTTACATTTCTAGTTATTGAAATTTAGCGAAATGAACCTTTCATGATACATAATTTCAATACTGCACCAAAAAGGAGGAAAAATTTATAACATGTATTCTTAGTAAAGCAGTGCTTCATTCAAAGTTCTTGACAGCATAAAATGCTAGATAATGGCCAAAATGAATGGAAATTGACATTTGATTTCACCCATTGACTTTTTTTAATAAGGCTGGACAAAGTCCTTGTCCTGTTTGTAGCTTTCTATCTATTCTGCATGTATCTTTCTTTAGCTTTCATAATTGCTAGTTCAGTTATTTTGGTAACTCACTAATTGTAATTTCTTTCTAGAAAAAAGTTGTAGGTATTGAAACAGCTTAATGTAATGTTTAAACAATTGTCAAAATCATTGCAAAATTTGTGATTTAGTTATGTCTTTCCTTTAGTGCTGATGTTGAATCTGTCCAAATAAATGAGGAAACAGTAAACCCAAAAGAGAAAATTGGCCCAGAAGACTTTGAGCTTCTGAAAGTCTTGGGAAAAGGTGGTTATGGAAAGGTGCAGATAAACAGATTTTATCACAATCTAGTTCACTACTTCAATAAGCATATTTTTAGAGATTTTTATGCCTAAGGGGGAAGGCAAGTTTTTAATGTATGATCAATAAATGAGTGACCTGATTTAAAATATTAAACACTCTTTAAGTTTTTTTGTACGTAGTTTTTTGTTTCTTCCTATTTTTCAAAATTTTATTTAATTGTTGCAACTTTTTTTGCTAAACTTTATTGCTAGTGTTCTAATTAGCCACCACCTTTGTATAAACATTACAGGAAAGTTTGTTTTGCATTTTGCTATGACTTTCTTTCTAATTTTCATCCCTTGTGTAGTATTCTCTTTGTTTAATCAGGTTTTTCAAGTGAGAAAAATATCTGGTCATAACACAAGTAAAATATATGCAATGAAAGTATTAAAGAAGGTAATATTTACATACTTTTTGTTGATTATGACATTATAGAGAGCATTTAGGTTGGATACTCATGAGCTGACTCAAAAATGCATTTATTGAAACAAGCAATGATTTTATCCATCTAGACCCTTGTTGTTAGTCCTTTCAAATGTATACCCTATATTGGGGGCAACTGTCCCCCTTGCCCCCCAGGTTTCTGCCACTGTTTGGAACCCCAAGAATGGGAATTGGCTAAGTATATCCAACAATGCAATTAAATTTTTTATCTGCTTTTTTGTCAATTTTATGATCTATGATTGGTTTATATGAATTTTTACATTTAAACTCTTAATAATGCTATTTTTGATTAAGTATCATTTGATTTCTATTCAGTTTTTAACCAAAAACTTTTTCAAATTCAGGCAACGATAGTACGCAATCAAAAAGATACTGCACATACAAAAGCAGAAAGAAATATATTAGAAGCTGTTAAGGTATGTTACTTCCCTTGCTGGTAATGTACTTTGTACCTGAATTTGATAACAAGGCCAATCTTCCTTACATGGTGTTACAACGTAACCTCTAAAGTCATTTGTCATCATAGTTTTTTGCTCAAAAATGAAGCCCCTTATCTTCTTATTGAATGTTTAAAAAATTGATAAATTTTGTGACTTTTTTAAATAGAATCCAACACTTACAATTTCCCTCCCACCCACATATTTGTTTTGCCAAATATTAACTGTGATCCTGGACTTGATGTATGTCAATTCTTTCAAGAATCTGCATTCATTTTCCTGTTTCATTCTTTCCATCCCTGTTTCCTAATACAACATACACATTAACTTAGATTAAAAAAGAGAACTGAGCAATCTATGCTACCTAGCTAGTGTTTCGACATTTATCTTAACACCATAGGACCGTAGGCAAGGTTGTTGCTGGCTATCATACTCAGAGGGGTTTCCACATCCCATTTGCTGACAAAGTGGATGGGGGATTGTTTATTTGCTGGCAAGTTTTAAAATTTGCTGATAAAGCCCCCCTATAGAATTTTTTAAGGGGGGTTATGGTGGGGTGTCACATCCCTGACTGTAGGCAGAGCCATGTTATTGCCGGAATACAGACTAATTCAGCAATGCTATGATACAGACTAATTCAACCATGTTTTCAATGTTGGACAACCCCCAGTGCACAAGAGATATTTGTAATTCTGTGATACTATCCGGGTTTTATTCAAAAATGTATAAGGATGCATACTTAATATGGATATTTTCTCATGTCAATCATTACACCAGAAGCAAAAGGGCTTTCTTGTGGTTGGTTTTAAACTAAGCCTGGGTTGGTTATCCTTATTTAAGGGTCTGTCAGTTTCAGATGTTGAATGCATAAGTGGCTAGGCCTTCCAATAAGACACAAACTAGTTTTTATTTTAAAAATATGCTAACTTTGTCTAAATGGATCATTAATTTTTTAAATGGGTATCTTAAGCTATAATGCTTAGATACAGTTTCACATTCCCTCCCTTGATTACAATGGAAGGCAATGTCTTATAGCTGTCTCACTGAGAATCTTTCCTAAAATTATTTCTCATTGCCATTTATCTAAAAGCTCATTCACTAATACCTTGAGAATATGTTGATACCTCATCAGTGCCTTATTTTGCTATTGGAAATAATTTGATGTTTTTCTTTTAAGCTTTTAAAGTTTTTTGTTTTCAGGTGTTTAAAATTTTCATAAAAGTGAATTTGTGTGTTATTATTGATTCTGAAGGACAATTATTTTTCTGAGAATCTTTCTATGTAACTTGAATAACCTTTTCATGATACTGAGAGGCTCTAAATATGAGGCAATTTAACCCAAATAATGTTTTACCAGGAGCTGATTTAGAATCCGAGGGCAAGAAATCCAGTTTTTAAGACAATTGTTAACAACATGATAAGGCTTCAACCCAGGGCAGGTTGGTCTCCACAGTTTGAGTTTGGAACTATGACTCGGCCAAAATTGAAACCATTAGGTAGATGAAGGCCAGGTTTTGATGAAACTTAAGAAGATAGTTGTTGACTTATTAAATGAAGCAATTTGACATGACAATAAGAGCTCAAAAAACATGACGCTTCCAAGGTTATGAGCCAGCGGATCGTCATCCAACGATACAGTAGTTTTGAGGAAGCCCATTGCATACCTTGACAAAAATATCTAAAGTAAGACAAATTTATCTGCTCGAACTTTAGCAATAGATTAATTTACTAGGATTCCATATTCAAGAAACTTTGAATTAAAAGATAAAAAATAAATTTTTAAGAAGACTAATAGGACAAAAATTAATCGGGAGGAAAGTTGAGGCGTTTTCTGAACTCTGAGACCAATCTCTGAACAGCCGCATCTCATCGGATCATTGTCTAATGTCATACAAAATATCTTGCGTGATCCTGGACTGATAACAATCTTTCTGTGTTTCATTAAAAGCGGTTTGTCGTGCGTGAATGTATGAATACTGGTTTCAGTGTGCTGTGACGTCATTTTGGTTCCTTTAAGAAATCCAGCAGTATTACTTATCGGTCTTGACAACCAGTGTCACGCTATCTTTAAATGAAGGGTGCTAATAAAAAGACGGATAAAACGAAGGATAACACGAGAACCGAGGAAACATGAGAGGTCTTACTTTGGATATGCATTATTCAAATGTGAAATGTCATCATGTTGCGCTTTAACAAATGCTTGATACAGCCAAACTATAAATTAAGTTATTAGCAAATTATAAACTTTGTCATTATTTTGTCAGTTTCATTTAGCAGCTGGGGAAATTGTCTGTTATTAAATCAAATATTTTCTTCCAGCACCCATTCATAGTTGACCTTATCTATGCGTTTCAAACCGGAGGTAAACTCTATCTGATTCTAGAGTACCTGTCAGGTAAGAAAAATACTTTTCATCTTAAGGGCTACCTCAGATCCTTCATTGCATATAATTTTCCCATTTTTGGCCCTCGCCCAGTCATCTTGTTAAATGATTAGTAAGTGATTTTTATGACTCTGAAAGAGATCAGTTTTTCTGAAGAGTCAAATGAAAACCCGAAGTCGAAGCAGAACCTAAGCTTTTTTATTGTTTGCTAATTAATTTTGGCACCTGTTATACGTTATACTGCTTCGCTCCAATCCTTTTAATCGGAAGACGTCGTATTGAAATATTCCATTTCCCCTTATCCCAATCAGTTTAGTAAAGGTATGTTCAATTTTCTAGCTTAGGTTTTCTCTTTAATTTCTTTGCCTGGTTTTTCTAAAGAAGCAGGAAACCAGGGGCGTAACCAAGAAAATTGTTTGAAGGGGTGAAGTGATGATTTTGCCGAGAGAGAAGGGCGTGTCTCACTATTTAAGGGTGTGGTCAAGCGATAAATACTCTTACATGCTACTTTTATTTGTTTCTGTTTCAAAGTTCACACTCTAGTGCCATACTTTGAAAGTTCAACTACACAGAAATTTTAATATGTTACAATTGTTGCAAATGGTTACAGAGTGAGTACAAAAATTCCACCTTGTGCCCGGCACAAATCCTTACTGTGCCGACGATAAAAATCTTTGGGAGCTACTGCACCCCCTTTGGCGACGCCCCTGCAGGAAGCTGTGGGTCTTATTATCCAGTTACATTAAAACTTCAGCTAGATTAAGAGACACGTATTTATAAAATGCCAAAACTGAAGTCCCAGCTGTTTTTTCTATGTGTTACGTCAGAGTTCCAGTTCTCGAAAGAAGCCATGTGCTCCTGAATCTAAATGATCCTGAATCCTTGAAATCAAGATTTGATTTCCACAGGTGGTTAAGCATAGTGTTTTCCCTTGCAGGTGGTGAATTATTCATGCACTTAGAGCGAGAGGGCATCTTCATGGAAGATACTGCTTGGTAAGCCAATTCATGCTACATTGTTGACTGTGTAAGGCCTGTTGGCAAAAATCACGTCACGAAATGACGTCATAATATTTCCCTCTGTACGCATACGTACAGATGAAAAACCACGATAACATGTTCATTGCAAAATTTATCACATAGAAAGTGCGTCAATAGTGTTTGAAATAACCTAATGAATAAAGTCCGCTTTTAATTTAAGTAAACACGATTAAAAAAACTTGGCACAGTATGTTTTAAAGCATTCTTTATTTATAACCTTTTGAACTTTCCGTCCTGCATTTTTAAAAGATTCCTCACAAATCTTGTCCTCTGGTAAAGTGATATGGAAAGAGCAAAGGGGGATGTTGCAAGGTGTTGCTTTTGCATCTCACTATAGCTGGATGCTTATATTTCGGTAGAGTGTTTGTGAGGAAGTCTTGAATTTTTCAAAGGCTTATATTCCGGCTAAACTTTGAATTCTCTAATAACTCCTTGTGTTGAATCCTAGCTTTTACCTGGCTGAGATCGTATTAGCACTGGAGCACTTGCATCACCAAGGGATCATTTATAGGTTTGTCATCTTCTATATCCTTGCTCAGTTGGTCGGTAGTAACTATGGTGTCTGTGTTGAAGATAATTATGATGATTATGATGATGAAAATAATGTCAAATATGGTTATTATGATTAAGATTATGATATGATTGCGAAAATGATGGTGGTCATAATTATGAAATGAATGGAGATTGTTGCTATTGTGATGACGATCTCATTTATTTTCAGAGATTTGAAACCGGAGAATATACTATTAAATGCTGAAGGGCATATAAAACTGACAGATTTTGGTTTATGTAAAGAAGCTATCCACCAAACTGGACTTACACATACTTTTTGTGGAACCATTGAATATATGTAAGTATGGGCGTTTTGCTTTTGCTTGTCAGACAGGCCACTTCACAAGGAGCTATTTTAAACGTTCGCTATTTAAACCCTAGCATCGTCTCTTTATGTTGTTTATATAATTATATACAACAGCAGTTATTTTCACAACTGTATACCATGTGAGTTTTCATATCCAGGTTTGCTACGCACATTCAAATACCATTGACATTCTACATGACTAGTGCCGACTAGTACTCTACTTTGATATGGAGTAAAATTTAAACATCATCAACCGAAAATTTGGTTTGTAAACTTTGCCCTGTAGACGTCAAATGCAATGAAATCAGTTTAACATCTTCTTAAATGCTACATCAAAAAAACACACGAATGGAAGAAAACCCTTATTTTAATAAGTTTTGTCTTCTCAATACATACACCTTAGTAACAAAGATTTTGGAACATTTTTATGGTGCTAAGCCATTCTTAGATTTAAAATATTTTGTTACACTCTACAACTACTGTTAGAACGCTGCATGAACGTAGATTAGGCCTTGTGGCGATGACGTCAGATCTTAGAGAAAACGTTTGGGATACATAATTTAATGATCACTTTAGAAGAAATAATAAAACTTATACAAGTCAGTAGACTAGAATTAATATTTTTTATGCCAGCTCTACAAAAATAATATAATCGATTTTTTAAGAGACAAGTGCTGCGGCAAATGCCGAATGTTTCCATGGTCCGTTGGCATTGCTGTTATGGTGACTGAAGCTAGTGTTCTTCGTTTCAGGGCACCGGAGATATTAACAAGACACGGTCACGGCAAAGCTGTGGACTGGTGGAGCTTAGGAACCCTAATGTACGATATGCTTACAGGGGCTGTGAGTAGTGCTTTTTAGAACCCTTTTCTATTTGGTGTTCTGCTTTCAGATGTGACTCACTGGCGGAGATGAATGTGAAGATTTTTTTTTTGATATTCTTGAAATAGGAGAACACGAATACTCTGTTCTATTTTCCCTGGCTGCTATTTCCTCAAGCGGTTTTTGTGAGGAGTTTATTATTTGTTCTGCAAACGCATGACATCTTGACCGATATGAGCCCAGCTGGTACATTGAGAACTTGATGTGTACATTTCTTAGGTTTAGAGTTAAAACGAAATATCTCAACCAAAACTGTTACAGCTAGCTAAAAATGATACACGGTGCGGTGGTTGCACAGTGAGCCACACCAATGGTAATCATGAAGTTGATTTATTCAAAAAATTCAAGTTTAATGATTAGAAAATTTCTATGAAAAAGGCAAACATTCTTGAACATACTGAAACTTTTCGTCTGACACTTTTCAGAGTATAAAACGTCAGAGCATAGATAAAAACTCTACGCTAGAAAATGTATAGACACAGTCGTGGAATGAAATAGGCCAACCATAAATGCAAGCAAATGGCTGTTGAGGTTGCCCAATCAGTGCCGCTTTCCAATAGGTTCTGATTTTCCCACTCCTTTTCTTCTCTGTACTCATTGGAATTTCGTGATTTTACAGCCTCCGTTTTGTGCAGACAATCGAAAAAGGACAATTGAAAAGGTTTGTCATTTGGACTATATATACTTCATTTGGATTCCGATTCTCTCGTCATTTGGATTAATTTCTGACTAAGTTGTCTTAAAAAAGCAGTTCTTATTTGAACTTTGTTACAATAGTATTCAATTATGCATATTTATACTTGATCTTAGTTTGAAGCTTGGGTGTTTCACGTTTAATGGAATTATTTCATTCAATATTAGTATATACATATTGAGATATTTAGTATATATTTATTAAGGTATTGTTCATTTTGTGAAGCTTTTTTTCGTTTGCTTTATACTTTTGTTGTTGAAAGGCCAAGCTTGAAGAAATTTAGCATTTGCTATCGCTGGAATTTAGAATAGCGGCCTGTCAATTGAGAACCTATTCAGGCTGCCAGAAAAAAACTTAGGTTCTTTGATGCGCGTTTCTACTGTATGTTAGCGTATGTAACTATCGTGTTTATAAATGATTTATATAGTCAAATATTTTTTGAATTGGTTGCAGGCAGGGGCAGACACTTTGTCAATTATTGGGTGGGCAACCCTTTTGTTTTAATAAGATGGCGTCACATTTTCACATTGTTTTATATGAAATAACCATTGTTTTCCAAAGTAATGGGGTTGACCGCCCCCTCTCGCCCCCTCGCCCCCAGGTGTCTGCCACTGGTGGCAGGGACAGAGATGATAGTGGAATGTATCGTTCTCAGCTATTTTGAAATAAATTTATTGTTTTTAGATATTGAAAGGCAAGCTGGTATTGCCACAATATTTGACTTTCGAAGCAAAAGATTTACTCAAAAAGGTACAATATTATACCTTTTTTGTTTTTTGTAGGTCAATTCTTGTTATTGTTTAGATCTTTGTTTTTGATGAATCAATCAGTTATAATCTCTGAAAATAGCTACAAGAGATTTTTGAATTACGGGAATCCTGCTCTGAACTATGCTTAAAATTCTCAATTTTGTTTATTCTCGATTAGTTCCAGTGTATTTAAAAGTCTTCTTGAGCATTCTTAATTCATTTATACGTGCATCACTTTTGTCATTTATGAGATTCAATTGTTTTTTCAGTTTTGCTTGCATGTTGTCAAATCGCAACATGGTAGCTTTAATGTTGTTGTAAATCAATTTCTAAGGCTCTTTCTCACATGCCAAAACATTTTGCAGCTCTTAAAAAGACACCCTCATAGTAGGTTGGGAGGAACTGACGATGCGGAGGCAGTAAAAGTGAGTTTATATTCACAGCTTTGTCACGTGGATATCACTTGATAAATACTCAATGTTTTCTTGTTGCTATTGTTACAGTTGTTGTTGTTGCTGTTGTTTTGTCAATTGATGTCAGAGATGCATTTCCTCCAGTAATTATATGCATGCTTCGCATTTCCTGATCTCTATAGCTTCGACTGTCTGATTTTTGTTTTCTCCGTTATTTTTAGTGTCTTTATTGGCAAATGTTTGGTTTTGTGTTTAAGGCTGCGTTTATATAAAGCTACATGAAGCCCTTAATAGCCTTTATATCTGTTAAAAATACGCTTTATTATTTATAAATTTGACAATAGCAAGTCATTTAACCTATTTTATTCTGTACATATTGTTTGGCATGTAATTTTTTGACAAGACGTCCTTGCATTTCTTGTAATCTTTTCAAATCTCGTTTACCTTTAGGCGCACCAGTTTTTCAGATCAACAAATTGGACAGATTTACTTGAGAGAAAAGTCGCCCCACCATTTCGACCTTCTGTGGTACGTCTGTGTCCGTTTCCGTTTTTGTTTCTTTTGATGAATCTTCTTGCAAAGAAAAGGTTTAAAGTCTGTTTAAGCAAGCGTTTACCGGTTTTTAAGGTATATGTCGTGAGGTTAATCGAGTATATAAACAACAAATTCGTTTCCAGATATTTTCTTTGAACAAAACCAAGATCACCTTGTAAAACTCTGAATTCTTCAAAATACGTTATTGATCTCAGTCCATGCTTCTTCCTCTCTCTACATGCATAATCCATTTATCTCCTATTGTACTCTATTAAAGAAATTTCAATAAAGTTCTCTTACTTATTTATAAGACGGAGGTCTACTTCCTCACATATTCCTGATTAGCCTCTTTCCTGTAGTAATGTAACTGCTGCCAAAACACACCCCCCCCCCTATTTAATACGACTTTCAAACTCTCACCTTGGAGTTCCAAACATCGTGTGTCTTTGATATTGAAATTTATTTCGTCCAATTTCCTTCTGATCGAAGCGACTTAGAACAGATCATACGTAAAGCTAATAGCTTAAGTTATGATTTCTCTTTTTTCTATAGACAAACGATTTAGATGTAAGTCAGTTCGATCAAAGGTTTACAAAGATGCCAGCTGTTGATTCGCCTTGCGATGCATCGCTCAGTGAAAGTGTTAATAAAATATTCCAGGTAATTTTTCTTGCCTTTTATACGTCATATCTTACAAGACTAGTGAATGGTTTTTTGCAAATATTTTAATACTCCTGACGACAACGTACCTTTTCTAGATAAAACAGGGTTTTTCATGTTTCCCTTGACATCAATGTCTCGACAACTTAATCTGTTAGAAAGTATAATTCCCAAACATGCAAAATGCCACACTATTTGACACCCTTCCTTCCTTCCTTCCTTCCTTCCTTCCTTCCTTCCTTCCTTCCTTCCTTCCTTTCTTCCTTCCTTCCTTCCTTCCTTCCTTCCTTCCTTCCTTCCTTCCTTCCTTCCTTCCTTCCTTTCTTCCTTCCTTCCTTCCTTCCTTCCTTCCTTCCTTCCTTCCTTCCTTCCTTCCTTCCTTCCTTCCTTCCCTACTTTCCTTCCCTCCTTCCCTACTTTCCTCCCTTCCTTCCCTACTTTCCTCCCTTCCTTGCTCTCTCCCTTCCTTTTTCCCTTCGGTCCGTCCTTCTTCCTTCCTTCCTTCCTTTCTTGTGTTGTTCCTGTCTTTCTACTTTACTTCCCTTTCATTCTCTCATTCAATTTACCAATTGCAATGGCCCCTTGCTAAGTCATTTTTCTTTTGAATATCCTCCTTTACCAATCGTTTTCATAAACTGCCTTAGAAGTAAACTTTCTTTAGAGTAAAACTGATTTCTGATTTGTTTGCACATTCAGTCTGTTATTCCGTAGGGATTTACATACGTAGCACCATCTGTATTGGAAGATTTATACAAAACTTTTAATGGATCACCGGAGTTCTCTATGAGGTATGGTCATAGACTTTTTTAATTTAACAACAAAGAGTTATTTTCGATTTTAAGCAAACTTATGATTTGAGAATGGCTACCTGGTAAATGCTTGCGAGGTCTTTATGTCATGACTTCTACGTTCTACCCAATGCAGTCATTATTTCCATTCTGAATAGAATTGACGAATTTTATTCATACTGACAAAATTTCGTTTTACTGATAAATAGCCATTTATTTGATTTTTCGAATACTATCGATATATCAAGATTTGAAATGGTGATAATTCCATATATCTTCAGCAATTTACAAAACTTATGAAAATTTTCAGAGTATGAGCATTCCAAATTTTTCAAGTTAATTAAAAGTTATGTCAAAGAAAATACTTAGCCAAGACTTGTACCTGGAAGCATAGTTGTAAATCCTCTTCCTAGATGACAAATAGAGCTAAACCTTGTTTTACTATAAAGCTTGCGTCGTTTGTAGATCACCAAGAAGAGGAACAAAGGGATCTACTTCTAGCCCTCTGAGGTAAACCAAGAAGTCATAAATTTGAAGACTTTTGCAAATAGTTAATTAACCTTCTTATAATTGGACTGAATGAATTTATACAGGGGAATCTTTTGTATCACCCTTAATTTTCGAATATGGAGAGGTATATGGTTATAGTGTTGAAGAAGCGTATACGTTTGTAGCTATATTGTGTTTTGTCACGTCACGTCTCTCCTTTCTGTTTCCACTTCCTAACCGTGGGTCACCTGCAGGCTGTAATTTCACCCTCGGGCAGTTTGTTGTAGCAAGATCTGGCTCAGGGTTGAAAATTCTTAATCCTTTTTTATCAGTCAATAATATATTTTTTATCAGTCAAAGTAAATTTTTTAATAGAATAATAAATATGTTTTATCTTATTTGATGAATAACTTTCCTTAACATTTTAGGTAACAAAGAATTTGCCTTTTTTTTAAAGCAACCCCTTTAAAATGATGCAAATTTCGTCTTTATTATTTTCAATCTTCAACTATATATTTCAAAAGAGTCTGTTATCTCATCAGCATCGCTCAAAACCGTTGATTTAGCGATCTGTCTAACTTTCAGCTTGTGGGTAGATAAGGGCAATGAAACTTTCTCATTCGGTTAATTTTCCATCACCTAAATAAATCTTACTTCAACTAGAATTGATTTCGTCTGAACAAACCATCGTGTCAGCAATTTTGCGGATTCTTTATCGAGAATGATAAATCTTCAAGCTTGCCTAAGCTGCATTACGTTTTAATTTGGTCCCTGTCGTTAAAAATGACATGCGATTTGGAATTAAAATTTTTTTGACAAAATTCCGAGAAATTTCAATTCATATTAGGTATCAAGTAATTTAGATTGAATCATATCGCATTGAATTTGAATCATTCTATTTTTGACTTGCGGAAACCGGGGAACATTGAAAATTAGAGCTCGTATTTTAAAGCATGCGAGTTTGTTCCGTTAGACAGGGAAAATTGGGGATAGAAAAAGGAAATTTTCAGTTTTCTTTTTGCCAACTGTTAGGAATAGTTGATGAAAGTTGTTGAATTGGCATTTTATGTTCTTGCCAACCCTGTTAAGACAGGTTATCTTCAAACAAGCATGCGTGCTTCAGTATACTTGACATTTCAATATTTTAAAGCTTTGCAGTCGAAAAGAGCTAATTTGTGAGTCTATTCTTTCTGAATCTGTTTAGAAAGGAAGTAGCGTAACTTCAACTAGTTTTGCGGTGGCATTGACGTAATTCGGTTTCACGTCTTGCCACAATCTCTCAATACCATTTTGTTCTCCTGCTGTTCAATATCCAGTTTCTTCCATTTGCTTTCAATCATTTTTTACCTCAAAAACCATCCAATTATTACATTTGTTTACGGACAATATTTGGTAATGATGAGAGGCAATGTTAGCTAAAAAATTTGAAAAACTTGAACTGAAAAACACTTCTGAAGAAGTGTACTCTGCTTAGTGCTGGATTCAGGTATACTAAAATGAATAGTAGTTGTTCAGTGAACTGAGTTTTACAGTGAGTTATTTCTATTTTAAAAACCCTCACTATCTACCAACCTTTAGCTTAAAATATTTAATTCGCTTATTTTTAGAACCTCGCTCTCTTTTAGTCATTTTTCAATCAAACTTGCAATTGTTATTTTGCTATTTTGTTTTAAGTAGATGGCTACGAGATTTGTTTTTCTTGTAATCTCAATTTAATAGGCCTATTAGAAAATTGTACTTTTGAAAAAACCTGATTTTATGTCATTTAATCTTATTTTGGCACGAAACTGGTCATAAACTAATAATGGAAATGAACTTATTTATTTTAGTCCTGCAAAAATCGAGGGAACCGGCACAAGGCAGTTCGGATTTGAGCGCGAATGGAGACCGGACTCATCATCGCGCAAGTCAAGTACTACCCAAAGAGCCTTAGATTTCAATCAAACGGAACAGAACAGTGAATCGTCGTTCGAGCTTATCGATAGTAGTATGGACACTTCATATGGAAGTAGGCCTCCAAGTCAACTTAACAATCCACAGCAGGGATCGAGACCTACAAGCTTTCCATTGCCGTTGTCATGAGCTTGCCGTGCAAGTTAGTAGACTATATTTCAATTTAAGTGCAAAGAGATTTCACAAACCCCAAACAGCTGCTGTGCAATCGTGTCCTCGGGCGGGACGATCACAGCCCTTGATTCGTTTATGACGCCTTTATGCTTCTTTGGGGACTAGGCTCCATAAAACTGGCTCAAATTTTTGTCCTGAACGAAACATTATATTTACTATCGTCTATAATTAACAAAAAGAGATGGCTGATGTAGTTAAAACCCTTGGTACGAAAATGGATTACAGCACACAAGCAAAAGAGGGACGAAGGCTGTACATCAGTTATCGAATTTGTGAGGTAACAATCATAAACGTACGAGTTACGTTGATACCATGACTATACCATATTCGGTTTTCATTGCTCTATAGCTCAAGAGAGCTGTTCAAGTTGGCCAGCCTCTTGCTTTCACGGGACAGGATTCTCCAGCTGTATTGCTGCTCAAAGAGTAGTGAAATAAATATTATTGATCGTTTAGATACGTTTTGATACGATGCGCTGCTATAGGGCTCACTCGCATTCCTTTGGTATCCTTTATCGGACCAACAGTCCTGGTACAAATTATTCTGGTTTTTACAAAATAAACCAGAATTCTCACATACAGTTGAAACGGAGACAATCTCGCTAAACGACTGTTATTAAAGCAATTGGCCCGTGCTACCTCTTATTTAAATCAGCTCCTTTTTCCCCTATAGATTTTTGTCACAGCGTTTAGAAACAAATTTGATCCTATTTATCGATATTGATTGTGAGATATATTTATATGTCAAATAAGTATTGTATTTTCTACAAGTTTTAATTTATATACATATATATATAATTCGATGGTTTTTACTTCGCATTTAGTTATCGAGGTAGTTGTTTAATTTCGCCGCAACAACGGGACGTAGCTTCGCTATATTTGGTGTTGTAAGTCGCCCTTCATTAGGCTGTAAGTCGCTCTGAGAAAACTCTTTGGTCCGTTGTTCTGAATTTCCTATTTATATATTAAAGATACGTATCTGCTGTCAAAAATCATCCTTTTTTTAATGCAGAGACGCAGTAGGATTGGTTTTGGCCATTGTGGAGAAAATGCTGGTCCGTTGTCAAAAATGTCAGTCTTTTTAACATCTACTTAGGCTCCTATTTTTTTATATTTTCATAAAGAGCTGGCTTGATATAAAAGGTAATATGATTAAAATACAAGTATGTATGCTAAAAGACAACCCTATTTTATGGAGGACTACAAATTCTGTGGAGGGACTACAAAACTTTGTAACGCAATGTAGACCTTGCTTAGAATTATATCACCCAGAAAGAACCATTATTTCCTCTCTTTCCTAGATTATAACCAGGTTTTGCCGTAATTTACTTTTCAAGTTGATGAACATGTAAGGAGAAAAATAATCTTTGTATGGTCAATGACTCTGTCGCCGTCTTCGCTACCGCGCCTCATTTTGTGCTGCTGCAAAAAGATCTTGCTGAGTGCTTAAGAATTTTATACTCAGGTTTTGTTTTATAAAATTGCATGCCCTTTAACGGAGTCCCGGAGTGCTTTCCCCGCATAAGCTTTTGAAAGATGGTCCCCCCCCCGCCCCCACCATATCTGTGATGCTACGTCCCTGAATTATCCGTGGATTTATTTTTTTTAAACGCAATTTATTATGTTTTCATTCAATGATTTGGTTCTTAAACCTTGTATAGTTACTGGTTTTTTGGTGTCGAATAAATATGTTAGCGTAAGGATGTGAAACTTTTCTTAACTTTCGGGTGGCAAAATGCATTCAGAAAAGGCATTATTTTCCTAGCATTGCATTCATATTTTTTCCACACAATTGTAATGCTATAAACAGAATCATTGTCTTTGTTTTGTGTAGTCTTCCAGGTGCCTTGACTGCTCCCTTACCCAGTTCTGATAGCTCTCTAACCCTATGAAGACGTTTTTGATTAAGTTAATCTTGTCAAAAACACCATTTGAGATGGCTGGAGTGCCGATACGTTGTGTTCAAATATTAAGCAATGTCACTACACATTGTCATAACATATTCTCACTTTATTGATAATGTTCGCATGTTTTATGCTGCTCCTTTATTAGCACTCGTTAATAGCTTTTTTAATGCAACTAGTTGCATCAAACTATGTTTGTAGTGTTATTGGCAACATTTCATGTAAATTTCTCTACGGAACATCCAATTGTTAACTATATTCTTGAAGGGGTGTCAAAGAAACCTCAACGGTCTTTTTTGTCGTTATGTAGAGAAAGCTGAAATCGCTTATCTTTCTCCCTATGTTATCCACATATATATCCATCTGTATTGTTCAGTGAACTTGACTGGTTCGGCTCTGCCATCCCCCTTCCTTCGTTTCCCATCACAAATATCACACCTTAAGAATTATATTTAGATTCTTTTAAAGGATCAGTATCTGATATTTTTGTTTGGATAACAGACAAGAATAAAATTTGTTGATTAATAAAAACGAAGTATGTCTCTAAGAAAGAGCTGGGATGTTCGGGTGCAATTGTTCTGAATACATTCAAGACAGAAGGAAGTACAAATTCTACAAATGAGAAACGAGATTGATGCTACCCTCGAGGGTGTCGCACCTTAAAGTTAAAAGCGAGAGGGTCATGTACTCAATTTAGTTTGGATACAATCGATGACAATGCATCTGACTGAAATGTGAAAGGCCCATGCCCCCTGGCTTTTCCTTTTGCACGCTCTTCTGCGCTCAATCTGCTTGGTCTTTTGATAAAAAGCAGCCTAGACCTAGAACTACCGTTAGCTTTTGATGCATTTTGTGCTGCTCATGCTTAGTAATATATGAAATTGTCTTTTAATGTGTATTCTTTGCTCTTATATCAAGTAAATCGTAATTCGCTTAGACTTATTAACGTTTTGACAATTGGATACTTAGTATTACTATTGGAATTTTGCATGTTGTTGAAAGATGATTCTTTCTTATCGTTCTCTGCCTGTACAGGGTAATTAGTGTTGTTATATTGTTATCTTCTCTCGCCACAAAAAGAAAGCAGGGACAGAAACCAATTTCTACTATTCTCAGTTTGAAAGCGATTTTTTCATAAAATGCCTAAATTATGGACTGTCATCTATGTTGAAATGTCTCAAGAAAACAAGTAAGGGATGGCTCTGAGGTCCCTGGTTCTTTTAACCACCTAGGTGTGTCAATGTAGAACTAACCTCTACACGAAATACGACTGTTCTCTAGACACAATAGGGCTGCTGAGAGGCATGGTGGGCCCAGGGGCAGGCCCAATGCTTGGGCTCCTTCAAAAACAAAGCAACAAACCTAAAATGTGTCACTATGGAATTAAAAGACATGATTTTCTTTTTAATTTACATTCGTAAAACATTGTTAAACTTTCCGAGTACAGATATGTTTTTGTGATTAACGTGTTAATAGGAGTTATATTTTAAATAGAGACAGTTTAATTACCAGCGGGCACCTCATTGCTTGCGGGCCCGGGGCAATTGCCCCCTTGCTCCCTCTAGATGGGTCTGCCCTGGTTCTTTCCATCTTTCCCAAAATTTTATGAACTGTTCATTTTACTTTTTCTTTTGTTACCTCGAGTCGATAATGAGGCTGCTAAACAAATCACCAGCCAGCAACCGAGGTTACCGAAGGACGCTATTTTTCCACAACATAGCAACACGTCTCAATCATCTCAAAGTTTGCAAGCATAACCGATATTGTAGAATTGATAGAAATGGATTCACTTGCATTTGGCCGTCAATATCCAACCGAAGAGGAAGTTGCTCAGGCGAGAGACATTCTAAAGCCTCCTGGAATTCTATCAAAGGTATGATAGACCTTTTTTCTCAGTCAGTTATGACGGCCTGAAGTCTTTGGTACCACCAGATCCATTTTGATAATTTGATTGCTAAGAAATATTGAATAGGCAAAATAGATTCTCATCTTTATGCTTTTGTTTTACTATGATATTTATTGACAGAAATTTACCAGTTTATGTTATTTTTCTTTATATTCATAGCTTGTCAATCTACGATTTAAATGTTTCGATAAGTTATGATTTATGGACTTGCTTGAGTCATTACCATACGTTCATTTGCATGGGTGTTGAAAGAAACAAAAAGTTAGTTGAAACAGAATGGTGCTACAACCGCATTTTACTTTTATAATTTTATTTTTTTCCTTTAAGGCATATAACAAAATGCAGCTCAAGAAAGTAGAGGTAAGATTCAGACAAGAGTCGACGATTTTTGAAAACCTCAATGTCATGATTTGGTAATTTTGAAAGATCAAAGACGATCAAACTCAGTTAATGCCTTACATATATCAAATATTATCTTGCCAAAAGATTTAGCCTTTCAGTGTTACGTCTTAAGGAAGAATGAAGGATGCATTCCATGTGTATGAAATTTAGCATTGGAAAAGAACAAAATACTTGCATATATCAAAGTTCATAAACTGAAGATGCAATGAAATTTCTAATAGCTGTTAATAGTATTAGAAATTAACAGTTTAGAAATTAATATTAGAAAATAAAGTAACCAAATGTTGTTTGGAATCATACAGGGAGACAGTATTCATATGATGCAAATTTCACAGCTGTTTGCTATTCATAGCTAAACCTATTTTGAAAAGAGTCTTAGTATATTAATCTTAGGAAAAAAAATTACAAATTGAATATTTTTTACTTTTAATAATGTTGAATGTTTCTTAAATTTTCTGTTTAATAGCGTGATTACCCTATTGATGCAAAGCCTAATTCCCAAGAAGCCTTGGTGAAAAAGTATCAAACAGACAGACTCTCAATGACTGGAGCTACAAATGATGTGCCTTATTTTCAAGTGAAAACAAAAGTGAGATTAATGTAGCTTTTTTTCTTTAATCTCTATTATTTCATTCTTTATTGAAATTTAAAAAAAGTACAATTTCTATGTATCTTATCTAATATAATTCCTACCCTATTACCCTGCTTATAGGATCATATAATTTAAAGGTGCATGTGCTTGTATCTGGATATCGGCGCAGTGCCTTTATAAGTGGATCTTAATCTTACGGTTTCACAAGAATGAAGAAAAGCATAAAACATCAATATGCCTATCTATTTTCTCCTTTACATTGTTTGCATGCTTACTTGATTACTTTTCTTGCATTGTCAATTCCTTTAAATTGTCCTTTGAGTATATACTGACATCATGATGAAAGAAAACTTTGATGAAGAACATCTGCTTGAGGAACTAATATCATTGATAATGATTTGGATCCTGAAAAAGTTGTTATCAAATAACTGTTTAATATCCCAGGCCTTGTGATGAGCAAAAAGTAGGTGCTTGCTTGCTAAGTGCTTGATTGAGAATCATCAAATATCATCAATAACAAGATTTGGTTTCTTGCATTTTTTCCTCTCCTCGCAAGGCTTGTAATACCCAGTTTCTGTTGTTGAAACATTTGTTATGCAATTTTATTGTTAGAAATTTTCTTTTTTTATCAGCATATGCACCTCAATCTGAATAGATTTTACGTTCCTTGGAAAGTGGCAAATGAAGATTTAGATTGATGTAATTTGTTATTCTCTTGCAGCATGAGTTGCCATCAACATATGACAGAATAAAACATATGGAGCCTGGCTACAATCCAAAGCTTCACAGAGATGATAGAAAACATGCAAAGCTGAGAGGATTGAATGTCAACCTTGAGGTATGTTGACAAAAATTGATTGTATTACTTTTCAATCTATTTGTTCTGATCAGTGGCGTACCCAGGGCTGTAGGACTGGGGGGGGGTCTGGGGTGCAGACCCTAGAAATTTTTTTGGACCACGCCCTTCAAACACTTGCAAATGCAGGAAAACGCCCTTTTTGCAATTTTTCCCCATTATTTGATTCATGCTAGCTACGGTAAATAGCAAAGCATTTTACAATTGTTATTGACACAAGCATACAGTATACTATTCCCCCCCCCTCCAATGAGTTTTACATCATTTTTGGACAAATCTCGAGAACCATATTTCAGAAAAGTGGGGGGGGGGGGTCCGGACCCCTCCATTCCCCCTCTTGGGTACACCACTGGTCCTGATAGGACTGATTTGCATTTGACAATTGCAATTCTTAATAGGTCTTCTATGATACAAAAGCTGATATTTCAAAGCTTCTTGAAGTGTTTGTTTTCAAATCAAGGATACCAAGCCTCATGGGCACAACTAAAGTTATTGGGCCAATTAACAAATTAAGGAGCTTATTGTTCAAAAAAGGTTCTATGCAAAAGTGCTTTGGCTTTCCAAATTTCAAGGAACACTTTACATTCATTGGAAGCCTTAGTGTGATATCTACGACAAGGGTTGCAGGGACATTGGAGCACCCAGCATGTTTCTAAAACGTCCAATTTTTGTTGGATGTAACCCATCCTCTATTTAAGATGTTATAGAATTTTGTTTTTCTACAGCAAAATAGTTAACATGTCGATGAGTGGACCTAAACAACAAACAGGCCAGGAAGGTTTTGGGGTCTTTGTTCCAACCCATCTTTATAAGCTTCCATTGTGTGAATAATTTTAACAACTGTTGTATATCCCACTGACTAAAACTTCCTTGAAAGTTGGGGCTTGAACTCTCTAAGCTCTCCCTCACACATTGCCTGCATCCTTGCTGTCCTAAGGAATCTAATAAAACTGATAATATATTTGGATTAAAATTTTAGTTCACGAAGATGCTTCAGATGCAAAATATTGAAGAGCTCACAAGTCTTTTTTCGTGTTTATGATTGGTTGTGAATCGTTAATTTTCCTGATACAGTTTTTGATTGACATAGAGATTCAGCTATGAATTGTGTCACTTGATTGCGTTGTAGGAAACAGCACTGGCAGCACCGAAGTTGTCGTCCTCAACCTATGGTCATCCTGTACGGTCACAAATTGATTTTCCATCAAGAACTCATTCTCATGTGGAGGTCTGCCAAAAAGACTTTTTTCGTCTCACTGGCACTAGTATCGGAAAAGAAGAATAAAGCGCTGAACAGTGGGATAAAATTAGAAATTCAGTGGATTGGCCTCTAAGATCGCCTAGCATATAGGGCAATGAGTTACAAAGTTGGCTTCAATTTTAAATAGTTTTGGGTAATGTGAGGAGAAGGATGCCTTACTTGAACGATTCAAGGTTTATATGAATGGTTTAGGACTACCATGGTACTCACACTTTTAAAATACCGTATTTCTCGGCGTATAGTCAACCTTTAATTTTTGGCTGAAAATACACGACTTTTAACAAAACCAGGCGTATATATCAACAAACCAATCTTGCTCTCATTAACTGCAAACGCTCTATATTATATTAAGGAAATTTATGAATTACGACAAATTTTGCTGCTCCAATTTCAAAGTTAATTCATTTCAAGTTTTGACTCACAAAAATCATGGCACTCGCGAATAAAAGGAATTTAATTCTGAAACCGCAGTTTACACTTTCCTTTCGAAAGTGTTTTAAGTGAAAAATTTTTAGCTAAAACAGAAATCTTTTTCTGCATAAAATTCTTGTAAACTACACTTATGAATACAAAGCAAGTTTTTTCAAAAACATATCACCGGCGTTAAATCTGCGTCCTACTTTTCTGATATTCTTTGCGGACCGAGAAACTGGACTTATTCGCCGAGAAATTCGGTAGTGTTTATCGTGTATCAATAATTATCACTTTTTCAATTCATGGCCACCCTCCCCGAGGCCCTTCCATTTCAAAGTATGATTTGCAAATCCTGCTTTTAGAGTGCTATATTCTAGAAAAAGAGGTCAGCAGACCATAGAACGTCTGCTTCACTTTAAGTTAAAGACTTCTTGTTTGGTAGTATCTTCTGTTGGGTTATCGTCATACCCGATGTAGTAGTATTAACTACCTTCCCGAGAATATTTTTTCTCTACCTTTTACCATTAAATGTAGCATCTTAGCATTTCGAGCCAATTAGAAATTGATGTAAACAAACCACAAGTTGGTATATATTTATTACAAGAAATTATAAAATCATTTACTTTTCAATACAAAAGTGAGTTCGTCTTTCCATTTAGCAAAGAAGATCTTCAGTAAGATACGGGATTTAAACCCTGCTTATTCATCAAGTCAAATCAATAGTATCCTCTATTTTTACAAAGTATAACAGAATGCCTACTCTACACCTAATATTCTCTATGTGTTGCTAAAATATTCCACTGTTAATTGGCCACTGTTTCACCATGGGTATAGTCATTTTCCTTATATCTTTTTGGGCTTTGGTTGCCCTACGCTAGTGTTGCATGTTTAAATTGTTTTATTGTCGACAGGGATAGAATTGGCAAAAAGCGTATGTGCATAGCTTACTTATCGTTCTCAATGTGAAATTTTTTATGTAATTGTGGATGCATCTCTGAAAAGGTATTCCTAGCTTTCACCCAGCGTCCCGAAAACTCCAATGAGCTTATACACATTTACGAATTGTGATATTTTTGTTTTACGAGACATAAACGTAATGTCTCAAGAGAGACCAGTGGTCCCAAAATATTAACAGAACATATGATGTTTTTGTAGCTTTGTCAAGGTCATCCATCATTTTTCTGCTGAAAGGTCATTGTGTGATCCCCCTCCCCCTTATACATAAAAGATGTGATCACTTTGCTTCTGAAGCATGCTTATTGATCATTTCAGGGACACGATAGGTTTGTGGGGTATACTCCATCTATTATAATGTGGTTCGTTTCTCTACCATAATACCAATCACCGAACGCTTGTTGTATTGATTTTTGCTTAACTGTCACTCCCGTCCACGTTTCGTCGAACAAAGACATTGAATGTTCGATGCAAGAGACGAGGAACATTCCTGCATTCTGTGTTGTTTTCACGACCCCCGTGGCCTTCAGCATAGCGTTTCTATATTTCATAACGTTAATCATTTGATTCTCAGTGCATTCAGGGGGATCTGACCTCAGGATGTTTATATATTCCCTGATAATGTTCGCAGATCTTTTATTCTTGTTTTGCGCTATTGAATTTTTGTGTAACCCCGCAACACCTTTTTGAAGCAAATCCTGCAGACGCACTGGATGATTTGCATTACTGTTGAGAAAATTTGGCAGTTTACCTGCTTTTTTGAACATGTTCGCGATGATTTCATTGCTCGGTTTATGGTTCTGTTTCTTCGCCTCCTCGTGAAGTTTCTTTTCTTTAATCACTTCAGCTTGTTTTGCTTTCAACATGTCGTTCAATTTTGCAGTTATGTCTTTTGCTCTCTGCTTTTCCACTTCTTTGTTAATGTTCTTTAGAGCATCGGTTTTGTTGACTGTTTTTGGACTCAAATTTTTAGCAAAATAAGGCCCACCTTCATTATTTTTTCCAACATTTACTGTGTTAACATGCTCCAAATTTGTAGCAACTGCTTTATCTTTCAGCAACCCTGCAATGGTTACATTTTGTTTTTGTGGTACCGTAGAGTTTGATTTCTTTTTTGGCATGAGCCTTTTTAGTTTCTTAAATACTTCATTCAATAGTCCCATTGTCTCTGTGTCCATATTCCCGTGTTGAACGTCTTCTGCGACGTTATGTAACGTGCTGACGCTACTAGCGAGTGGGTTTAAGTTTAAAGTTGCCTCCTTTTCGTTCTCCTCTCCGCCGTTCACTAACTTCAAACTTTCATCAGGGTCTGGGTTAACAAATTCTGTTCCTCCCCCCACTTCGTTTGGCATTTTGCCTTCTTCATTTGAAGCATCTTGTTCGATGTTGAGATGTAGCTTTGGCCCTTCTACTGCCTCCTCTCCAATGCGAGGGTTTGGTATCCTTTCGTTATAATAATTGTCAGCCTGGTCTCTCGTACCAAACGTGTTCAAAGAGTCAACTAAATCCGAATCGCTTAACAGGGGCTCAAAGTTTCGCTTTTCTTGATTCATGCCCGGGTCTTGAACTTCTTCGGGTATAATGTCTTTCTTTATATCTGGTCCCTTTGCTAAATTACCTTGGGTTACATCGTCAGAGACTTCCTCTTTCGCAATCTCCTCACTCGTTCTAAAATATGGACGTATCTCAAATCCGGAGACGTCTCGAATCTGTCTGTGGCTAGTGATGTGGTCCGTGACGTTCGTCTCTTGAACTTCACTCTTTTTTTGAATATTTTGCTGCATTACGGTAGGGAACTTGCAGTCAATCCCCACGAAATATAGCAACGCCCATACATCGTAGGCTGCGTTTAGTATATAAACGGGATGTTTTATAAATCTGAAAGTGTGTTGAGGCAGGAAGCAATGCCAGCCCTTCTGTATACCAAACCCTTGAATGCAGTCTTTATTTAGACCTCCGGAAGAATTCTGCATGTCATAAATTTTCTTGAACATTGCGCCAACGCTTTTGCCACCCATCATTTGAGTCTCGATGAAATAACCGGCATCGGATAAAACATGCATTGGAACATTCGGTAATCTTTCCGCTAGCCGGTCAATTGCAAACATGGCTGTCATACTGCCCGCAGAGCTGCCCGTGAGTATAATGCCTTCTGCGTTTTGAATTCCGCGTTTCATGAGGTCGTCAAAAACGGCATCCAGCACACGCTTCCCTCTGAAAAATATGTTTTCTCCCCCTACAACGACGGGCTCTTCTCTATCGCCTGTAAAAGATGCACCATCGCAATAGACAACCCAGACGAGATTCCAATCATAGAAATCCGGATTGATCTGCTCATTGGGTGAGTTAATACCTTGAATTACCGGAGGTGATGCAGGCAGATGCTTAGTAGAACCCAGAGAGCCATGGCTTCTCTCTAGACAAGCCTTTTCATCAAAACACCAAGCACCACCATTGAAATGCAGTATCCAACGATTAGCACCTAAACCCTTTCCAGGCCTTAGATAATAGGCTGGTGGCGTTCCGTCCAGGCAAACAGCACCGGTGTTAAGCCCTTCATACACTCGAAATAAATGCATTTGACTACTATCGAAACCTGGAATTGATGATCTCTGCGCTGCCCCCTGCTCTGCGCCGTTCATAGAATTCGTTGTGTTGAATATCTGTGCCATGGTCGCGGTTCCAGCAGTTGAACTATATAGTCTAGTTGGCTCATGCAACTGAGCTTTGTCGAAAGAGTTTTGACTATGTTCTATGTAGGCCCATGCCAATATAGACACTGTGGCCAAAAACGTTATAACAACTAACATTGAAAATATCACCAGCAATATTTTCAGTTTATCTTGTGTTACATTCTGTTTATCATCATCTTGTTTCCATCTTTCTTTGTGAAACTCGTGTAGATCTTCAGTTTCAACGTTTGTTGCTTTGTCCTCCATTGAAGCCATCGTTCTGCGCTGTTTTATTTGATCGACAGAAGATTAATTCATCGTCAACCCCTTCTTCGTCTTAAGCACATAATTGCCAAAATCTCACTAATATTATACAAAACCTCCTCAGTTTTTAACCTATAGTATGCTCGCCTCGGTGCTTATTTTGGCTAAAGGTATTTCCATGCAACGAAAGCAACTTCAAATGCCTTTAAATCAAAAAGAATATTCGCCGATATCTTCTGCACTTCACGAATATCCTTCTTCAAAACAACAGGACGCCTTTATCTCTAAAGTCTTTGACATAGGAATACAATTTTCCAGCAGTACAGACTGTTTGAGCCGTTTAATCAGTTGCTCCTATTGCTAAATCGATTTGTTTATGAACATCAACAGAATACGGCTTTTTATTACATCTTCACCTTGTACTGTTCTTCCTTTTCACGATTTCACACGTTACACTGAAAATTTGAACTGAAAATATTCCTGGGCAAATTTCAGTACAAAGTTTTCTTTCCTGTGTCAATCAATTCCAAAATGCTACTTTGAGGACAGGCCGCCATGTTGTAAAAAGGCAGTCGATAACCAGTTGACGCGCAGGAGGTCAAACTTTGAATTGATTGTAAACAATATCATGGTGTTTCCATTGATGCCTACGCATTCTTGATTAGAAGTGAAGCATTTAAAGCAAAAACCAGTCTTCCATACAAGCAATTAACCACAAAAGTCTACAACTGAAGTCGCACACTTCTAGAAACCAATTGCCACACGAAATGGGAATCTTCAAATTCTGCAATGCACCAGACCTTGTTTGAAGTCGCCTTTTCGTCGCATTAAATTGCCGCGATTCGTTCAGTTTACTTGGAACTCACAAACGCTTTTGGAAATGTTAGCGCAAATATTAAACGACACAGTTTGGCAGAACCTTGATAACTTTACCAAAATTCTTTTGGTTATTTTTCTTTAAAAGGCAAAATTTTGTGCCATTTTCTCAAAAATGTTACAGTTTATAGTGCTATTGAAAACCATTTTGGTCAAAATGGATAATTAAATCATGGCAGAAGTAATCTCCTCAAGGCTCAAATTTTGATCCTAACATATTGATATCTATTTTCAGTTAGCATTTTTGACACAGTGTATCTGAATTTAGATTTTTTATGAATAAAATCACACAATCTGTTTGAAAAGTATGATGCTTATGTGTCATGTGATGGCATAGTTTATTTAATAGAGCTACAAGAAGTGTACATCCAACATCCATGCAATAAATTTCTGGCATACTTTGAAGCTACAAGTAAACTCGATCGACTATTAGCTTTGCTATAATATTGTTTGAGCAAATGAACTCTTTTCTGTTTGAATCTATCAGATAACATCAAAGCTCTTGAACATTTAAACAGCAGAATTGAAAGCAAAGAGTGACACTACTCAAAGTTTGCTGAAACCAGTAAAGTTCATAGCAAAGTTATGCATATCAGTGCATCAGTACAATGATTAGGCATAACATTCCAAAGGGCAACATCAGCCTCAGAATGTCAAAGGATGAAGAACGGGGAAAGGAATTGCGAAGGAGAATGGAAGAGGAAAGGAGAGACGAGGCTCTGGATCCATCGTTCAACAACTATCTTCTCGCTTACAACTCGCTTACAATTACCCCCCCCCTCCCCCCACTTTTCTGAAAACATGGTCTACATATTTATTTCAAAAATGGATTAAAAAACGCTGGGTAGGGGTAGATCAAATTTCAAGGAAAGTTAACTTGATACAAATCACTGAAACGAGGCAAAAGGGGCGTGGTCCAACTGGCCGCGGCCATTACCCTCCCACTCTGTAATAGCTGGTGCCGCCACTGCCGGGACAAACTTAGTAGATTGAACAAGCATATGAAGACTAGATTCTGATCAGATAATGATAAGGAACTTAGGAATACGACAGGAAAACTAGACAACGAAAGTAGAAATAAAGTGATAATGACTTTGAAAAAGAAAAATGGTCAAAATTGATAATGAAATCATGGCAGAAGTAAATGAATATGTTCACCTGGGTCAGCTGATATCAAATAAAAAAAATGCCAAAAGAATGACACCAGCATTGCAAAGAATTTGGCAAATATGGTGAGTTCACGAGAGAAAAAATACCCTAGAGGGGAACCATGGAATGAACAATGCTTAACATAACATGCCTGACCATCGACATTAAAGGGCTTGAAGGTTGATAAGAAAAAAATATTTTTTGTTTTATTTCCAACATTATGTCAAAGGGTAAAAACCCTGAGCTTTTTTTATTGCTAATTGATGTTCTTCCTTGTATATTGCATATTTACCTTATAGAGAGCTCAATTCCGGCATTTCACCGCACTTTATCATTCCATTTCCAACTATCAACCTATTTCCAGCCCCAACTTATCAAGTTAATTTTTTTCAGATTCCTGGGCTCACAGCCCCAACTCCCCTCCCCACCGGCCTTTTGTTCTAAACCTCCCTGTGTACCTGGCGCATGCGCAGTTTTAGAAATTAAAGAAAACGTGGTTGTCCAGTCAAGTTCCTTTTCGAAGCGAGATGAAGTGTTAGGCCGTATCTAAAGCTGCGCTGCAAAGCCACCGTAAAAAAGCCAAAATGTCCAAGTTTTTTATGGCTGGAAGCTCTTCCAGCGAATCAGAAGATAGTGATGTAGAAGATGTAACTCCAGCACCAAGGGCTACACGCCCTGTAGCTCCATCAAGGTATGAAGTTTAGGCTCAAATTCACAAGCTCGCGCCTTCGTAGGCCTACCCTCAGATAGGAATAGGCCATACTGTTTCACATGATTCAATTTTTCACTGATAAATTCTGTTTGGAATCTGTATAAAGGAAGGTAGATTAATGTTATAAGTTAATAACGAATGGAGACATTCGCTAATTTTTGCTACTAAGCAAAGACTTATTTCACCTTCAGCCCTGCTCGATCTCCCTAACTCAACTCGTATGTCGGTAAAGAATTGAAAAGTCTAAAATTTTAAGGTTGAAGATGAAACCTTCAAGTGCAAGTTTTGGAAATTTTAGGAGACAGTTTAGAAATCCGTGGAAATAGTCGAATAATTTTGTTTTTTCCGATGGAAGGTGCTGTGCATGCAGATTGAAGTTAATTATTTAACTTTAACTCTCATTTTTCTTTCTGCAGGTTTTTGCCTATGAGTGATGATGAGGATGATGTAAAAAGAACTGTTCGAAGTTTAAAAGATAAGAGGTAACATAGATGTACATTGAACGTATTTTTTTTCCTGAAAAAAGGCATTTGAATGTTAACTTTTCAAAGTGATAATACTTTCACAGCAGAGGATAAACTTATTTGGTTATTTGCAGATTTGAAGAAATTCACACCGCTATAAAACAGATGAGAAACAGTATGAAAATTAAGGATATTGCCAAAGTGATGACAGGTAAAAGCAATGAGCTGTCTGTTTGAAATACTTTATTTGCATCAAGTTTGCAACATAATTGTGATTAGTCAAAGCCCCATTTTCAATTGAGTTTTTGGCAAAAGTGTCTGTGTCCTATTTTCTGTGCTTAATTGTCCCATCCTTCAAACATATAATTGAATTTCAGAATAATTTTGTCAGTCTTTTATCTGTTTACCAGGTAATTAGATTTAATTCAATTTATCCAATCTCCTAGAATGGGAAAACATGTGCAAAGCATATATCAAGGCAAAAACTGTTGTGGAAAAGGAAGGCATCCCTGCATTTTATATCAAAGCACTCGCTGACTTGGAAGATTTTATCCAAAATGTAAGGTTTTTCAAAACTTTTATTTTAGTGTTTCACCTTAGTATTTCTTTAAGTGATTAAAATCAGTTATAGTCCAATCAATTTCTGCTTTTTAGTCACATGTAGAAATAACTGTTTATGTTAAGAAGGAAATAAAGTTTTGTAAAGTCATTTCAAGTTTACTTCTTTTGTCAACTTTGATCAACCAAATTGATGCATAAAAACAAAAGGAAAATGAATGTCACGACTCTTCATGTGAAGAAAATAACAACTACTCAAAACTCTATTTAAAATTATTCAAAATTGATTATTCGCCCAAAGCTTTTTGAAGCTCAAAAGTGTCTGCAAAATCTGGAATTTGACAAGACATTTACTATTATCATGTTTTGACTCATAGTATCATTGATTGACACTTTAAGTTAAGCCATGCTTAGTCATGCTGTGAACACGTTTTTACTACTCTTACACTGAATACGTATTGTAGCCTAGTATTATATTCTGATCGTATAAGTTGTTTTGTTATGTTGGTTCAACCATAGTTTATTTTTCAAGATACTCTTGGTGCAATTCTAATAGAACTTCTATTTAAAATAAGATGAAAAATAATGTTCAGCATATTGCATAGAAAATTTATATGCAAGCCAGCTTTAGTATTTATGCATGTAATATATGTGCAACTTATGCAAATAAAATAGGAATTTAGACAATCTTAATGATTTGTCTTGTATAGCAATGGGAGGACAAGGAGAGTCGTCAGAAGCTGTCAAAAGTCAATGCAAAGGTAAGTTTTGATCAAATTGTTATCAAACTAATTAGTTGATCAGTTTGATTATACTTCTTGTACTTCTTTTGTTATTTCAGATGTTTTGTTTTTCAGTTCAATTTTTGTACCATGTATTCAACCGATGCTTTATTTTGACTACGGAATCAGTAATTATCATTTATTTGATACATAATCTGAACCTGTTAATAATTTTTTTCCAGAGTCTTAGCAGTCTTAGACAGAAAATGAAGAAATACAACAGAGACTTTGAAGAGAAAATCAAAGATTTTAAAGAGGTGACTTCTATGATTTCTCTATACACACATTGTTATTTTCCCGTTAAATACATTCTTGGTTGCCCATTGATGTAAGTTCTAAACATGTTATAATTATTTAAGGTTTTGCCTTCTTATTGCAGAGTATAAAATAATTTTGATCCCTGAATTTTTCAGAACCCTGAACAATATGAGGAGGAAGAGGCAGAAGAAGATGAAGAAAAGTCAGGTTTGTGAAATATATAATAGAAATCTGGAATAGTTTTGATTGAGCTTTGTCTAGTTTATCAAGAAAGTAGAAAAATGCTATTTTGTTATGATAATTTTTGGATACATATGCACAAACAATTTTTCTTGTTATCTTTAAAGGTTCTGAAAGTGATGATAGCGAAGATGAGGCTGAGGAAGTTGAGAAACCAAAAGCATCCTCTATGTTAAAACAAGTAAATATTGCTTGATTTTTATTTTTAATTTTTTATCTTAATTTTAAATCAGTATTTCTGTCTTTAAACTGGATAGAATTTCCAGAAAATTCACAGATCAACTCTATAGTTACCTAACATTACAGGATTAATGTCACTCTCGAGAATTCAAACTTGTGTTGTATTTTGGGAGCTGGTTTGAGCACAAGTCAAATTCTGGCTCAAAGCATATAAACCTTTTCCTTTAGCTTAGATGATTAAAAATAAATGGAAGATTTGGTTTTAAAATATAGTTATCTGATTTTCAGCCAAAGCAAAAGCAATTTGATGAGGGTGATGAAGATGATGATGACTATGATTCATTCTTTGAAGATGAGGGTGATGAAGATGAAACATCTTCAGATGATGAGTTGCCAGCTGGTGGTACCAGAGCCTTAACTGCAGCAATGTTTTTAAAAACAGAAAAGTATGTCTTTTATATATTTGAATTGAAGTTTGCTTAAAAGAATTTATTTATTTTTAATTTCTAGTGCCAGTTTTTCAAGAAAAATTGTGAAACATTTCATCAGTGCTCAAATTGTGAAACATTATACCAAATGTCACACTGCTTCAGAAAAGCATTATATATGTTATTTTTACATAGATGCAATGTAGGCCAATTGAGTTTTTTGCAGTTAATTATATTCATTATTGAAAATTTATTGTATATATAATGTACCTAATTTATTGTAATTAGGAAATGGTGTAATGTTGAGCTTTGGAAGCTATATCCTATCATTGAAGATTCAATGTTAAATAATTTTTACAGACCTGCATTGTGGTATCTCCGGTTTTCATACTGTATGATTATCGGTCGTAAAATCAGTGCTATAAAAATTGTAAAAGCTGAGCATCGTTAGAAAGCAGATAACCTTTGCTGCCTTTCTTGGTCAAGAATACTACAGTTGTTGTCATAAATGTTTTGATTACATGTAGAATAAGTGATGAATGACAAAGTATAGAAATTGAGATATTATTTGTGCAAATGCATTGCTTATCTTGGGTTTGTACATCCCTAGGAGTGAAGCAAAGGTTTCAAAGAAACAAAAGAAAGAAAAAATAGAGGCAGAAGATGTTGAAAAAGCAGATAGAAAAACTGAAGGAAAACGTAGACTAGGGAAAGAGATTGCAATTGCAGACCATGAAGGCTTTATAGAAGTCACAAGGGTAAGGTTGTTTGGCTTATTGAGAAGTTAAGGAATATGATACTATGAAACTTCCTTGACCTGTGGGAATGGCCCCTACATTTGTGATGACTAATTTTTTTATTTGAAGCAATGTGATGCCAGAGATTATTTTTAAGGCTGAATATTGCAAACCATCACTTTTAATTTGTTGTCTCAAGTTTATGTCATAAATGGCCCATTTGCTCCTTTTATTTTTATTAAAGCACTTTGTAGGTAAGTATGATTGATTGACTGTTTTTTATCAGGAAAAATCAAGACAACTTTTCCCCAAAGATGTTGAGATTAACCATCAAGCAGTGCTGAAGAAATTGCAAGAGATCCTTGCAGTGCGTGGAAAGAAGGTAGGCATATAGTTTATTTATCAGTTGTTTAAAATGCTTGGATTCCCCTTTCTTAGAACTGTTCTGTAGTAAAAATTGCTAGGTTTGTTTTAAGTCAAGCTATTTATTTATTTATTCCTGTCTATTTGCTTATGGTTCTAATCATCTCATTAAGTAAAGATTTTCAGAGATATCATTTTTTTCTTTTTCACATTTCCAGAGCACAGACAAACCAGATCAAGTTGGTTATTTTAAAGAGCTCAAGAGGATTTCTGACAAACACAATCTTGGTTAGTACAACAAGATTATTTGTTGTTGGTTAGTACAATCTTGGCTTTTGGTTTTGGTCATTTCCAACAATTTTGATTTAGGAAAAACCTTGACCATTAACACCATGCCCAGTTGGTGTTAATGTTTACTTCAATTTGACTCATGTAACTTTCCTGTTTTAGGACCTGGGTTGAACCTGAAGATCACCTTTAATATCATGGCTGCCTTATTTGATTCAGTACCCACCACTGATACACCGTTGAAACCAGATATGTGGAAAAAGTATGCAACTATGCTGATTTTTTGCCATTAAAATTCTCAAGCTAGTAATCATGTAATGTTACTCAACCAGTTCCAGTACCTGCTTGAATACTTTAGATGAATGACCTCTATTGCATTTGCTCAAAGAATGTGTCCATATATTCATGGCTAGTCTCTAGAAACATTAGCCTCCGCTCCAAAAAATTAAATGAAAAAATAGTTTCGCTTCTTGAATTTTTTGTTGCATAAAACTGAAAAGAAAATACAATCATTTCTTAAAAATTTTAATTTTCAGCTTTCTATTTATATATTTATATACTGTATAATTTCTTTTGCATATATAATGTGATTAATGCTATAAGTCATGCAAGGGGTCATTGGAGGCAGATGTGCCCCCTTTGGACTCATATCATGTTCACTTTATTATCAACACTTTCCACATGAATAAATACTTTTCCTTGCTAAGAAAGTCCAGACTGCATGCATATAATAAAACCCTGATAAGTTGCTTATTATTCTCTTAAAAGTGCTCTGGAAGAAATTCAAAACATTCTGACTTTGTTAGAAGAAAATGAAGGCATTCAAGTTGGGGACAACATTTCTGATGATGCTGAGAATGTTGAGGTCAGTAGAGCTTTGGTAAAAGGAGACAATGAAATTATTTTCATGATATGACAATGAGCTTTGATCAGATACGCTTCTTGTGGTTGCTTTTATTGATGTAAGCTTCAAATCAACAGAACAATAATCTCGTTTTTATCAATTAGTCTCAAGGAAATCACAAACAATTTAAAAGCCTCAGAATTATCAAATAATCAGAAAAGTATATAGTAACCCAAAATCATCACCTATCACAATTAATTTTAATGTTTTTTGGGTGTGATTCCCCTTCTGGACCCATTTAGAGTCTCGTAATTTACAGTCTCGTCATTTAGAGTCTCGTCATTTAGAGTCTCGTTGCTGCAACTTTTAGTCAACCAGTTCAAAGCCCATCTAGTGCCTTTGAATATTCAAATAGATTCTATTTTTCAAGAAGCACGTGGTATACAACTTTTATATTACTAGACTGGGGTATCAAAATCTGCTTTATTCAAAAGAATTTACATACCAAGTAGCAAAACCATTGGATATCCCAGCCTGAAAGAGTTCGTTTTTTTTCTCAGAACCAAGAGGAGCCACTGAGAGTGCGTGGGTGTCCATTTACAGTTTTGGAGAGACTGTATACAGAATTTTTAAAGATCCTTCAAAACACAGATTGTCACTCTACTGAATATGTCGACAGGTAAGAGAGCAGGACTCATCCTTCAGCCTGGAAACATCATTAAGCTTTTATATATAACCTTTTTTGTAAAGAAAACAATAAAAAGAACGAGATTTGGCATGATAGTAATATTTATCTTATTGTCAATGACCTTCTTCGTGGTCTTTGAGCCTGTAATCGCAATGTTTTCTGGGCTTGTACTTAACAGCTCAAAGTCACACTGCACAATTGAGCCATTCCCTTTGGATTTCACAACACTGTTACCAAGCCCCCTTTCTTCAGGAGCTTAAATTTTGGAGGCAGAAGATGTAACATCGCCCCTGAAAGCCAGAAATGTTAAACGTGAGATTTTTTTGCAACCTTTTTATCTAACTGATTTTTTTCTAGGCTGAGAGATGAAGCTTTGCTTACCAAAATTATCCTTCGGATGCAAAGTTATTTAGAGAAGACTTCTACCACAGATTTGATTTCAAAAATGTATTTATTACGGATCGAGCATATTTATTATAAGGTTTGTGTTTATGATTCCTTTGATTAATTTGTTGACTTGAAGTAGCTGTGATTTGCTTATGCAAATTTTTAATATTATTTTATTTTCATTAGTGCTCAGTACAGGGGTGTCGTGGCGAATGAATTCTAGAGGGGAGCACAATTGCTTCAAATTCGTCGGAAATCGCATTATAAGAAGCAAATTTTTAATGTTAAATTCTTGTTCTTAAATTGAATGTCCACTAGGGGAAATCAATGGCTTTGATCGACTTCTACCTTGTTTTACCTTACGCAACATAAATGCATACATTTTCAAATCTGGGACACAATTGTCAAAAATCTGATGATAGGCACAAAATTGGTACTGTCCTGGTCTTCAATATCAAATAAAGATATAATTTATACCAATTCTGACCAATTTCCATAACCAATTTAGCCCTTCAAGTTTCGGATTTTAACTGAATAATTCCGAACACCAAATGACTCTATGGTAGGCATCGGTAAATCCTGAGAAATCATTTTGTTTTGTGGATATCTAGTATTTTCTTAACAAAAGTGAATTGCCTCTCGAATTTACAGTAAGTAGTTTAGTCCAAGTAATTTATGTTGCTAAGAGTTTGAGAATTACCCACAGCTCAAGTTTGAGAATTTTCCGACAAAACAATTATTTTTCGGAAAATCCATCAAATTGTGAGAGCATAGGGGGCCACGGCTCCCCTGCCCCCCTGGCCCAGACGCCCCTGGCTCAGTATCAAAGTTATTGTAGTTAGTATGTTATTTTGATAAATTGCAGTACATTAGCATCCAGTCCAATTGTTTTTGTTGAAATTTCGGGCAGTTCAAGTATCTATAAGATAATTACAGGACCTGACGTTGAATTTGCTTATGTGTTATTTTTAGCTTGATATGAATGCTTTAAAGAAGATTAGAGAACAAGTGGAGAAGAGCGGGCAAAATCAAGGTGTTTATGATTCCCCTTAGAATTTGACTCTATTGTTTTGTTAATTTTTGATAGTGAAGTATGTTTGAAATCAGGAAGCCCTTGTTTTGCTTCTTTTCTGTATACATCTATCTTTTTTTGGAATTATATTTAGTAATGTTTCACCAAAGTTTCATGTTTACGTTTGCATTGCTCTTTTCTCAACACCTGTTTCCTTGCTACATATTTCTATTCCTTAATTTATAAAAATTAGTGTGTTCTCTTATTATATGACATCGTCCACTTGTGCTTTGATTAGATCGTTTTCGTTGTTTTCGATTTCGGTCATTGTACCGCACATATAGCATCGTCTTATAGTTGTCAGGCTTTGAAATTTTAACTTTCAATGCCAAAATTATGAGAGAACAGTCCTATAATTTGACAGCCTTATTAAGATTCTTGATTTGCTGACCTTTAGCGTTCATGTAAGTGTTTGACCTCTAATGTAGGTTTGAACAGTTTGTACTTAGGATATGTTGTGTTTGCTTTAAATTTCTTTTAATATTCACTTTAGCTGGACTCCGTGCTGGAAAGGAGGCATTTCCCGAGAAGCAGGAAGAAAAGCCGAAACCCGAGGTTGAAACTGAACCAGAGGCTACAGGTGAAACCAAGAAGGAAGATGAAACGACCCAGCCTGAAAAGGAAACCACTGAGAATGCGGAAGAAAAAAAACAGACAGGGGAAGACAATGTCATTCAAGGCGAAAGCAATTCAGAAATTATAGATAAACTTTGCAAGTACGTATACACCAACGGATCAGATCGAGTGAGAACACGATCTATGCTTTGTCATATATACCATCATGCTTTGCATGACAGGCTCTACGAGGCAAGGGATTTGATCCTGATTTCTCATCTGCAAGAAACCATCCAGCATTCAGACATTCCAACTCAGGTAAAGGCAAAACTTTGTAAGCGGATATTTTCCATTTTATTGGTGAATTGTTTTGTCATGATGCTGTGTGACAGGCTTTGGTTTTGTGCATACAAAGTAGACCCTGCTTGATATGCCATGTCTCTGCAGGGGGGATGACGTATGCAAGATGAAAAGGAGTATTGCAAAAGCATCATGTTGCTATTTTCATCATGCATGCGATGGTACCCTTACAATTTTTGAATTTATTAGAGTTTAGACACTGCCCGTTTTACTCAATACCAGCTATTGCAGCTGTTACTTCACTGTGACGTAAATTTTGAGAATTGTCTATTGCAGCTGTTTTCCTCTCAATTTTACAGATTCCCCAGTAACTTAATGCGTCTAAAGACTCGTTTTTCAGGCTCAGATGTCTTCTTAAATTTGATAATTATTTTGAAAGTTGTAAACCATCATTAGCCCTATTTGTTCTGGCTGTAAACCTTAGAAGACTATGCTTTATTGTCCCCTCAGTCATGATAAGTACCTCTGCTATTCTCAAAAACAGATCCTCTACAACCGCACAATGGTTCAACTTGGGTTATGTGCCTTCAGACATGGAATGATCCGAGATGCTCACAATGCTCTGTTGGACGTACAGTCAACCAACAGGGTGAAGGAACTTCTCGCCCAGGTAAGCTAAAGACAGACCAACATCCTTTGGGAAGTTCTGGTGTATTCGTTAAAACCTGACCAAGAGTTGCATATTGGTATTTTTATCCACCCCTCAAAATTACATTTTCAATAGGCGAGCGGGTAGATATATTTCCTAGCGTAGTGTTTTGATCTATGTTCTGACGTTTTATACTCTGAAGAGTGTCAGGCGAAAAGCTTGAGTATTTTCTATAATGTTTGCTTTTTTAAAGCCATTAGTAAACGTGTAATAAAACGGAAGTGTTATCTTTAATGAGACTGATATTAGTTTTATTTTCCGGTATTTTATTTTCGATGCAGAATGCCTAGCGTTTTATATTTATGTGTGATATTCAGTAGATCAAGGCTGCTTTTTCTTACTCTGTTGGCATACAATGACTACGTTTGACTAAATAACTTTGTAGGTAGGGAATTGTTGGTAACCAAATTACATTGTATGCATTTTTAAGTTGTCAAAATCTTTCCTTTGGACAGAATGTTAAATTGCAAGCGTTGCTTGACAAACTTCCAAACTCCTCTTAACTGGTTACCTTCACTGTGTTATCTGAAGCGGAATGCCTTCACAGCTTTTGAGTTCTCCCTTCTTCCATTCCAGGGACTTATGAATAACAAAAACTTCGAGAGGTCTCCAGAGCAGGAAAAAATCGAAAAACGACGACTTGTAAGTGGTTTACAGTATGCGTAGCGCAACATGTTTTTATTCTTTATTGTCACAATTAAGATTAAGGTCTCAGTTAGATCTTATTAGGATATTTTGTCCATAGCTGTAGTTGTAAAAATTGAATATGTTTTAAATAGTAAAGCTTGGTTTCCACTTTGAATTAACGTGAGTTAATTTGAGATAATTTTGTGATCTGACATGGTTTAAAAATTATCTCATAGTGGAAACCAAGCTTAACAAACAAAAATAAGCTTCAGACACCATTAGAGACTTAAGACCGTTGTGTATGCGTCTGTACAACTGTTGTTATTATCGATTGGTAACATGCTTCCTTGCATGAACTGCTTTAAATGATAGCCACGGAAACCGATACATCCTTGCTTTAGCTTTGGCTTCACAAATTCTCTCAAGATTAAAATCTTCGTTGCTCCGTTGTTTAAATTTTGCCTTGATTTGTAGGTCCCATTCCACATGCACATTAATTTGGAACTTCTTGAGTGCGTCTACCTCACCTCGGCATTGTTATTAGAAATTCCGTACATGGCCGGTAAGTCGCATTTAAATAAAGTGATTGGTCAATTAGTTAACATACTTTGATTCATTGGGATATAGATATAAACCATTTCACGTGCTTTTGATTGTTTAAGGGGCCCAAATAAGGAGAAACACTGTTTATTTGTAGATTAATGCCTAGGTACAGATGCCTGCCCAAGGGCTCTTAATGCCACGTGCAATCGAACAAAATGATCCTGTCAATATTCTTGATTTCTGCGAAGGCTTCAAATTACCTGTGAGGAAATTATCTGTTTGGTTGTACGTTATATTTTAGAATTTAACAATTCCTCCTAGCTCGAGAGTACGATAGCCGAAGGAGAATCATAAGCAAAAGCTTCCGCAACCAACTACGCAACAGTGATCGCCAACCGTTGGTCGGTAAGTAGGATGATATTCATTCCATTGTAACGTAAATTTATAAAAGTCCAGTTAGTATCAGCACCGTATGCGTATGATTTCGCGTTAATATTATGGGTATCGATAATGTGATTTGTTTATTGCTCAGCCGAAACTAATGATCGCAGTCGCCTCGGGTTTTAGTCTGCTGATTTTCATCAGCTGCTTTTGTTCATACTTCAGGACCTCCGGAAACAATGAGAGAGCACATCGTTGCAGCAGCCAAGGCCATGAAGAAAGGAGACTGGAAAAATTGTTCTGGCTATATTCTTGCTATCAAGGTAATTTAAATTCAGTATATGCTGCAGAATGAAATTCAGTATATGTTGCAGCAGTCTTTTATTTGGAAATCAATGGCTGGTCAATACAAATCGCCTACAACAACTCTCTTTAAGACTCCTTTACAAACATGACAGTGAGAAAGGAGGGGTTCAAAGAGGACTGGGAATGGGGCACAAAATCGCCGTGTGTCCATGGTTATTGATTCGCTACTTCTCATTGGATAATGTAAAGTACAATCCCTTATCTAAGTATTAGCAAGAAAGTTGTATTTTATGCGAGTATTCCATTGAATTTTTTTATATCTAATTTTGTACTTTCCAATTATACTCTCAATTTTTGTTTCTGCTCAGTCCAAACCTCCTATTTACTGGTGTATTTGCAAATGTCAGACCTAACGCTTCGAATTAGCTTAACAGAATCAAAGGACGTACTTTCTTCATTTATTCCATTTCTAGTCAGCATACTTTCTGTCAGTAGAAAGAAATGTGTTACAGAAATGGGAGACTATCCAACCTCTCTTTGCAAATGCTAGCTTCGTTTTGATTCTTCATTTGCTGCTGAGAGGACTTTGGTTGCTTTCCTGAGTGGGCTGTGGTTGTTGTTGTCACCACCGCTTTAGTGCGAAAGCAAACATTCTATGTTGATCATGATCATAACTGCGTAGTGACTTCCTATATTAGTTATATTATAACTTTAATTTTAGTCTTACTTCTAAATTTTAGTCACTTTAATATTCCCGTGTTTTTTGTCAGAGCTGGAATTTGTTTAGCAAATCTGATGAAGTCAAAGAAATGCTTAAAAAGTAAGGACCTTGTTTGAAGTAGACTTTTAAAATTGCATTAGACTTTAACTTGTTTTTTTTGTTCACATGAAGTTGTATTGCATGAATTTTCACAATAAAGGTGGCCAATGAGCTTCATAATCAATTTCGCTGCTAGTTGCTTTGGCATTGGCCAGGACGTTTTCCGGAACACCCTACTTCCTTCTTCCATGGCTTTTATAACCTGTCTTTGTTAAAAATTAAAACAAACAACAAGTTTCATCTAACTCCCACTCTCTTTTTTCCTCCCTCTTTTCCCCATGTTAGGGTTTTTCCTCACATAACCAGCTAAAATGCTAGTTGCAATATTTATTGCATAAAGTGATCTTTACCTTACCATTTGTATACATTATGAAAATTTTTCCTTAGTTAATATGATGCATTTGTTTTCTTCAGGAAAATAAAGGAAGAAAGCCTGCGAACTTATCTGTTCACATATAACAAGGTTTATGATTCTATCAGGTACGTACTGCTACGCAACGTGATTTGTTTTTACTTCATGTAGCAGCAGGCTTCATTGTCTACAAGCCAGCACTCCTTCCACTTTTTAGATCTATGTGTGTGCCTCAGTTCCTCATGCGGATTTTTTCATGCTTTCCTGAAGAAGGCCACTGAGGATTTCTCCTGGTCATCTATTCACGTTTCTCCACTGATCACTACCACCATCGATTTTATACCTTCTTCCTTTCCCCTGTTATTGAAATACTTCTAATGACACACAGATTAGTGGCCTGTTTTCTCTCCTATTCTTTAACCATTAACCATTGTTTTTTTATTTCTGTTTGTATTTTTGTTTCCTTGTTTTAGCTCAATCTATTTTAGCATGTCATACGTATGTCATACATATTTTCTGTTTTTCAGCATGCATAGTCTAGCAGAAATGTTTGAATTACCCCCAACTATCGTGCACAGTATCGTCAGCAAGATGATCATTGGTGAGGAACTGCAGGTAAATCCTTTTTGACAGACAAAATTATAATTTCGTTTTTGCTGGTCCTGCCTAACAACTCTATCGCCATGTATAGTAATATTGGGAACCCAGAAACGTGAATCCTTTTTAAAGGCCTTACATATTCTGTGTCGTCTCTCTGCCTTTCTGCCACGAATCCTCTTCGGAAACAAAATTCTAGATTTTTCTTTGCCCCCTTTACGATTTGTAGCTCCTAAATGTCTCTGCTAACCCTAATCGTCTTTCTGGTCAAGGGCACCTTAAAAATCCTCTATTGGCACAGAACGTATTGACAATGGCACTGTTACAATCCATACCTTGCATTGGAGGAATTTAGCTACAACAAACAATTTTCAAAAGAAAAGGTCTTCAAGAGGGTTTTCAGACTTTTTGGCAGTTTACTTTCCACTGGGAATGTTGGATAAGAATCCTCTTAAACCGATCCATTTATAAACGATGAATAGCGAACTATGTTAGTGTGACTTGCTCCGGTATCATACCTTGCTAGCAATCTTCCCTGTAATATTTGCCAATTCTTGTGCCTTCGTCTGCTTCGATATGTTTGAATCATCTAAACATTTTGAGGACTCCTTGGTGACCCATACTACGTCAGTAGCATCTTTCCCCTGTTGAGATGCTGTTATTGCGTGTATGGAAGATCAGCCTAGGATCTACAGGTCTTGCGAGACCTGTAGTGGGCCTAAGTCGCTTCTAACACCTGGCAACGTAAGACTGGTAACTTACGACGCCTCAGCCTTGGAGCGTACATCTTTTTGGAAAGTATACCATGTGCTGGCTCAAGTATTTTCATACCAAGTCCATATAAAGACTGTACTCTGTAGCAGAACAAAGAAACGTGGAGTTGTTTGTAGTTTGAACGGTCAATAAGTTTCTCAATTAGAGTAATTTCATGCTGTGGGTCAAAATGAGATCTCTCTTTTCCGTTATTCAAAATGTTAATAATAATTTAATTCTGTTGTTGAGCTTTTGAACCCACTAATTGTTGATCAATTAAACGCCCTTAGTAATTATTTCCAGAACTGTTTTCTCTTTAAAGGCCTTGTAGGGTTTTTATTTTAGGAAATGCATTTTTACATACAACGACCCAAAGTGATTTTTTTGCCAATATTGCTGCCCAAATCTTGCTCTTCAGTTATTTTCTCTCTGCATCTTCATAATTTCGTTTAGGTGTCTCTCTGCATGTTCATAGTTTCGCTTGGATTTTTTGTAAATACTCAACTTGATTTTGCAGGCATCTTGGGATGAACCAACTCAAACGCTTATCCTACATCATGGCGCTGAGCCTACTCTTCTTCAAAGCTTAACTTTGCAACTTGCAGACAAGGTATGGACAATGAGAATCACTTTATATTCTCTTTCTAATTCATGGTGTTTAATCAAATTCTACTGATGTCAATGTTTTCAGAATAAAACCTCAGTGATTTCACAGTCAAGCCGAGATGATGTTTCTTTTAACAGACTCTTAGGCCTGACCCATCAACGCAAATATTTCGAAAAGATTTGGTTATTTGAAGTGTTTACTCCCTTGAAAAAGCATCTGTGATTCCGTATTTTGTGAAGCTGATATCTGTTTGTACTGTCTCTTCTTGCAATTTTTATCTTTAAGTATATTGGCGTTGGCTGTTATTGAATCTAATTTATAACCACCATTGCTTATTTCATTTTTTGCTTTGACTTCCAAGTTGTTATTTTACTGCCAAGTTGACTACCACTATTATAAAAGGTTTTACGTAGTTTTGTTTAACCTTTGGTTTATAATAACTAAAAGAGAGTTGTATGTGTTTAGATTGGAAATCTTGCCGAGCAATATGAACGTATAACGGACTTCAAACACGGTGGATATTTTGATAAAGGAAGACAAGGTAAGATTTCTAATTCCTCTTGTTTTTATCAGTTCCTTTTTGCCTGCAGCTTTCCTTCTCTTTAGCGTCTTGCTCATTCCAGTCAGCCTTGATTCTTTATACTTCCCCACCCTGCAGCAACAGAACTCTCTTCATGTTATCCCAATTTCCATCTGTAGATGCCTTTTTCTGCTATTTACTTCTTCTAGCACATTTTCAAGGCATATTGTACGCCAGCTATTGCTGCGAAAAGATAATCCGACAGCAGTAACTAATTTTATATTCACTTTTTTCTGATTATCTGTAGGACGATTCAGGCACGGAAGGCAGTAGCGGAAAAGAGAAAGTCGACATCGATTATTTGCTTCAAAAGGAAAATTGGAATCTAGGGAACTCGTTGACAGTTGTTATTGTCATTATCAATGGAAACCTGCACTTTAAAAATCGCATCTATTTTAGTCATTAATATACAATGTTTATTTTTGGCTGATCAATATTATTCTGTTAGATTTAGCAACAGTTTACTCATTGGCGATTTTTGTCTGTTAATATTGTTTCTTCAAGAAATTTCGAGATCAGTATTTTTTATTACCTTAAAAACCATTTATGTTCAAATCAAGAGCAAAGTCCTCACTGATGCTGTTTGACTAACACCAAAAACAGCTGATTGACAACACACTACGTTGTGAATAAAGTAAACTGTTGTCTAAATTTATTTTCTGTATCTTTAAACTGTTATTTATCTTGATGACTTTAGTGCCATAGCTCTGGCTAAGAGGAATATTAGAGATCAATGGTGAAATTGAATTCCTTGTTGTTTTCGTTTGTGTTTTTCTATTGATAAAAAAGTTATCAAGTAATTTCCATGATGGTCCACGTTGCTGTTGATCAATGCTGTCAGTGTGTAAGAAGTTTGTCATTTGAAGTTTCCAATCAGAATTTATAAAAGGACTTTTTGACAACGATGGAAATTGTGTGCTTGCTGGAAGAAGCACCGGATTAAGGTGGTGGCTATTGGCGCTGAGGCATTAGGTCCATTCTTTGAATAGGCCCAGATGAAAAGAGACGAGGATATTTCTGAAGCTGAATTAAAGCTTAATCCGGCATTGACTTGACTGGACAATCTTTTTAAGAGTAATGAACATGAATCAAATTTCACGAGCTATAATTTGTAGAATAATTCGAGCCTTTTTTGTAACGGAGTTTCATTGTAATTTTCTCCTGTAGACATGGGGAACTTAAATTCGATGGGAATAAAAAATTCCATCTGTTTTAGCAATATCAGAGTCTGTTGGTTAAACCTTCCTCTACCTTGAACAAAGAGAAACGTTTGGTTTTTTTGGGCAACTTTATTGTATTTTTCAGGACGTTTCACAATATTGCGTTCCTGTTTTGCGCTCATCGGTTTCCGCTACGTTGATGTTATAAAGAAAATTCTCTTGCTGTTTTGTTCCCTGTGAAGTCGTTATTAAGACTTGCTCCTCATCATCGTTGTCATAACTAGACTTAATAGGGTGATAAACTGGGTACAATCAATTACATGTGGGGTAACTTCGTTTTGTTATCTGACACGTATGTGTTTAGAGCATACTTAATAGCAGCCGAATATACCTTATTACTTTTTTATCGACATCAAAGTGATGTTATTGCTTCCTTGAGGGCTACAAGCAAATAAATACCAAAGTACAAATTGTCTTAATCATTTTACAACGACCTATATACCAGCAAGACCGACCTATATACCAGCAACACCAACCTCGCGAAATGAAGAAAATAATTAGATGTGCTTGCTCCTCTGTTCTGTTTGCTGTGTTACTCTTAAAGCTAGGGAATGGCGTGGATTGTCGAAAAGAAGAATCTGCTGGTGGCAATGAAAACAAGACGATAAAACTGCCAACGCTTGGTGTTGGTGTGCTTGATATTAAATCAGAAATAGAACAAGAAAATGCATTGGTTATGGCCTTGGATGCGGGGTACCGAATGATCGATATATGGGAAGGGTAGGTTGTATTTTGTATTCGTGTCCAGGCTTGTCCTTTTTCAAACGTCCGCCCTTGTTCTTAAGGGCGTCGTAGGTTGCAGTTTACTCTAGGTTGTCTTTATGCCGTTATAAGACTGTATTTAGCACAATTCTGCCAACTAAACGAGTCGAAAGCTGGATTTCCTTTAATGCCAGAAAAAGATTGTTTCATCAATGAAGGCTCCGCCCTTTAGTAACCTTTTGTGCCTTTAGTAGTTACATGCATTGCTGCCCTCGTAAATCATGGATTTGAAATTTTGCTGTTTAGACACACCATTTTTTGTTAATCCTGGCCCAAATAATCAAACACAATTTTATCTGAAGCCTAAAACTTTCCGTCAACAGGGAAGAAGTTCAAATAAAAAATGCAATTTTGAGGACGAAGGTGCCACGAGAGGAGGTGTTTATTGTTGTTAAGGTGAGGGTCGTTTGCATTGTCAAGTTGAACTTGATTGCTTCATTGTAATTTGAATCTAATTAAAAGTGCACTATTTCAGGAAGCTATAATGTGTAAAGAATTTCAAATGAGCATGATTAATGTTACCAATCGCAGAGAATCCCTTAGACACATGTTAAGTCAATTGTATTTAATTCCATTTATTTCCATTGTTTCAATTCGATATTTTTTCCATTTTTTTCCTTTACCATTTCAGTTGAGCCCCCCAGAAACCCTCGACCAACTTTACGACACAGGTGAGGCCGTGGAAAACATTCTGAAACGGTAAATCATTCGATCTTTTCTACTCATATACTATTGCTGGATACTTGATTGACCTTATAAGAATAGTTGCAATTACTAAGTCTACGTTTAAAGAAAAGTTGTTCACGGAAATGTTTTGCTCTGGGCCACTAAATCTCTTTGCTAATGGAATTTGCTTTTCGGACGTATTTAAGCGGCAAGGATTCGGGGGCTCAATTTTGGGGCCACATCCTTCAGGGGACTGGAAAATTATGGTAAAGCCCGTTTTGAAAACTCAATTTTTAGCATTAAGATAAAGTTGATAAAAAGATAAATTATTGTTTGCACCATTTTGTTACTATTGACTACGAAAGTTCTCTTTTACCGAATCGAGGCAAAGCTTATCGAAGGAAACAAAAAATATTGGAGGGGGGTATCGCACCCCTCACGCTCCCGGTAAATCCATCCCTGTTTTTCCCAGTACACTTAAGGAAAATGAATCATATCTTTTTTGTTAATTACTTAAAGGAAATTGTCAGATCAATTGTAGCTACTCAACGATGGCATAGAAATATAGTTTTGAAATGCTTTATCCAACGCCGTGTTATATCTCTAAATTGCAACACCCGTGTAATCAACACATGTTGACAGAGATGCAGGCTCTTTCAAGTACATAGTTTTCAGGTGATGAAGGGTGCAGTTTGAGCGCCCACTATGCTTTCGGAATTTTTAAAAGCTTAGTATTGCTTGGACCTGATTTCTCCCCTATTTCAGTTATTGGAAAAATGTTTTTGAGTTTTCTAAATATTTGCCCGTCCCAAAATTATGTTCTTTCTGCACCCCTTGGGCTTTTTCTGGATCCCCTGTACCCCAACTGTACATTAGGGTATTTTATGATGTCGCCAGATAGCTATTCTTTTCCCCCTCGTGGAAACAACTGCACTGCAGACTAACTGACTTCGATCGTGGAAACTATATTTAATGCAATGTGTTCTGTATCCAATATTTGTGTGTCTTTTCCAAGGCTGGAGACAAGCTACGTTGATTTGCTGTTGATGAATTACGCTGATTTCAACAACCAGCATTTGCGAAGATGGAGGGCTATGATTTCTCTGAAAAACAGAGGAAAAGCAAAGTAAGCGCTTTGATTAGTATGTCTCGTTAATGTTTATTGGAAGGCTACTCTAAGGTTTTTGGAAGACGGACAAGGAAAATTCTTCTTATCATGAATATATCACACGGTGCTAGTCAGGAGTCCTAAACATTTCAAAACACTTAGTAAATTCTAGTGATATCATGAACTTTTCTAAAATGTGTGCATATTTTGGTTCACTCATAAGTTTCTAAATTCTTAAGGTAACGGAATTCTTAGTAGAGGAGCAAGAAGTGATTTGTTATTTGGTGCCCATGCAGCTGTTTCCCATTCAGTACTCTGTTTTGAAGGAATACTCTGGGGTCTAAAAAGTATGGAAATGGTGGGTCAAAATGGCCGCTCACTGTGGCCACGGGCCTAAGCTGACCAATTTCAAAATAAAATTTACGAATTAAAGGGGCTTGGAAACGATAGTAATTGAATCATCTTATGCTTCTCAAGTTTCGCCTGTCTTTTAAGGCATTTTCTATGAATCCTCCCATAATATTTCCGGAGCTTTTCTGAATTACTGGTCCAATGTTTCCCTGACTTTCTTCCCATATAATAGTAAGATAATCTTTCGCATTTATCTTCATTCAAAAGCCATTGGAATAAATTTGCAAAAAATTTTGTACCCAAGGCGTTCGTTACCAAAATCATCTAGCACTGAACTTATGTTTTTAAAAATTTGTTGGCTTGGATACTTGGCTTCTGTGAACCGCCATTTTAAGCATCGTTTCCATACTTTTGTGACCCCAGTGTACAACACATTTATTGCACAGTACTGCTAAACTAGAAATAGCTCTTGCTAGTACTGCCCACAAACAATTTGTTCCTTGATAATGATTGTTTTGAAAATTTAGGTCAGGATATTCGAAGAAGACACCATCTTGGGTTTTCACAATTTTATAAAAACAGCTGCTCTAGTTGATGCTTAACTATTCTTTTTATCAAGAATTTTTGGTTTTCAGTTTGCCTTTGATTCAAGTCCAACGCCCTTTTGAAAATCATGAAGTCTTTCGAGGGTTTGACATTTATTTTTCGTTTTCGTGAAGTAAACAAAGACGTATGAAAATTAATACGTGATAGAACGGGTACAGCTAAAATCGATTGCGATAAAGGATTCGTACAGCGATGTACAGGCGATAATCATGACAATCATAACTTTTGCTCGTACGGTCTCGAGTTTTTGGGAGAAAGGTGTGGCATTCGACTGGTTTTGACTCCCAAAACTTCGAATCAAAACTTCCATCCATTGCGGAGAACCGAGCTGTGATGCAGCACCGTTTTCGTGCCAAAAAAATCGAAGGCCTTTAACAGATTCTTGGCAGAGCAACGCTCCGAAGATAATTCCCTTCCGCACAAAGAGGTGGCGGTTAACGACCTCCTCGACAAAGCCGATTGATTGACAATGAAATTGATTGACAGTTGTCATGGCAGCAGAAAAGTGACAAAATCTGCTGACAAAGTGCTGACAACATGAACTGAAGCTTCCATATGCTACTTATACGCGGGGCAGACTATAAGCCCTTCACTCGCGCGCTATCGCACGCGAGTTGCGGGCAATAATGTAGTTGATTTTCTTATTGCAGATTAATTGGTGTTTCAAACTTCAACTTTGAGCAGGTGTCATCACTCGGCAGCGCCACTGCCATATTGCCATCAGGTAGGGTGGCGATAACTGTTTTGATAGTTTACTAGTGCATATTTGGCTGTGAACATTTTATTGTGCGAGTTAATATAGAACTCTCTAATGAATAAATAGCAAAATTAGAGTTCAATTTAAGTGATAGTTTAGTGCAATTAGAATTTTTTAAAAGTTTTTGAAATGTTTTAAAGATTAACAGCAAGTTGTGTATTCAGTACAAGATGTAGATTAAAAGGTGATGACTTGTCTTTTTAGTTGTTCAGTTAGAGATCAACCCATTTTTCCAGCAAGATGAGTTGGTTAAAAATCTCACTGCAAAAGGCATAAAGATCCAGGCATATTCACCTCTCGCAAATGGTCACAAACTCGAAGACACGAAGCTGAAAGAAATAGCGAAAAAATACGATGCTACAACGGCTCAGGTTCTCATTCAATGGTGTATTCAAAAAGGGTATTCGTGCATTACAAAGTCTACCAAGAAGCTGCATCTCGAGGATAATATCAACTTAGAGGATTTCAGTCTCGAAGATGAAGACATGAAGGTAAGATCACATAACAACTGCGTCTAATGCACATAGAGTAAATTTGAAGTGTTGTTGTTTAATTTTACATTAAACTTTGTTGCCTTGTCCTCTCATTAGGCAAATGAATGTTGAAGTTAATCATAAGAAGATTCAAAATATTTCATTCCAAATATTTATAGCAATAGCTTCATTTATTTTTGACACGTCCATCTTCAATCAATAGAGAAAGCATCATATAGTTTATCGATAAAGGTTTTCAAATCCTAGTTCGTTAAGAATGAACTTGCATTAAGAGCACTCTAACCCATAAAAGCCTTTAATTTAAATGCAGTTCGCGAAAATGTAAATTTTTGATAACGCTGAGGATTTTTCAGAAAGTTTTCAGAACGGTGTCTTGCTTTAAGAGACCATGTTTTAAAAAATTAAGGGGGTTCAGGTTCCCAAACCTCAATGTAGTTGGTGGTAATGGTTCAAATGTTGAAATTGTATTGACTCAAGACTGCAGTAATGCATTTCTCTTTTTGGATTCATTCGAGCTTATGTTTCTGTTTCCTTTCTAGAAATTAGATGCTTTGGAGGAAGGTTTTGTCACGAACTATGACCCAAATGATCCTCGTTTTTATGAAAAGTCATTTTATCAAGCAAGAGAAACTGAATCTGGAACTAGGACAGGTCGTCGTGGCGACGATTTGGATGACGAGCAGTTGACAGATGAAAACTATCATTTCGATGGAGAAGATCGTTCTGCAGCTTCTGTAGGTGAAGACGTACCGGGCAGTGGCGAACATGGTAACCAACAATCGAAACAAAGCCAGAGCAGCATAGAATTGGAGGAGGAAGTATCAGGTGAGTATCATTTGAATTTCAGGGAAGTTGCATTCTAGCACTTACTATAACAGCAAAATATATACACGACGCAATGCCATACAGGATATCATACTTAACGGCATAATATAGCATACGGCACACCATACACCATAACATGCGACATACCATACACCATAAAGTACCGTAAGAGAGGTAGTTTTATTGGGCACTATTGTTTGAGACGTTGGAAAAAAAGAAAATGGTTAGCTGGAAACACAAATGATTCTTGGGAGGGGGGTTGTGCCCAAAAAACAATAGTAGCTACCATCCCATACCATACAACACACCATACGTGTACTTTTCATACCTTACCAATGCAAATTGCTCTGTCAAAACAAACCGTCTACAAGACCGCTATCCAATCTGGCCTGATCTATTCCCATTTAATGACATCCTCTGAATTCACTTCGATCTCAGGTGATTTAATTGATAACATATCTCCCTTTTCAATCTTAGATATGCAACTCTAGTATCAATAAGAATGTTTCCTGCCATCCCACATTAAGAGCTTGGAGAAATAAAATGAACAAAGAGCTAACGTTAATGACCCTGCTCTCAATCTACCTTTCGATTTTACACAATCTAGATTGCGTCTAGCATTTCCACAAAATAACTAAAAAGAAGAGAATCAAACTTTACCTTGACAACTTTTTTTCGAATAATGAGACAAGCTGACAAGTTTTTTCAGCTGTGTTGATTTCTCGTTTAACATTGAAAGCTCTCCTATCCATCTTGTCGTACTGGCAATTTGTGATTGATATTATTGGATCACTATTGATATTGTAGGAAAACGTGGCCTGAAAGGTGAAACATCGAGAATACCATCAAGTGAGACGAGTAGAGCCGGACCAGGAATAAGTGGAGGGGATCGCGTGAAGCACCGAGATGAATTTTGAACAAAGACATTTGATATTAACTGTAGTTCGTTTACAAAGAAATTTGATATTAACTGTAGTATGTCATTCCTAAATGGAATAAGGGCTATCTCTCTGTGTTGCTGCTTGTGAAATTTAAGCATTGTAGAACTACCCAGAAGGATCTCTTGTGTATCCTTTAAATGTAGGAAACATTATAAAGAGAGAACTCGTTGGCACAATGACCCAGAGGTCAGAAAATGTCTCAGCCTTCCTCCTGACAACATTTCGTCCCATTTACCTTCCTCGGAAATTTCCTCATACCTTTTCAATAGAAGTTCCATATAAATGCAATTTAAGTAAAGTCATCTTTAGTCTGGTCTTTAAAATTGGTCAAGAAAAAAGAAAAGTTGAAGCACAACTGTAAATCCCTCTCTTATGTATTTTTGTCAAGTTATGGCATTGGCCTTCCTCAAAGCTCCTACGCTGTTTCATAACCTTTCTCCGGCTAACAGCCGTGGAGCCGCAATCTTTTCTGGATTCTGCACTGACCACACCATTTCAATATAGAGAGTATGTTTAAAGTATTCAGTGGTTGGAAAACAGTTATGTATTCAAACATTAGCAAGTCATATTTCATACTAATCAACAACGAAAACCAATCTGCATTCTACTAAATGGATCTTCTTTGTTTATACTGATCAACAACTACATCGTTGTCTTTTTCGTGAGGAAACAAAATATTGCGTAGAAAATGAAATAGGAAAAAAAATCTTACCTGCAATTCCTGTAAAGAAAACATTTTAAATGAACGAATACGTCAATGTAGAGAATAATAGAGAACACTTGAACACTAACCTCTAGCTGGAGCAGAGAACACTAGCCTAGCTGGAGCAGAGATAAATGTACAGTAAACACCTGCGTATAAGAACCAAACAAAATAAGGACCAATAGTTAATAGATATTCAAACTACAGGCTGAAATTCTGAAATTGTTTTTCCATTCAACAAGCAGCTTGAAAACTGGAATATTTTCTTATTTGCGAGTCACTAAAAATCAAAAATCAAATGTCATGCCTCAAATAGTCCTAACAAAAGAAAAAAATTGTGAACTTAAATTTTGATTCAATTATCACGGTAGATTTTTTTGAAATTTAGTGACATTTTCTTTTGCAAATAATAATGTTGATCCAAGAGAATCCAGCAATGTAATTTCTTTTCTTTCAATGAAATTTCGAAATTTAGTATTAGAGCAGGACGATTCTAAGTTGCAACTCCGAGTTTTACGCATTATGTCAAATGGCATCTACCACTCTAACATAATCGGTTAACAGTAACTTTCATCGATGAACAAATTTTCCTGATGCAGGATCACGGATGTAACTTAAATTTATTGTTCCCTCTCCCACACTCGATTAGTATTACCGATGTACCATTGGTTCGAAATTGTCGATCAAAAGTTGCTAATTCAGGATGAGAAGACTGTATTAATTCAAGCGAAAATGTTGTAGCATTAGAATATAGAACTAGAAATAGCTCTTGCTAGTACTGCCCGCAAACAATTAGTTCCTTGATAATGATTGTTTTGAAAATGTAGGTCAGGATATTCGAAGAAGACACCATCTTGGGTTTTCACAATTCTATAAAAACAGCTGCTCTAGTTGATGCTAAACTATTCTTTTTATCAAGAATTTTTGGTGTTCAGTTTGCCTTTGATTTAAGTCCAACGCCCTTTTGAAAATCATGAAGTTTTTCGAGGGTTTGACATTTATTTTTCGATAATCACGACAATCATAACTTTTGCTCGTACGGTCTCGAGTTTTTGGGAGAAAAGTGTGGCATTCGACTGGTTTTGATTCCCAAAACTTCGAATCAAAACTTCCATCCATTGCGGAGAACCGAGCTGTGATGCAGCACCGTTTTCGTGCCAAAAAAACCGAAGGCCTTTAACAGAGTCTTGGCAGAGCAACGCTCCGAAGATAATTCCCTTCCGCACAAAGAGGTGGCGGTTAACGACCTCCTCGACAAAGCCGATTGATTGACAATGAAATTGATTGACAGTTGTCATGGCAGCAGAAAAGTGACAAAATCTGCTGAAAAAAGTGCTGACAACATGAACTGAAGCTTCCATATGCTACTTATACGCGGGGCAGACTATAAGCCCTTCACTCGCGCGCTATCGCGCGCGAGTTGCGGGCAATAATTACAGAATATTAGACAACAACTGGAGTTGTGAAAACCTCTTGCGTTTCCCCAAATGTCCAGAAATGTTTTTCAAATTATCTTTCTCTTGTAGTTCCTTTGATATTCGAATTTTTCTTGAGTCATTGTCTTTCTCGTCCGAAAATGTTGCTTTCCAATATCTTTTTTGTCCAAAATTAATCAATTTCATAAGAAGGACAGGGCCCGCGCCACGCATTTCAAGGTGGAGGGGCCAAGTTCTATAAGTCGAACTTAGATTTAGTGCTTTAAAACAGGGCCTCTCCGGAAATATTTTTGCTTACCAACAAAGTGGGGGGGAGGCCACCCATGGCCCCTCAGGTCCTCCCGGTGGCGTGGGCCCTGAAGGAGTGTGTGTGTGTATCTGAAGAGTGTATCGAAAGAGTAATGACCCACAACAGAACAATGATGATAAACCAATAGACGTCTTGTGAAAGTTAGAAAGGAAGTTAGTAAGATCGAGCAGGGGTAGCGACCACTCCTCTGTCTAAAAGGAAACTTTGTAGCCGTTGTATAATGCGTATATCGGATAGAAAATTTCCGGTTTATGTATCCAAAAATCAGCACGGTGTAAAAAATATGTAAACAGTTTTTATACGTCTTTTATAAAAGCAATCTTTTATTAAAGCAACGGCGCTAATATGAAATATTATGGTTTGCCAGATCCCTTCTGTCACATCTTCAAAGAAAAATATGGAATGACGATGCAAGTGGGAAACTGGGTCGAGTAATGTGCTTGCCTCATTTTGGACACAAGGTTATCGTTTTTATGAAGTACGCATGCGCACTTATGTAGTCTGTAGCCACGCTTTCTCGGAAAATGAAACTGCGTACATGGAGACGAAAGAAATTTAGGCCCAAAGTGCCGGAAATTAAAATGCATACAGAAACTTTCGACAATGGCTGAACCTCCCAATCATATGCAGAACCCACAAGTGAACGATATTCTTTCGGCGGCCTTAGGGCAAAGTGGCCTAACATTTACAGAGACTGAGGAAGATGATGTCCAAGATGTGTTTGCCGCGCTATCTGCTGATGGCGACTTTCCGTCGTACATGCAGCGACAAAACTCAGTTCGAAGTAGCATACCAGCTGGAAGAACAGCTTCAAGGACTAACAAAATTGATACTTCAGGGCATTTACAAAGTGACCTTGATGATATTATGGACTTGATAAATAGTGATTCTGTGGGACATCAGGAGGAAAGTTTTTCAGGTTTCACCCATAATTCAGTACCGGTCCCATCAGTACCACTTGTTCAACAGCAGAAAGTATACACAAATAACGAAAGTACTAGCTTTGCTCTATCCGGACTGCTTAAAATGCCAGCCGTTTCAAAAAGTGAGCAGTTTGTTGAATACCAAAGTAAAGAAATTGCAAATTTAGTCGACTCCCTAAAGGAATCATCAGCTGGACTGTTACATCAAAGCTCCAGCACGCTTCAAACTTCGAGAATTCAGTTTCCTGGTAACAAGGAAGTTCCTGGCCTTAAAAACATCCTTGCTTTGCAAAGGTAGGCATTTTGGTACTCTAGTGCCAGTGCCAAAGGTGTTGTAGTTATCTAATTAATGAATAGTTATTTAATTAACTGTTCTCTAACTGGGTATGAAATTACGAATGATGAACCAGTATGCATGCTAGAATTTTTGCATGTCTCACAGTATATATAAAAAAATTAAGAAACTATTAAATCGTGATAAAACTGAGAACAACGAACTTTTGTAAAATCCAAGAACATGATTGCCCTGATGGCCTAGAAATTAAGACACAAGGGATAAAAATATTCTTCCCATTTCTAAATGCAGCGTCAGAACGGAAGCAAATCTCTTGATGTGAAATTTCCAGAACATTAAGAAACTGGAGTACTCAACATCGACCTTTGTTTCTTATAAATAAATGAGTGTAACTGCAAATAAAACTTTTTATCAAGGTTCGTGTTTGCTGCAGATCTGATACAAAAAAGGTCTCAAAAGACCCAAAGTAATAAATTCAGGAATGACAGGTTCAAGCTAAGTTCAACTTTGATCTACTGAGGAACAGATCAGATGACACTGACATCACACAAGAGCCCATGAGAGACATGACAAACTCTACTTTATATGACAAGTTTGTACTGCATTGTGATAGCCAAAGTGCAATAGCTCTAGCTAAAAATGCTATGGTACATCAAGGATCAAAACATATAGACATAAAAAATAATTTTGTTGGATTAAATAGTTTCAGACAGTATTATGGATCTGATTTATGTTCCAACAGCTAAGAACATTGCTAATGTCTTTACAAAGCCAATTGCCAGTTTAAAGCTCAAGAAATTTATTACAGTATTGATGGGAATTTGAACTTGAACTATTTGATAACATTGCATTTTTTTGTTCTTCATAAACTGTAATTAATAATTATTTAATTGCTACATAAAGTTTAAGTGGGGGTTTAAAGTTTAAGTATTAAACTTTAGTATAATGACAGACAATATTGTTGTTGTTAGGAGGACTGGATCATATAACTTTGTAAACCTGTGATAATGACACCTTACCTTCTGTACTTTTATTTGTTCGTGTGATATTATAAAATGGCATAAAGTATCACGTATTTATTCCTCATTTATCCAGTGTCATGGCTAGTTCAACATCATTTACCTTTATTGTATTTATTTTGCAAGAAACAAAGATGTATTGGGATTGCAATTTGCAAGAAAGGTTGAAGTAAATCATGTAAGTTTTTTATGGGAGCTATTTTGCTGTAGCAGTACTTTGGTACATGGCATAAATTAAAATTATGGTTTTAATGGTGGATTGTTATTTGATTCTTGTTGCTCCATTGAAAATAAACCCAGAAATACAATATATAGAGAATCTGGACCAGAAACTAGTTGAAACTTGTTCAGGCAAGCCAGTTGCTTGCTCAGTCAAATCAGAAAATTTTTGTGCAGCCAATGTAAGATAATATGGTAAATTTTATTCAGTGGCCAAGGTGCTTGTCAATAAAAAACAAAATAGTGGCAATGTAAGTAATAAAAGCTGTCGATGAAAGCTGAGAATGAATATTGTTGATAAACTTGCACTAACAAACACTTTAAGATACAGTTGCAGCTGGATGTTCTAGCTGTCTGATTAGTGTAAGCCTATTTTGGATATCAAATGACAACTTTTATATGATCAAATTTAAATTTCTGTTCTTCAATTCTTAGTTATGTAAATGTGAAAGCTTTTTCTATCTAAAAGGTTGATGCAGAGCAACAGGAGGAAATTGAAGAAGAGGAGGAGGAGCTGGGGTACACTGATACATTTGCAGATTATATGCCTTCAAAAGGTACAGCATATTCACCTTTTTGGAATTTAGCTGAATTAAGTTTTGTTCCATTCAATTACACACAATATTATACTATAGTACCATCATATTATACATATGGACACAAACATTTGTTTGGCTACCATAAATCATTTATTAAGTGCTCTGCTCAAGTTAGCCTCTTCTTAAGTTTGATAAATAAGTTGACTGATCTAAATGGTTTCAGTAACCCTTTTTTGTGTATATATGTTTTAATTTTTTTGTTAAATTTGATTCATAAGTTTAAGGTTAACTATATGTTTCTATTTCAGTTAAAATTGGAAAGAAGCATCCTGATCCAGTAGTCGAAACAAGGTTGAATATTTATTAAAACTCCAGTTGTTCATATTGATATTTAATTCTACTTATTGAATAAAAAAGAAAATGCATTTTGTAGGATATATATCTAAGGAACATTTTTTCTAGCACCCCTCAGAATCTTGTATTGTTATAATGAGCAATGAATGACACATTATACTGTGACAGCTTTCTTTATCAAACAATGATTTTGTCATGGTTTTTTGAATTTGTCTCATACAATGCTACTGTACATGAACAATTTTTTTGTGAATTTGAAAATGTCTTTGAAAAAAGCAAACATTTTACAACATACTGAAAGCTTTTTTGTCTGACACTCCTCAGAGCATAAAACGTCAGAATCAGGGTCCGAACGAACACAATGAAAATATATACCCAGTTGTGGATCGAAATAGGCCAATCAGAAAATTGCAAGCACAAGACTGGTATAGTTGACCAATCAGTGCCGCAGGCCTAAAGAAAAATTACCACTGGAGTCTAAGAGAGAAAACAAACTAAGGACACTAAGGTTTTTAAGGACACATATAGTGCGAGGATGGCTCAGTTGTTAGAGGCGCTGACTACAGACCTAAGGGTTTCTGGATTGAGTCCCTGGCATGACCAAACTTTCACCCAGAGTGAAGAGAGTTGCCAGCTCTATGTAATTCCAGATGTAGGAATCACGAGGTGTGGTCACATCGAAAGGAAGGACCAGGACACTGCTCGTTAAGCATAGCTGCTCAGTGGCTAAATATTTCTCAGTGTCCTAAAAATTACCTTCAGATGCTAGATAGAAACAAATACAAATGTAATTACTTACGGTTTCATGGACACTTTATTTTGGTAGATATTTTTCTAGTAGTGTAACTTCTACAGTTGGGATCTGAAGTGGTTCAGCAATATTTCTCTTTTGTTTAAAGTTCTATGGCAAGTGTTTCACCACCAGATGTTTGGTACAAATTAAGTTTGCCATCAGAGATTATTGAAGGAAGTTTCCTCTCTGCATTACAACTGGAAGCAGTCATTTATGCATGCCAACAACATGAACATCTCTTGCCTGATGGAAAAAGAGCTGGTTTTTTGATTGGTGAGACACATTTTCTTGAAATGATAAAAAGCATTTTATATCAACATGTTTGCTTTACTTACCCCTTTAAAATACTGTCTTTCCCTTTATTACAAGAATAAATGACTTAAAATTAACTTAAAATGATATTTTCATTATTTTTAGGTGATGGTGCAGGAGTTGGAAAAGGAAGGACAGTAGCAGGTATGTTGTGACATTTTGTTATATTATGTTTGTTAGCCAGTTAACCTTGTCTAAGTGGATGTTGCTTAAGTGGGAAAATTATTTTGATATTTAAATTTAAGTTCCATCTTTTCTTTCTTCTGTTTTGTAAAAGTTTTAAGTTTTAATCAAGTTTCTCAAATTGGAATTCAGGCCATCCTGGTTGATGAGTTGAATTTTCTCCACTTTTTGATAAAATTTCCAAACATTATTTGAAAAGATGTTGATGTTTGTTGACAATGTATAATGCATCACAAGAGAGTACAAAAACAACACATGTGGCATCATAGTGTCATACCATATTTTCTCTTGTATTCCTGCTGTGGGTTTTTTTAATTAAACCTCTAAAGTCATTGGGGGATCATTAGGGAGGTGGGATTATTAGGGAAGGGGGATTATCAGAGAGGCAGGATTATCAGAGAGGCAGGATTTTCAGGTAGTGGGATTATCATACAGGTAGGATTATCAGAGAAGTGGGATTATCAGGTAGTGGGATTATCATACAGGTAGGATTATCATAGAAGTGGGATTATCAGGCAGGATTAATTTTTCTTTGCATGTAAGCTGCAAATAACATTGAGAAAGTTTGTTGGAAAAGCAGCGCTGATTGGCTGAAAAATGATTCACCCTTGCTGTCATCAAATAAAATTGATTTCTTTCAATATGCAAACCTGCATGCTGGATTATTGAAAAGCAGGATTGATATTTCAAGTATAGAAAAAGCAGGAATATTAGAGAGATGGGAATAGTAGATATGACAGGAATGCAAGAGAGAATATGGTATATTGCTTATATGTGTTGACAAAATTGGAATTCCAATGTCATGCAAGTTGAAGAGATATAATTTTATAATTATATCTGTATTCTATTTTTTAAATGCATATCTACTGATATTAATGGGCTTTGTTTGATTTTTATGTAACATTTTTAATAGAATTTTTCTTTTTTAGGAATAATATATGAAAACTATTTGCTGGGTAGAAAAAGAGCTATCTGGTAAGTTAAAAAATTTACCTTCATTAATAAATATTCATTGATTGCCATAAAAATCAGAATGTAGTAAAAATGAGTCCTGGATATGATCCACACATGGGGGATTTGTTTGTTAGAGAAGGCATTGGTCCTGGGCCATTGGCATGGTAGTGCAGGATGGCCAATCCTTTCCATTCTATGTGTTTCTATTTGGTACCTCATTGCTAATGGAAGGGCAGTAGGTTAGCACCAAAATAATGGATTAAAAATGAGTTTTGGATAGGGGTGTACCGGATCAGGATTTTCAGAATCCGGCCGGAACCGGATTTACCGGATTTCTTCGTGGAATATCCGGCCAGATTCTACCGGATAATCTGACAATTTATAGAATTTTTAGTAATAAAAAGTTTTGAGCCACTTTGCGAAAAAATGTATAGCAAGAAGATCAAAGAGACCTATTCAGGGTTGCCAGATTGAATTTACAAACGAAGGCTAGACTGGTGAGCAATTTAAGCCAAAATGCTCATAAAAAGGCCAAATCAAAAACTCTCTCAAGAATCCATCGAGCAGGCACTGGTTATATTTCTACGCTTGTGCCTGTTAGATAATTTCTTAACTTTGATAAGAATCTTACTTTTTTCCAAAACCCTTTGCTAATATCAAGATAATATTTAGGTTAGTGATAAAATTTGAAATTTGGTTAACACTTTGTAGTTAACTACTAATTATTCTATAAATGTAGTAATTACTTATTAATTTTGGATGTCTGCTGAAAAGGCCAACAAGGTCAAATTTAAGTAGTAAGCAAAAAACAATTTTCCCAGGCAACCTAAATCTAAAAACCAAAAATGAAAAATTCGGCCTAAAAAGCCGATCTGGCAACCCTGGACCAAATTTGTGAATTATATCATCCAGTCTTCCTGTTTCGTGATGACGAGCACTTTCATTTCAAATCTGTTTTCAAGGCGCTTGTTTTATTGTTGGTATTGTTTAGTTCTGGAAAATCCATTTTTCATCACTGTATGAAGGGAGTCTGACTTGGTTTTCCAAATTTTCTTAGTTTTGATTAAAGTTTTGGAAAATCCGGCAACTGGCCGGATTTCAGAAACAAATCCGGCCGGAACCGGATTTTCAAAAACTCAGCGATCCGGCGCCGGATTATCCGGCCTACCGGATATCCGGTACATCCCTAGTTTTGGACCCACTGCAGTTATCTAGTGTTGCTTGTCTTTACTCAAATGCAGATGATTTGCAAAAAAATTTTGTTCTAAAGGTGAGTTTAGATGTCAAAATATTTTATTATGTGCCAGGTCTAACATTGGCAAAATCATTGGATGTTCTTTTCCCTTGAAACATTGTCGGTCTTGTTCCTTTTTTAATGAGTTATCTTTTATAATTTTTCTATTTTAGGCTAAGTGTTTCTAATGATCTGCGCTATGACGCAGAAAGGTAGGCTGTTTTGATTTTCATCTCAGTGTGAATTGGTCCATTCTATGTAGTTTCTTTGATTAAAATTTACTCCACACCCTTGCAAGTTTAGTTTTTCATATGAATAGAGTGTTCTTGAAATAGACCTGAAGCATGTATCTATGAAATTATCATTTTAGCAATTTTTTGTATTAGGTCTTCAATTTTATCTCAACTTTATCTATGACCAGTTATCATCTTATCATTTGACCAGTTGACAAAAATTCATGATACTTTCCATAAAAAGTTGTTGGCCTATTTCTAGAGTGTCAGCATTAGTATCATGTCATAACTGGTCCCACAGAATATCTTTTGTTGAACGAGCAACCAAATGGTAGATAAAAGCAAGTATCATTACATAACAACATGGCAAACTCTATCTGCCCTCATGAACAGCACGTTTTTTTACTATGATGTTTTGTTTTAATTTCTGGTGTTTTAATTTCTTGGTTTTTTGCAGGGACCTTCGTGATATTGGATGCAATATATCCGTGCATGCATTGAACAAGGTATGTATGCTATTAACAGAAAGAAATTATGAAATGATGGGGATTTTCTAATGTATTGACCAGCGATGACTTAAGAGTCTCATGTTACCTCAAAGTTGTAAATAAGTGACATAATGTGGTAGTTGCTGATTTCAGATTGCAGAGATGCATACAATGTGATTTGATCTGTCATTTGACAACCATCATGCGCCTGGATACTATGCACTAGGTGATACATAACCTCTGCTTAGAGACTTCAGCTTATTGTGGGTTGAATGGTCTCCCACTGTTCTTGTAAAGTTTAGTACTGGTAGTCTATTATTTTAAACAAAGATGAATCAGCGGGGCGGAGAGGCAATTTCCCTTTTAGTTAGTAAATCAAGAGGCCCCTTATTGTGAAATACCTATCCAGTTTTCAGAACTCGGCATTTTTGACATTAGGCACATCAACAATGACTATAAGGAAGCCTGTGTATTGTGATACTGTTATGCACGATGGTTTCTTACGATTAATCTGAAAGTAGTTTAGTATGCTGCCTAACATTTTCCGCTTTTTCCTTGGCATGTGAAAACTCTGTAGTCCAAAGTACTTGGTTCCACTTTTCTATCACAATCGTTCAGGTTACAAATGAATTTAGATTTTTATGGAACGTATTTATGTTGCCATTTTTGTTTTAATTAAAATAAAGTATCTAGCCTTGCTTAGATGAGAACCGTCACCCACAGAATGTTTATTCTTTTTTCAGTTCAAATATGACGAAAAGATATCTTCTCGAGCAAATGGAAAAGTCAAGAAAGGAATTGTGTTTTCGACATACTCCTCGCTTATTGGTGAAACGCAAGGAAAGGCTCGCTTTAAAACGAGGCTGAGTCAGTTGTTACATTGGTGTGGAGAAGACTACAATGGAGTCGTATCCTTTCTAGATTTTCTTTTAGATCTTGCAAGGTTTAGATCTTGAAGTAAAGAATAGACCCCTTTCACATTGAATTGACTTACATACCAAAACGAGGCTAAAGTTGTTTGGACGCGAACTCACTTAGTGAAAGTACTCCAAACATTCTTATCTTGAGATTTATTAGTTGTTTCTTGCGGTTTGATTTGTTAAAAATGGATCAGTCTACAAGTACGAATGAGTCGAGCCAGCAAGTAAAGAAAAGAGCTTCTTTAGGAAAGCAGTGTGCAGCGTTTGGTTGCTACAATTTCTTTTATTCTACCGACAGATCCCCGACTGGCCTACGCTTCTTCAAGTTTCCTCAAAAAAACCCGGAAAAACGTCAGTGGTGTAATTTAATAAAGCGAGTTGATGGCCTGGATGGGTTCAGAGTTACTGCATCGACTTATCTGTGCCATGAACACTTTACGGATTCAGACATAAAGAAGAATCCTCAACGCTGGAAGTTACGAAGTGGCGCCTTGCCTTCACTTAAATTGCATGAAGGAAACCGCTTGGCCTCTTCTACGAAAACAACTCGAAAAGCTCCAACGGATCGCAGCTCCTTTGTTTTTGAATCTGTAAGCGATGTCTTGGATTCAATGGAGAACACTGTTTCGACGCAAACAAATCTTTCGTTTATTAACAGGCCTATTTTCCTTGAAAATCCTGGCCCTGGCAGTTTCCCAACAGTCGAGCACGGATATTCCCAAGGCAACCAGAATGATGTAGAGTTGGTTGAATTCGTCAATCTCAAAGAGAAAGTTGAGGAACTCTCTCAAAAAGTTGCTGATTTAAATGATCAACTATCTTCTGCAAAGAAAGCCTTTTTTTCTGTTGAAAAATTGCAAGATGATGATTCAGCAGTGAAGTTTTACACTGGTTTTCCTTCATATTTCTCATTTCAAGCCGTTTTTGAATATTTAAAGCCAAAGCTTGAAAACATGTCTTATTGGCGAGGAACAAAGTCCACCAATACCTCCACAGACCAAGAGCAAGAACAGAATCTGACTTCAAAAAAACGAGGACCAAAAAGAAGGTTGTCACAGTTAGATGAATTTCTCTTTGTCCTGATGCGTTTGAAAGTTGGATTGTTTCTCAGTGATCTTGCTGACAGATTCGGTATCTCTGTTGGTCATGCCTCAAAAATTTTTACAACCTGGATTAACTTTCTCTTCCATGAATTACCACTTTTGTTTCCCTATCCGTCAAAGGATCTAGTTGCGAGTATGCTGCCAGCTGAATTTAAAAATTATCCTTCAACAAGAATTATCCTTGACTGTACAGAAATACATATTGAAGTCCCCTCCTCCTTAAGATCACAGTCTCAAACATGGTCAGAATACAAACATCATAATACATGGAAAGCTCTTATTGGTATATCTCCCAATGGTGCAATTACCTTTATATCAAAGCTCTGGTCTGGTCGTGTTTCTGACAAAGAATTAACATCTTCCTCTGGTCTTCTTTCTCTTTTGGAACCAGGTGACAATGTAATGGCAGACAGAGGTTTTGATATCGCCAATATATTACCACCTGGTGTCACACTAAATATTCCTCCTTTCAAAGGCTCACGTGACCAGTTAACACCTGCAGAATCAGAAGAAACAGCCAAGATTGCCGCTGTGAGAATTCATGTAGAGAGAGCTATTGGGAGGGTCAAGAACTATCACATTTTAGATGGTGTATTGCCACTAAGTCTTGCTCCTGTCGCAAACCAAATTTTCACAGTCTGCTGCCTTTTAACAAATTTTTTGCCATTTTTAGTTAACCCTCAAAAGAATGATAACTGAATTAAATTTGTATTCTTCAGTAATCAATAAAATAGTATCTATTATTTACAAGTACTGAATAGGTCATACAAAGACATGATAAAAATAGGTATTATACATTATCGACATTGGGTAAATGACATTGAATGCAATCCCCCTTTTTAGGCATTAACTACAATTTGTCACATCTATTGTTGTCCTATTGCCATTATTGTAGTTCATAGCAGATTAGTCCTTGCCATCCTTTCAATGCTATGCATTCAAGCTGATTTCATCTTGGACCTTTAAGTCTTTATATTTCAACAAGAAGCCTTTTTAGTCCAGTTCTTTGTTGCAAAATTAATGTTCTTATTGCCATTATTGTAGTTCATAGCAGATTAGTCCTTGCCATCCTTTCTAAACTGTGCATTCAAGCTGATTTCATCTTGGATCTGTAAGTCTTTATATTTCAACAAGAAGCCTTTTTAGTCCAGTTCTTTGTTGCAAAATTATGTTCTTATTGCCATTATTGTAGTTCATAGCAGATTAGTCCTTGCCATCCTTTCTAAACTGTGCATTCAAGCTGATTTCATCTTGGATCTGTAAGTCTTTATATTTCAACAAGAAGCCTTTTTAGTCCAGTTCTTTGTTGCAAAATTATGTTCTTATTGCCATTATTGTAGTTCATAGCAGATTAGTCCTTGCCATCCTTTCTAAACTGTGCATTCAAGCTGATTTCATCTTGGATCTTTAAGTCTTTATATTTCAACGAGAAGCCTTTTTAGTCCAGTTCTTTGTTGCAAAATTAATGTTCTTATTGCCATTATTGTAGTTCATAGCAGATTAGTCCTTGCCATCCTTTCTAAACTGTGCATTCAAGCTGATTTCATCTTGGATCTTTAAGTCTTTATATTTCAACGAGAAGCCTTTTTAGTCCAGTTCTTTGTTGCAAAATTAATGTTCTTATTGCCATTATTGTAGTTCATAGCAGATTAGTCCTTGCCATCCTTTCTAAACTGTGCATTCAAGCTGATTTCATCTTGGATCTGTAAGTCTTTATATTTCAACGAGAAGCCTTTTTAGCCTTTTTCAGTGAGATAACTTTTAGTGAGATGTTCATTGTACTTAATATCTTAATTAAGAGATGGAATGTCAATATGATTCACATTTGTTTTTAACTGCCTTTTTTCTCTTTGAACACTTTAGGGAATTTTCCCAACCACCATGCAAGTATAATTTTAAGCCTCGCTTAACACGCCTTGTAAAGTACTCAGGCAAGACAGCTCTACAATAAAAGAATTTCAATGCTGGTAGGCAGGAACTTATAAACTGTTCATCATAAACAATTGAATGGACAAATAAGGGCTCTTGATCTCCAAACCAAACAACAAGGTCCGTTTTCTTCAATCCTGAACAGAACATTTGGGCTTGAATTTGATAATAATAAGGATGGCTTCTCTTCAACTGAATATCTTTCTTCTTTGTTAAAAAAAATTTATTGTCATCCAAAGCTTCAGCAAGTGTTGAATTGTACTTAGAGAAGGGACATTTGATCTCAAGTCCCCAAGAATTTTCTTTAAATTTCACAATTCCATCCAAAGAAGCAGCAAGGTAAGGAAAAGATTTGCACACAGTTAAGCCAGGCTCATCAATGATCAATGCATCATAGCCGTCTTGAATCATCTTCGTTCTGTATAATGAACGCACGTGTGACTCATAAAGTTTGCCATGGTCAGTACTGGCAGAAGAAAAAGAAGAATAGTACATGAATTTCAGCTTTGAGGATGGCTCCACTGAGTTGACAATAGCAGAATAAAAGTTTGAGGCTGTAATGCGGTATAATCTATGAGACTGCCAGTGTTCATTCGCTGCTTGACCACGAGTAATATGTTCAATTCTCTGGACTTCATCATTACTAATGTAGCGATTTGAGAGACAATAGTAATCCATCATCTCTTTGAAATTATTGCAAGAAATATCATATGCATCACTAAAAGGTTGAGGGTCTTGGAAATCAGTTAGCAAAACAGAAGAATTAGCAAATGGTGAGTTTAGAGAAGGAACAGTTTCAGTGATAAATGATTGCTCGTTTGGTGAATGTGATTTTTCAAGAGAATGAAATGCAAAGAAACAGCTATTTGATAAGCAGGATGCAAGCTTTGATTGTAACTCTTGAAAGCTTTTCTCATTGACTTGACGGTCTGTAGGTCTTCTAGGATCATAGCAAAGATACTTTGGCTGATTAGACTTGTCATTATCTTTGCCAAATCTTATTCTTTTTATAACTGTTTCATCAATTGAGACAAGAGAGACTGCAACAGGTTGGAGGTTGGAACATTCCATGCAGATAATCTGGAAGTGCATGATACAGGCTCTGGGCAGTCTTGATAACCTTTTCTGTTGAAATCCTCTAAGGCAAAAAGAACATTTCCGACATGATTGCAGTTACCAAAACCACCCAGGCCTGCACCAGCAGGGCAAGTACAAGCTGCACAACAAACATCTCCAGAAGTATTTGAAAGGATGACAAGGACCTTGTACAATGTATTCTTCAAAGAAGCTTTCATGCGGACATAAAAAAAAGTGTAATTATTATCCCTTGCCACTGAGATATGCTTGATGTAGCCTTAAAAAAAACTGGAAAGCTTTCAACTTCTTGTAGGCAGTACTTTTCAGCTTGATATGCTTAAATTTCATTGTTCTTACTACCAGATAGCTATATAGCTGAATGAAAGAAAAGCCTGGAGTCCCCCTGAGGTCTGAGGACCACGGCAAATGGCTGCATTTTGAGGAGAAGATGGCGTTATACGTACACTCAGCATCTTCTCCAACCAACACAGGTTCGGATGTACTTACGGCACTGATTTCTTGCTGCTCTAATCGCGAAAAAACCGCATAGGCACAGAGAATTAGATCAGCCTTGGCACCTGAGACCTTCTCTTTGTAGGCCAACAAAACTTTCTTGAGCTCTTTGATAGTTAATATCGAGAAATCTTCAATGCAGGAAACCGCCTTCCCCTCAGGTAACAATGAAATAAATTGATCCATATCTTTAATACGAAAATCGATGGAAATCTTTTACAAAACGGCGATAATATATCTCAAAGACGTATAGATGCAGAGAGGTTGATCTCTGATGTTCGGCACCGAAACAACTCTAGCCTGGTTTTGGATTTTAAATCGATGCAATGTGTAAGGGGTCT